TTTAATGATGCTCAATATTGTATAGTGTTAGAAAGCTCTACTTCTTAGCTTCATTTATGTTTCCTTTAGCATGGAAAGTTAATGTCATCATATGCAGATATGACTATTTTAATTTAATAATTTATCGAGACACTTTTTGATACAATAGCTCTTTGGGCATTCCAGGACCCTATTATTACTGTTTCCTCTTCTTGATATTCTGTCATTTCAGCAGCCAGAAGTGAGTGTCATATATTGACTAACTACACATTAATGATTATATACTTTTTGAGCTAACATGAACATTAAGGAAATTGTTGCATCTTTGCTATCTTTATTATACTCATGTCCTCCTAGACACCAGACCATGATATGGTTGTCATTTCTAATGTCTGTACTGACTCAAAGTCCCACCAGAGTACCTCTTTATCTACTATGCTTCTTAACTTGTGTGGATAATAACCACCTGTCTCTTTGTTATTAATGTCTCACAATTATAGAACCTTAATTATAATAGATTAGCACTGATCTTGAAGCTCCTCTTTACATATTTCATCAGTGCATCTATAGTGTGCAGATTTGTCTTCTCCTCAAGATATAAGTACAGATTGATAAATCCTTTGTTAGTTATCATCCAATATAGATACAATGACATAAGGAATTGTAGGGTGATGTAATTTATTACTGAAGTTATGTGGAATTGAATAATGAGGGCAATAGCACAGGTCCAATGACTGGCAATGACAACAATATTTTTTTTCTTATTCTCAAGCATGAAGATCTTAGAGATTATATTGCTATCATATTCTTTTTGGCATACTATCCTATTAATTTCAATATACTTTTCATTGTCTTTGAAATGCTTTAGGACTTCTTTCTCAAACTGCTCTATTGTGTAGATGTCCATGTTTTTTGCTCTCACTGCCTCTACATCACTTACAAATTCCCTAAAGAACTTTTATGGAGTATAAATACCTAGCACATATTAGTAATGACTGACATGGCTCAAATGAATGTAGCTAGCATAATAGAGCAAAGGAAGAAAATAGGAGATAAGTTGGAAGAATGAGAAAAATATGAAAAAAGTATAGGAGAGAAAGAAGGAGAAGGAGAAGAATTAAAGATAAATAAAGAGTGAGAGGAAAGAATGAATCTGGTGGATGAAAGATGACAAATGATACAACTACCTCTAATAATAATACTACCACTCCTAGTAACAATGATGTTTTTGACAGTGACAAAGTCTACACCAGCAGTTGTTGCAGACCTATGCATCAATATTTAAGTGTGCTTAATCTCATTTCTACCCTTGTCATGCAAACACTATAGCTAAGGTGTACAAATAGACTCTAGCATCCCTAGCTATAATAGTAGAAATGTCATCTATCATTCATGAAGCTCTATTGGTACTATTCCACATCATATTGATATATTTCTTCCAGTCCATTAACTTCAATCATTTATTACTTAATGTATGTATACTATGCAACACAGAGGCATTATCAATCAACCTTATCATTCTGAACTTGAGTTTCTATCCAAGATCTGTCTGGCACCACAAAAAATGTCTATATCTCTATCCTCAGAGAGACTGCTTTTTCATAAACTTAGCATGCATTATTAAAGAAGTTCAAAGACACAATAAAACTGAACCACAATCTATTGATGGTGATTATGGTCAAGATGGAAGAAACTACTATATATTATTCACCCAACAACAGGTCACATGTGATGGATATGTCACAGGAGATATTGCCATACTCTTCAAGCAATTTTAAAAATACTACAGATACACTAAAAGCCCTTAAAAATCCAATTAAGGTTGAAGGCCATGCATGATGTTTGATATAATCAATTCAATTTAAAGTATGGGTATACAGATCAAGCCTATCAATCTAAATATAATGGACAGGGACTTGGTCGCATCTAGAATAAATAAATATTTCTTCTGTTCTGATAGGTAGCATATGACTAACTTGTGTTTATTATAGACTTTATATCTCATAGAAGACACAGATGCAATACATGCAATCATTGATTTAGAAGGGTGTTCAGGTGACATTATTTTTGCGACTCCCTCGACATCCAAGAAGGGATATCTTGATGTGAAATTGTTACTAAGGTTGTGGATGCTATGTCAGAAATAGCCTACCACTACTATATATATAGTGTAATATAACCAGCAGCATATAATCAAACTCACAAAGCAGGATCCTCATGCTGTGCAGAACTGCTCACAGGAGCTTCCAGTCTTTTATATGATCCTTCAACCCTATTTTAAGCCTGGAAGTAGGACTCAGAGCCATACTTCTTCAAGTCATTGCAATAATTATGCACAGATTAACTTCATCAAGAACTCAGATCAGCTTAAGACCCCTAGATTAGATGTAGTTCAATCTCTCCATATACTCCTTAAATTAATATTCATTCTAAGCATAGAGGTGTCACTAGGAGGTGAATTACTGCAAGTCATGGTGGTGTGACATGCTATTGCAGAGGATGATATGATTTTATATTGCATTACCACTATTTAATAACTTAGACTTTCACCTGATTTGTTTCACATTTTGCCATAGCTAGTAATACTAGCAGTGGTATTAGTAGCAATAAGTATTTCAAGCAAATCATTCACCTTTGAACACTCTGAAAATTTAGTATTAGTATAGATAGGCTTGGCATACAATAATTGCCATACTACAAGGACAATCATAATTCCATTATATAAGCAAGCCAATATTATTATTCTCTGCTGCGCAGACTTTTCTTCTAGTCACTTTATGTTTTCTCATTCAAGCTAAGGTACATTAGCCATAGTAAAATTTAAGTTCTCTTGAAATACTAAATTATTAATCAGCATATCATTATATAGGCTAACTAAGAAAGCAGCCAAAAAGGCCCTGGTTAGGTAATAACAGAAATAGATGCAGACAATGAAGAAACAATAATATTTGCAATGTCAACTCAGAATTATGAAATATCAGATTTGACCCCTAAGCATCAGAGTAACAGTTCTCCTCTACTTGGATGATGAATGATACCATGAGTCAGTCCAATATTTATATAGATACATAGGAATCTGGAAAGGTATAAGTAAGAGGAGTAGCAATATTTTCAGGTTTAATGTCCTATGTAATAAGACATGTAGTACTGCAGACTATGGGAAAACATATAATAATATGGTCTACAATGTTAGCAATATGAAAACAACTAAATATGCACCTAGTGGGGCTAGTACAATGAAACTGGATATGAATAGAATAAGTGCACATAATATCCAATAGTTCAATGTCCAATGTTTTTAGGATTTGTGTATATTGAGTCAGATATGATAGGGTGTGATTTGGGTAATGATTAGCAGTCAACATGCATCAAAAAATAGGCCTCTACAAGGCCATAAAGACTCCAAGTTCTACAATGTTCTCTTTGTGTATATTGGCCTATAGGATTCTGGCAATGATTTCATGACAATAGTATAGTAGTCTCTTTTGTCTATACTTGCTCCTATTTCTACTAACAATTCTTGGATCCTCAACAGGTCTCCAAAATGTGCCTTCATATCTCTGCCCTCCTCACACTTAGTCTCCTGCAACTTCTGTTACAGGTCTATTTGGATCATCTCTGTCTTTTCTTTGTGTATATAGCATACCTCTGTCCACATCTTCAAGGCTTCTCTAAGGCTCTGGATGTATAACAATAGTTGGTCCAAGACCATACTGAACATATGTTACTTAATGAGTGAGTCCTTCTGTTGAAACTTATTAATCTTCTTTTTCTGTTCTTTAATCTTTGTCTGAGTAGCTATCAATTTGTTTGGCTTCAGTGCTTGTCCTTATGAATTGATTTTGAAAGGTACAGGCTCCTTTGTCCTACCATCAAGATAGTACATCAAACCTCACACTCATATCACTATTTGGGTCTTTTTCTTATAAGTTATCTAGTTCATTCCATTGTCAGCAAGCTGGGAAATGTTATATAGTGATGAAGAGCTGGAGAGCATTATATCTATGGTAGTAGCAGGGCTCATAACCTATAAACAGTAGTATAGTTTGAATAGAGATTTGAAAATATTAAATAGACAAAATTGAATATAAATAATGTTACAGTTTATATACTATGTATTGCTAGTACTATGTTACTGGTTCTCAAACAGACTTGTATCTATTCCATGCTGTAATTACAAATATTGTCTGCTCCAGCTATTTCTAGTTATTGGTATTCTCTACATTACTCATCATTTGTCATATTAGTAAGCTTTCACCTCTTGTGCTCATATTATAACAATACTTCTATGACTCCAACACCAGCACCTGCAGGTGTATACTGGTGGTTATACACCAGGCCACTAGCACATCAGGAAAAAAACCTTTGACTATACTGAGCTATATAGTCAGTGTAGTTCCTGTAGCTCAATGTGTCAAGTGTGTACTATACCCAACTACATAATCCTACGTCTAGCTATATAGCACTACTGGAATTCCTATAGTAACCAGCTACAGGTAGCTACACACTCCTACTATAGCTATTAATACCAATCACTCCAGAACCAGAAAATAATGAAATCGAATATATTCAAGGCGCACAATGCATACACTTGCAAAATCCAGTGGCCTTGTAAAGTGTCAATTGTCACTGACTTATACATCTTCCCCATGCTCCTCTACCTGAGTCTCCACTTTGTACTCTCAGATTGCATCATCAAATATGACATCTGCAGAGCCTTCAACAGTCACTGCTGCCCTGAGCAAATTGACACCAGTATGGAACCTTTGCATCAATATCAGTGAGGGTTATGATCCAGACAAGTACTAACCGAGCAACATCAAGGAAATTGTTATTATTTTACCCAATAGTTTGTAACCAGCCATCTGCTCCTCAAACTGCTTCAAGGAGTCCAGATAGACCAGGTAGACATGGCAGCTGCGAATTTGATGTCTTCCTTCACTCCTGTGGCCCACTCATCGATACAACACTCTATCTGTTAGAATTCAGCTGCAGCCCTAAATTTCGGATGGCTCAAAGACACTAACCACTGTAAGTACAAGTGCCAATATTTTTACTGGCAAAGGGTCAAAGTATTTAGTGTAGATTATACCTTCACTGATGCAGTTCGTAAACCACATATCATTTATCCCTGACTGAATTAAATCAGATTTGTATATGCCAGATTTGTTCTCCCAATCCTTTTACTCAGCTGGTTAGATAACAACTAACAACAGTGAAGCTGACCTACCTTAAAAACAAAGGATGACCCTTCCTTAAGTGCCTCAGCCAAGTCACAGTTTCCCTTAATGGCCACCATAGATTGGCTTGCATGGAAGCTAAAAAAGGAGGCTGTAAGACCACACATCTTGGTTTTGAGCTCCCCACCCATATGTGAGGTCTGCCTCATTATCTACATAGTAAACATAACATCAACTAGGGTCAGGATGTGAACATAACATGCTGACTGCTTACCATTTTGACCAATGAAGGCATTAGTTGAACAGTCAGTCCTGCTGCTTCAGATGCCTCATGTCATGCATACTTTGCTAGCTGGGTCTTAACAATGAGTGTCTCAGGAAATGGTCTCTGAGTTACAATTAGACAGTGATACATAGATGTTGCCTTGGTAAGCACATCCTTTGTGATGTCATCAAAATTCCTGACCCTTAATTGCTGGTGCATTCCATTTGAACCTTTCATGATCTTTGGTTTGATTTATTTATCAATATCCTCCTATAGGTGTTTGGACCTGACAAACTGTTCAGAAGTTGCACTGACCACTTTGTTATTATCATCAGCGCTGCTGCTGCTGCTGTCGCTGCCACTGTCATCACTAGATGAGACTACTGAAGCAGGAGCTGTGAAAAGTTAGTTAGTCCAAGAACCCCCCTACCAATATTGCTAACCTTTCTTTGACTTAGCCATGATCTTACTCATTTTCATCAGTCACAAGACAGCTGGTGGTGTTTTACCTGTACTAAATATGAGCACCTTGCCTTTGCAAATATACTTTGATGTGAAAAACTATTATATAGTTGTGAGCACTTGAGTGCATGGAATAATAAAATGCTGACCATAATATCTTTGTCCCTATCAATCTCACTTAGCAGCTTAGCAGGCTCACCATCAAAGACTTCAGGATTTGTATGGTATTTCATCTGCAACACCTTTAAGTTATGTTTCTCCTTCTTGATTTTCTCGACTTGTTTGTAGTCATGTCCTTAATAAGATTTTAAAACTGTTAAATAGACATAAGCAAATACACATTGAGCAACAATACAGAATTACTTACTTTAATAGGTCTCTTTTTCAGTCAGCTGGTGCTGACAACCACTTGCAGTGTGTCTAGCTGTGGATTCCATCTGTGTGCATAGGTCCTCCTGGACCTGTAAGATTGCCTTTTGCTTTTTGGATCTCCTTTGAGAGGCAAGTTTTCCTGTCATAATTCAGAGTAGTTTGTAGCCAAAAAAGGACAACATGCCTCTAAATACCCTTGCCATGGTGTCTGATCAACAAACCACATTGAGTTCTGTTGATTTCAAAGTTAAAATTTCAATCTGACCAAGCAATATCAACTAAACAGTATAAAAAGAGCAAGAAAATAATATGACTTCTAACACTTATGATGGATACTACTAATCTCACCAAAATGCCCAAATAGTAAGTGACAGGCTTATCTGAGACACCACACATTGACCAATGTGGCAGCTCAGTCTTCTTGCCATTTAGTGAACCAAATGAAAAGAATCTTGCAGTCAGCCAATAGTGGGTTACTCTGAGAACTGCCATGACTCACACTCACCATCCAGTAGGCCTGTACCTCCTCCAAATCGGCCCTTACATGTGGTCACAGCTCCAGGACAGGCTAGAGAGGCTCTTGCGGCTCCAGGATGGGCTATGGTGTGAATCACTTAGCGGCCACCTCTTATGTGCAGTGGCCAAATTGACCAATCTGATAAGCCCTTTTTAGTGCCCAAGCTACATCAGGACTAGTAACATAGCTAGCCAATGAGAATTGTTTATTATTCATTATCCGATGTGGCTCTTTGCCAGTAACAATGCCCACCTCTCGCAAGAAGCTTGCTGCCGCCTGTGCAAGAGCAGCATAATGGAAAAAAGGAACTAGCCTCCAATATTTGAGCACAATAATTCTATCCCCACCACCAATGAACCACCTCCATTGCTGCCAATAAATGCTGTAGAAGCTGCACAAGAGAGCTTTGGTGTTGAATTCTGTGTGCAGCTGGCTCTTGCACAATCTCTCGCAACTGCAGTGATATTTTTGGTGTTACCAAATCTGTAAAAGAGTGTGGAGTCATGGTAAGTCGACAAAGGTATGTCTTGCCGACATGAAACACTGACAGAACGCAGGTCACAGATAACTGAGATAAGTTCTGTGTAACATATGTTCTACCTGTGTTTCGTGTGTTGGAGTGTAATGATAGAGACAATAAACGAGAGGACATGTAGGAAATGGCTGTGGCCGCCAGTCTGTCCTCCTGAGAGGCAACTTGCGGCAGCTGCGTCATGGCAAGGAGTGAAACGGTCTCGGCGGAGGCCAGGCGCCGAACCCCTTGCCATGACCCATTTTTCGCAGAATTCCAACCATATGTCATGTGACATATTTTTCATTTACTGCAGGGGCCGACTCATTGACACACTTCTCTTGAAGTTGTTAAATGCCCAGTGTCTGCCACCCCGACGGTCTGACACTCATAATCACTCCTAATGCTGACACAAAACATCATATCAAGAACCACCTCAAGTTGGCCTGGAATGCACAGGCCAATCAGACACCTGTGGAACCCAATACGACGTTGGCGATGACTGACACTGCCACAACATCTGAACCAAGCACAGTCCCACCTCACAAATGTATGTTATAATGTTTGAATAGTCTACAGACACACTGATCAGATTTCCGCAGCCAAGAATGTTAGGAAACGAAATGCCGCGTCAAGGGCTGACTCCACATCGATGGTCAATCTCGCATCGACGGCCAATCTCGCATCGATGGCCAATCCCTCTCAGGTGACTATGGACAGCCAGATTAAGGAGATGCTGGCCTCAATGCAGAAGGAGATTGCGGAGATTCGAGGAAAGAATGAGAGGATTCTCGGCAAGAATGAGAGCATGCGTGGTGTAGCACTTGAGCTTGCGCTAGGCTCATATTCACTGATTTCCCGATACATGTTCAATGCCCATCACTTTCCGATGTAACCTGCACAACCCGATGCAAACCCGACACTTTGACCAGTGGACCCAATGTTTCGGCCGCATTGGACTCAATATTTTCCCATGCACTTGTCCTATCCATGTCCTGTCCCGTCTTGCTAGCCCCACTAGGTGCATAGTTGATTATTTCACATATTACTCACGTCGTAGCAAGCACTATTACATGTTTTTCCATCATCCGCAGCGCCTCATGTTAGTTTACATGTACTTCGGACCCAAAATCATCGGCCGCTACTTTCTCCTATAGGGTTATGGATTTCTACGTACTTACATATATATTGGACTGACTATGAGTATTTTCATTATCCAAGTAGTAAAGAGTCGTTTCCCGATACTTAGTGGTCAAACCCAATATTTTGTAGTTCTTAGTTGATATTGTGAATATTACCGCTCTTTCTATCTGAAATACCTGTCGTTATCATATATCCACATACCGCTCGCTTTCCCGACGTTCGCTATTGCCATTCCCGCTAACCCGCTAAACCCAAACCCAAAACCCAAAAACATCGGACCCGACGCTTTGGCGTTGAACATCATAGATATACCCTCAAACTTTGTTTCTTGCACTCGGACTTTTGACCATTTTATCGTTTCACTAACTACAGACCATTCCAAATAGCTAACCCCTCAGGTCAAACACACTTGTCTTGCAAGTATAGCAGACTAGGCTGTGCATGACCACAACACATTTGATATTGCTGGTTACTTACTTCGTGTAGGGCCCAGCAATTGTTGTATCTCTACAGCGGTGAGATCAAGAGCATTCACAGCGAGAACAAGAGGATTCTCACTAAGGATGAGGGCATGCACGGTGAGATTGAGAGGATCACCAACGAGAATGAGAGCTTGCGCAAGGACAACGAGCCCATCAATAATGACCTTGCCATCATTCACAAGGACCTTGATGCAGCAAGAGTCCAACACACTCAGGATGTTGAAGCCCTCAGAGAAGTAAGTCATCACTTTTTCCAATCACCGACCCTGACAACAATCTCCCCAGGTCACCATGTCACTAGTTCCCTTGCATCTTCGTGTCCTACTCGACTGTGCACGCAGAAAGGGTCTGGAACACCTCGGCCATGAGGCCTGGGAAGAACTTTGTGATTCCCGCAGCATCTATCAACTTTTAAATACCATCTTCAATGCTCTCAAATGGCAGGGTGTATGATACACCCCATCCCACCAGTCCATCCTTTTCTTGTGTTCATATAACAACATCAGGCATGCGGGAAATACAGTTGCTCACAGTGCAAAGGAGAACGATATCAGGCATGCAGCCTTGACCCAGCCACTGGAATCCCTGCCTCTTACTGCTGCCCATTTTGCTACACTTGTATAACCAAATTGAATTGAATTCAAGCTGTTTCAAACACAAATCGTGCGCACAATGAGGGCAGAGTTAAAGTAAGATTAATTGATCCAAAGGTAGTGCATGACAGGCTGCACCAATGAGAACTAACTCCACATGAAGACTAGTTAGATGGGGTGATGCTTGCAGGGGTGCACCCGCCCCATCAAATAAATAGGCTCAGTGCTCAGCTCTCGCAGGAGCGCGACTCAGTCATGTCACACTTCAGCAGGATATCAACTTGAAGGACCTACAAACCCACCTGAACAAAACGGTATGATTCACCTTCTTTGTGGAGATACACCAGTCCTGATCCTTTGCAGACTGAACAGCTATCTCAAGTTTGGGAGTCTCTCGTAGGCACAGAAACCAGCAAAGTCTACCTCCAAGAGCGCGTTGACCAGCTTACCCGCTGACCTGCACCAAACCGGTTCGGTGCATGGATGACTAATGCTCTCCCACGAACCTGATACCCTAGAAATCATTATGAACAATCTTCCTTTACTTTATGGTTCAGACTGCAGTTCAGATAGTATTTTCTTTTCATTTCTCAGACAGACTCAGATAGGCTGAATATTCTTGTATATTTAATTTTGCGGTAAATTCTGCTTAGTCAGCAATAACAATGACTCAGACTGAACCCCACACATGTTAAGTAACAGTGTACAATAGTTCTTGCATAAGTTGCCTTGTGGGAATTTTCTTCAAACCCTAAATACACAGCTCGCGTCATTTCTATGGTCAATAAAGTAACATCATAACAAGACACCAACAAATAACATAATCAGTCTGTTACTTAATATTTGTCACATGATACTAAGTCATATGACTCTAACAGTCAGGTGACCTATGATCCTAAACCAAATCATGACAAAGCAACCTTTTGAGATGACTAAAGCTTGATGACACAAATTATAAAGCACATGACTAACAGTACAATAGTATTGGTACAATCTGACTAAGCCTATTTCCCTTAGAACGTGGGAAATAGTAGCACAGCCACCCTAATTTATCTATATAAGACCCCACTTTTTGCCAATGAAAATATGCAGAGAGGGAACTTTTAAGCCCCACAAAATAAATTTGAGTGTGAAGTGTGATCAGTATCAACAATAGTGACAAGAGCTGTTAAGCAACTAACTGAGAGGTCATTGTAAGCAACATCCAGCAAATACCTTTAGCTCATTGTCAACAACCATCAAATATCTTGAGTTCACTGTGCTCAACAGTGAGCAAAACTTTTTCTTTGATTTTCTACTGGTGAACCTCTAGTCTCTTTCTTTTCTTTTCTTTCTTCTTTTTCTCTTTCGTTTCCTGTTTCTTTCTGTCTTTTTTTTTCATTTGTCTCTTTTTCTGTTCAGTTCATTCACGTCTTAGTGTTATTGTCTGAATTTGTTTCAAGATCTTTGTGTTGTCTTTATGTCCATCTAAGCACCGGCTTAGTGGGAAGACTTCAGAAGTTGATAGTGACACTTGACCTCACTCATCTGAGTAGTGATACTGAGCCAGGGTTTTCTTTGTCTGCTAGACTTTAGTTGTTGAATAGGGGACTTGGTACTGAAATCCAAGGATGTCCGTTCCTGATTCTGTTTAATACTCATCATGAGTTCCTTGGCAGCAGGTTCAATAGTGAACTAAGAGTTCTACTGATCACTGATTAGTCCTGACCTTTGATTCTACCTGTTTGTGCTGAGGGGGTGATTGCTATAATTTCGCACGACTTTCTGTAGTAAATTTATTACAAGAAGCATTATTACTGAAGGAAGGGTTTCTCTTATCAATCTATTTCTTTTTTTTATCAGTACCATACTGTTGGGCTGACTTTTCTCTGTTCTCTAAACACTGCCATACCGTTGGAGTGAATCAATTTCTTTTTGTCATCACCATACCGTTGGGCTGACTACATTCTGTTTATTTTATTTTCTATTGTGTCCATACTGTTGGATTGACTGGTATTGCTACTGACCTCACAGGAAGTACTTTTGTCTGAACATAGCTTAGTAAAGTGTATACAGCCACCCACGAACAACCACGTTATCAGTCATTGGTATTTGTCTGAATCACTGACCGTGGAGATTTTTGATTTTGTAGGTGTTTATCTATAGATCATCTATCTAAGAAGACACCGCCAGCTACAAGGTAATGAAGAGAAGCTTGCCGAGTACAAATATCACCCATCAGCTGCTAATGGCGCTACTCCCACTACTGAACAAGACCTTCTACCTGAACAGCAACTCGAGCCAGAAGTCGCAGAATTACAATTGGTATCCAAGTACTACATTTGTGGCAACATGCTGAACATATCCATTCTAGGTCTGCTTTGAAGGTCACTCAAGTCGATCTTACAGCTGCCCGTAGTCACATACAGCAATTCCAAGAGATCTCTCAAGCCAACGAAGCTGCCCTGTCAGCTCTGAATGCTATGCATGATCAACACAAGGCTGAGATCAAGGCGCACATTTCAAAGAATGAGGTGGGGTCCACTCCAATTACTAGAGTTTAGTTTTTTACAGCTGGAGTACAAGGTTATGCCAGATAGACTGCGCAGGGTGGAGGGTGATGTACGGTAGTCTGCCGACAAGTTCTCTGAACTTCAATGCATGTTCGAGTTGGAGTGGCTGGTTTGGACTATCTCAAATGTCTTTCTGACTGTGGTTGTACTGGTGGTGTCAACTATTGGTCAGACAACGACATTGATGATTACAAACCAGACACATCTTCTGAAGGTGCATTGTCAGACTGTGAAAGCCTGTGTGAGCTCAAGGGAGATGATTTGGAGCACAATTTGAAGCGGCTCCAAGCAGAGGCTGACTTGGAAGCCCCCAGGTGGACAGCACCTATTGATACATTGTTTAAGATAATCTTGAGGCCAAAGACAAATGTCGTTTGGAAGAAGGCAGAGCAGAATAGATCATTGGGATATAATGGACTGTCAAGTTGTACTCAATGTCAGAGGGATAAGCTGGCCCGAGACCAAGCTGAATGACAAAAGAACATAAAGACATTGTATGTGTCAATTCAAATAGATCATGGATTATACTCTGATATGTACCTAAGCAGAAACTGTTACACACTCAAATAGATCTGTTATGCAGAACCCTAAGAGGGGTGTCGTCCGCTAATGTTTGTGACGTAACCAGAAGGATCCGGTATGATGAGTGAGACTGGCGACATCTAGTCAGCAGTGATCATAGGCATGTATGTCATGTGACTTCTAAGACATTGGTCTATGAAGTCACTAGGCTCAAAGTAAGGATGGTGAGTCCGAATAATGAGTGTCAATCGAGATAGACTTAAGTGCGAAGAGCACTTAAGAAACGATACTAGAGACTGAAGCTGAGAGGCTTCAGAGTGAAGTATGTTCCAAGGAAGATTGAGTAGATTCAAGTTAGTACAGGATGACTGACTACTTGTACTAAATGGAAAGGGTTGAGGGTTGGGTTACCGTACTGTAGGTAAGGGTAGAGGGGAGACAAAAAGGGGTATAGGTACACTGGCAACACAACCAGATTAATGGAGGATGGTCGAATGTGGAATGAGACCAAGAAATGTTGGAACGATCCAATGGTAAGAGTGCAATGTGCGTGAAGTGCAGTCAGAAGAGAACAGAAAAGGAAAACCATATTGGTGGCATGAGTCACGCTGAGTCAGAGGTGCAGGACCATATTGGTGGTCAAATCATAGGAGGGAACATGTGTGCACATGCATAGAGGAGAACAGTATGAGGGATGGGAACTGTCCCAAGGATCTGGTCAATGGATAATCGGTGGAGGAGGACAAGCCGGTAGGTGGTGAGGATGAGGATAAAGGGAAAATGATAGGGGGGCCACATGACCGATGTTACTTGTAACAAAAACAATCCACAGATTGCATTTATGCAGCAGTGGTGTGCATCCAAAGACTCGAGCACCATGTGGTCCACACCTGATGTTGAACAAAGTATGCATGAAACTATTTCAGATGTGGTTGTGCTGTGGCAACCACACAACACAGTCAATTTTACTGGATACCTTTCTGATGAATCTAAGGACCATTTTGACTCAGAAACTGATGGTGAACATGAAGAGGATGGATATGGAGTTGCAGGAAGTAGTCGGGGTGTAAGCAGCTGCTTGCCCACTGTTCCACCACTCAAGCGGCGCAAGCTCAAGATCCCTTTCTGCATGGAGCATAAAATAAAAAAGGAAAGGCATGCAGATGAGAGGTGTGTGGCATTAGAGGTGATTGAAAGGCTGCTGAAGTTGAAAAAAAAACAATCCTTGTTAGTGGTCCAGATGGTTTACAAGCAAAACAGACATGTACCATTCAAAGCCATCTCACCCCCATCGTGAAGAGAGGCCACTCTTCAATCAAAGCATCAGAATGTGCTGCTGAAAGTCATGGGTTCACAGCTGTCTGGGGTGGACATCAACTGCACAGTTGGACTCATAACTGGGTGTCAAAACGGTGTGGAAACAACAACCTTGCTGGGTGGCAAGAAAAGGTTGGGTCAAGCTAATGCCTAGCTGCTATGTCTATACAGACACGTTCGACCCTAAATGGAATTGCTACTAGAACGATGATGGATATGTGCAACCCAAGAGTGCATTAAGTGCAGGAAAATAGCAGACAGGTATGCACGAGGTATAGGAATGTATCTGAGGCTATCAGAAGCGCAGGAACACGCAGCCGAAGGTGTGGAAAGCGCGGTGTCATGCATGGTATGTGATTCATACCATGTCAGATATATATATAGAGTGATAAGGAAGGTATGAGAGACTGTCTAGCCCTCTGTCACTAAGTTATCTCTCTGTTTTTCCTTTGATTCATTGTCTTATATTTTATTTCTCACTTTTCAGACTTGTTTTATCTTGTATTTTTATGAACATGTGACCTTCTGTTTATTTCTCATTGTTTATTTTTATTTGGCTTCTTTCAGCCACCAAGTTTTGCATCTCTATTTATTTCTGACTGTTTATTTCTATTTGGCTTCTTTCAGCCACCAGATTTTATTTGTCAGCACATCATGTGACTGGGGAATATTCTGGTTTGTAACATTATTTAAGCTGACTCAACATGATCAGTCATGGTTGGTCATGCTTTGTAAGTTCTTTGTAAGACACTGAACGTTGTTTGTAATGTACTTAGTAAGAAGGATGATTCAGCTCACCCAAAGGCTTGGTTTGTCAGCTTCTGCATGACCAATCCCTGAGAAGAGTCAGCACCTTTCTGTCATGCTTTGTAATTTCTTTGTAAGATTACACAGTATTTATAATGTATATTAGTAGAAGCTGATTCATCACCTGGTTTGTAAGCCACATTCTTACCAATCCATCTGACAGAATCATGCTTAGTAAGGGGATTCCAAAAGGTATAAAAGGACCCCATTTTCACCCATGAAATATAACTTCCTATTTTTCATTCTTCTCTCAAACCGTGTAAGAGTACGTAAGAATAAAAGTGCAGGCAAGGCGCCTTGAAGTAAGACTAAGACACATCGTTATTCTACTCTAGGTTATATACTACCTTACAGGGGTTGACTATATAACCATCAAACAGCTCTCATTCTAAAGCTTTACGTGTACACATAAGACTCTCTCTTTCAATGGAAAGTGAGACACAAATCTAAGGATGACAAAGTTGAAACAGACTTTCATAGGTTGAAACACGACCTACTAGGGTGAAACAAACCTAATGAACTATTTATCCAGAACACAGAACATTCCACGACACTTCATATATAAAAGACTACACAAGAAGAGGACAACAAACTAAATCCTCCCAAGAACTCACCACGTTACCTCCCACGAAGTAGAAAAGTCGGAGACTGTGGACTTAAGGACTGGCAAGAAGTCTTCACTGTGTATAATTGTGTTGTCATTATACACAACTTTCATATAAGACCCTTAAGTAACAAGACAGCGGGAAAGTGTGGACAAGGTATAGGGAAGTTAAGGAATGAGGTTCGGAGAGAGTGAGGGCAAAGGTATATTGCAAGGTAAGGAAAGTCTAGGTATAGAGAGGTATAGGGACCTAATAGGGGCTAAAAAGTGCACACTACAAGGGACTACTTTGAAGGTAAACCTATAGGGAGAGGTATCCAGTATGAGGGAAGTGTAGTAAGGAAATAGTCCCTAAGTAATAGTCAACTTATACTGTCTAGACTCTCACTCAGAGAAGGAAGGGATAGCAAATATAGTAAATATGTAAGGACATGTAATAAGGCTGCAACACATTTTACAAGCCTCAAGGTAAGGAAATTCACATACCAATGGGGTTTGGACGGACTATGGATGGACGAGGGACTTTCCTAATGTGATTCTGAGGTATCTGAAGCGCGGGAATGCACGTCCGATGTGGCCAATGCGCGGGAAAGTGCAGGTTCAGCTTCACACAGGGGTTACTTGATGTATGAGGATTGGATAAGAATAGGAAAATTGATAGTGTTCTATACTCCTTGACATCAATATGAAAATAGGTTCTTTCCTACCCAGTGAGGGTCCGAGCGTCACAACGGGAGCTCCCTCAATCATTGACTGGTCACCATGCCAAGGTGTACTCGTTGCTTGATGATCCAGTAGTAGCTGCAGAGCTTCACACATATATTCATTTGAATAAGTGGGTAGTCAATCCCAAAAAGCTGGCAGAATTTTCAAAGAACAAATTAGTACCCTTGGAAGCCAAAAGGTACCTTCACACCATTGTCAAGGATGAGATGCCTCATGGATCAAAGCAGTACATGAAGCTGGAGTTGTTTCCTCAAATTCACCTCAAAGTTGGACATGGAATTTCGCTCATCACTACTCGCCAATGGTTGCATCGAGAAGGCTTTCAATACATGTCCCATCGAAAGGGTCTTTATTTTGATGGCCATGACTGGCCTGATGTGATCTCTTATCGCCAGGAACATTTCTTGCCAACAATGAAGGAATACAAGTAACAGCTGGTTCGCTTTGTCATTGGAGACATTGAATCAGAGCTCAAGGATCCAAATTGCAATTTTATGGAACACTGGCTTGTTCTCTGTGCACATGATGAAATGACAGCACAATCAAAAGCAACTGATAAATACTGGGTGTTCGAAGATCAGTTCAAGTTGCAAAAGAAAGGGGTAGGCCATGGCCTCCATCGTAGTGATGTGATCTGCTCCACAGTGGGATACCTGGTGGATGCAGGTAAATCAATGGAGTATGGCAAGAATCACAAGGGTTATTGGAATGGTGAGATGTTTATTAAGCAGGTGTGGGCTTTTGTATCACTTCAAGTATTGATTTGAACTGAAATTTGATGTGATTCAGCTCAACCAAAAAATTATTCCAACATTTGAGAATATTCACAGACCAGGATATCAAGCATTATTCCTGATTAATAACTTGCAGGGGCACTCTGCATATGCTGAAGATGCATTGCTCATTTCTCACATAAACATCAATCCAGCAGGGAAGCAGGCTCACATGCAAAATGGATAGTTCATGTGAGATGGCATCTAGGTCAAACCAGATATGGTGTTTCCTCCATGACACCCACAGTTCCCAAATGAACACAAAGGAGTCAAGACCATCCTTGTTGAAAGAGGCCTCTATTAACCACAGCTGCATGGAAAATGTGCCTCCAAGTGTAATACTGATGCAACAGCTTGTTGCAACAAGCACATCCTCAAGCTCCAGCCTGATTTTTGGCAGCAAAAGTTCCACATCCAGGAATCTATTGAAAAAGCTAGGCATCTCTGCATTTTCCTGCCAAAGTTTCACTGTGAACTCAATTTTATTGAATATTTCTGGGGGAAAGTCAAGAAATATCTCTAGGACAACTGTGACAGCACTTTTGAAACATTGAAACAGAATATGCCCCTGGCAATGGAGTCCATGCAGCTCAGTACAATCTGACTGTGGGAACATCACATGTACCACTGGATGGAGGCATACCGGACAGGCCTGGAGACAAAAGATGCGCAATTTCAAGTCAAACAATTTAATTCTACCAAGTATAAGTCGCATATACATGTTCCCGAGACAGTGGCATGCACTTTTGATTGATGGAGGGTTGTATTTCTATATGTGGCCAAATCAATGCCTTTGTGAAAAATTATCTCACTCAAATTTGATCCAATTAAAAATTCCTCTAGTAGTTTTACTCTACTTGTTGAAAGGATTATTTTTACAAGAGCATATAAAAATCAGATTCTTTTTGAAGGGGGCAGGAACCTTGCACCAAAGTAGTGGCTGCTAAGTGATCTACACCATAGAGAGGCTCTCACGGCTCCAGGATGGGCTAGAGAGGCTCCACATGCTCCCAAGCTTGATTATTCTTTGCAACCATATTGTTAGACACCAGGATCCATAACAACTTCTCAGATTTACCTGCAAATCCTTGTCTTAGAACATTGGGATGCAGAGATTAGGTATTGCGATGAGGCATGCAAAGCACAACTCTCTAAACATATACAAGGGCCCGTTACTGACCAAAAATATGCACAAAAGTTGATAGTCGGGTGCTGGCATGCAGAGAAGCAGCAGTGCCAAGAGGTATGCAAAGTTCAACTATTGGAACTCCTACTCGCAGCTCATGGTATTATGACCCTAGTTTAGTCAGTTAGTCATGTCAGTAGTCACTTGGGAATAAATGGAGACAATATTAATGGTAACCAAGGCCAATGAGAGATTTGGAATGAGAAAAGAAGAAGAAATGACCAATAGATAAGAGAAAAGAAAAATGAGCTGAACATGAGCCATGTGATATATGAACTCTACATTTACAAAGGGAGAAATAGCAAGACAAGAGAAATCATCAGAAACAATAAACAACATGTGAAAGGAAGGAGTAGAAGACAAGAGAAAAGAAAAATGAGTAGAAAAGAGGCCATGCAATATGTGAACTCTACATTTTCAAAGGAAGAAATAGCGAGCAGAAGAGAAGCCATATGATACTTGAACTCTACATTTGCAAAGGGAGAAATAGCAAGATGAGAGAAACCATCGGAAACAATGAACATCATGCAAAAGGAAGGAAGTGATCAAAAGGAAGTGGTTCAAGGAAGTTGGACGAGCATGAAAGGTGGTGCACCATCATGAACTACATCTATGATCGAACTCTACCAAAGAAAGGTCATTATGAACTACATCCATGATGGCAGTCCTGTTAGAAGTTTTGGTGTTTGAAGTTGGTCGCTATGTGCTGAAAAAATGGATATTAGAAAGTGAATGGTCAAGTTGGTGACAAAAATCAACAAACCTGTAATGCCTCATTATATATTTTGTGGGAAGGTAACAACTACAAGCAAAGGTCTCAAGAGACACATTGTGGGACATCCTGAATGCCGGAGGGAGTGGACATTATTGATTGAAGAAGCAGATGCAGCAAACTTGGACCCACCAGATGTTGACTTCTCCCATGACAACATGGCAGCCCCAGGTCATGTTCACCAGTGCTCGTCTCCAGATATGGACCAAAACCCTACACCCTGGCAAAATTTGTTGGGTCACTGTCGAAGAAATTGATGACGAGGATGTGACATTACTCACCAATAATGGCCAGTATTTCGAACCTCAGTCAGACACAGGCTGGGCACTGCATGAAGGGGAGACTATGTTTGAAAGACATAGAAGAGAGCAACAGGAAGAAAACAAAGATTGATGGGCACCCTTTAAGAATGTGTGAGTGTTGGATCATGGTGGCAAAGCATACACTAAATAGAAAGAGAAGTGGGGTCTAGCCCAATGGCTTGTCAAAAACCTCAGTCAAAGGCAGACTGATGAATTTCTGAAACTACCCATAGTATGTTCCAAGCATAAATCAAAATTTGAACTTACTGTGTTGATACTGTAATCAGACTCAAATCTGCTCAAAGTTTCCATTTGACAATAATTGGTCATTCTTGCAAATGGTGAATGAACTTCCACATGGTCCAGCATGGAGTTGTAAGAAGGTTACTATATGCAGTAACCGTGAGGATGAGAATGGAGAGTTGTTGCAAGAAGAGGTGGAATTATGAAGTCGAGATCCAGTCGAATGTGTGAAGGAGCTGATCAGGAATCCTTCTTTCAAGGTAGATATGGCCTACACCCCAGCCAGAGCTTATTCCGACCATGCAGGGGAGCATTGAATTATTGATGAAATGTGGATGGCAGACTGGTGGGCTGAGAAATAGGTAAGATTGTGCCAGACAGAGCAATAAGGATTAGACTGACCGGACTGACCTCTTATGCAGAAAGTGTTACCCAATGAAGCCACCATAGCTCCAATTATTCTAGTGTCTGACTGTTACAGTAACATGGCATGAGTCCCCTGCCAGCAGACAGCCCTCTGCCACCGCACGGCTATAGACGATACCGGAGTCTCACCAGCTCTATGATGATAGATGACGATAGATGATGATAGATGATGAGCGGCAACTGCCGGCTTAGATAAGCGGTCTGGACCGCACGTGACGACACATGACGACATAGGTCTAGAAGACCTATTTATGTTATCAAGATAGAAGGCAAGCCTCGTGCTGCCTCATGTACTGATAGAAGGATGCCTCATGGATCCTATCTACGATAGAAGCCCGCCTCATGGACGCCTATCTCTGACTCATGTAGATAAGCAGATTAGAACCCAGCTTTAGGCTGAGCTTAGATACGAAGAGTAGCCTTATATAAGGTCGAAGATTAACAGTAGACTGTTCCTTACTTTAATCTTACTAGGTTTACCCTTGAACTCCTTGTCCCGCTAAAGCTACCTGCTCTGACATCGACTTGTACCTTCAGTGACGCCTCTCACTGTCTGTAAACCTCTGCTATCATCTCAGCGTAACCCCTCGTTAACCACCACGAGCTACGTTCGAGTACGCAACCTTTGCTTGTCTGTAAAGGCCGACGACTCTCAGCACTCGGTACCACTGTCGTGGTTGTCGCTGTTTAGATCATCCTAGTCGCACACGACCGTTTGTCGTAACACTGACAAAACATCATTGTCCCAATTCCAAGGAGATAAGTCAGCATGGCTGGTATATATGTCTATTGGCAATATCACCAAAGCGAAAAGGTGTCAGACATTGGTGCGAGCAACTGTGCTCATTGGATACTTACCTGCAGGAAAGCTTGATTGCTTCACTCCAGATGCATGCTCCCTGGCTGGTTACAGACTCTTCCATTATTGCATGAGACTGCTCCTACATTCTCTCATCACTACCAGAAATGATGGTGTGGATATGGTGTGTGCAGACTCATGGATTCAGCATGTCTGTCCAATTCTGGCCGTGTATGTGGCCGACTTTCCTGAACAGTGTCTGGTTTCTTGCTATAAGAAGAATCATTGTCCAAAGTGCCTTGTGGGAGCTAATGAGTAAGGGGATGTACTGGACTCAGTGATGTATGATCCTGAGTCCACAAAAGATATCTTGCAATGGTGCAAGAATAGTCAGCATCCACTGGAATTCAAGGAGAATGGGCTACATGCCATTTATAACCCATTCTGGGCCAATATGCCTCATACTGACATTTTTCTAGCTTTGACACCCGATCTTTTGCACCAGATTCATAAGGGTATGTTCAAAGATCACCTCATTAAGTGGTGTCTCGAAATTATTGGGGAGGAAGAAATAGACACATGATTTAAGGCAGTCCCAGATTATCCTAGACTTCAGGACTTCAAAAAAGGTATACCAAATGTAAAGCAATAGATGGAAAGTGAGCATAAAGAAATGCAGCAAGTTTTTATGGGCATACTCACCAGAGCAGTACCTAGGTATGTAGCATGTCTTGAGGATGGTGTTTGTTGCTGAGTTATGCCTGGCAGTTGCATGTTGGCGGTGGCACATGCTATTCTTAATTTCTCATATTATGCCCAGCTTCACATTCACATGGCTGAGTCGCTGGAAGCTCTACAGACTGCCTTAGCAGCATTTCACACTAACAAAGACATCCTGAAGGAACTCTCAATACATGAACATTTCAACATACCCAAAATACACCAACTCACTCATTATGTTTGGTCGTTTTCATTATTTGGAGCAGCTGACGGATTTAACACAGAACTTTCTGAGTGTTTGCATATAGACTTTGCAGAGGATGCATACCATGCTAGCAACAAACAAGATTTCGAGGAGCAGATGGTCTTGTGGCTTCAATGCCAGGAAGCCATCTTCTTATGCAGTACATACCTTGATTGGCTGTCATAGCAACCTCTCTTTGCTGCAGGTCACACAGCGGTCTCGCACTCTGTTTTGGATTTGGATTTGGATTTGGACTCAGATTCAGAAGGAGAGGCTGCTATTCCTTATGCAACACCTGCAGATGAGCTCCAAGTGACCTATGTCCTTGCCAAGACCCCAGCACATCTCTACCAATCTGTTCAAAATATTGTATATGCCCATCATGGTGCAACAGATTTTATCCCTGCACTTCAATCCTTCCTTCGCACAAATCTTCTGCACAACACCCTCATACCAGGCATTCAGGACTGTTTTGATGTTTATCATCAACTGGTCATTGTGATGCCACCTGCTTTTCAAGTTAGTGATGCACCAATGTGCAGGCACATTCAAGCAACACCAGAGAGACTTGCATCAGGACGGAAACCTGGTTGTCCAGCTCATTTCAATATGGTGTTGATATCAGATGGTCCTCACTCTCCACACTTGTGTACTCTAGATGGTATATTTGCATTTGATTTGTTTTCAGTTTCACAGCAATCTGATCACAGTCTGCTGCAGGTCTGTGAGTGGCTCAAGTTTACATGATATTCTCACTCTCTCATCAGTTTGGCGAATACTCAAGAGCCCTTGCTTACATAGAGTGGTTTACTCCGTTCAGACCACCAGACACTTCATCTTGAATGCGACAAGTGTTGCACTCAATCTGCCAATTTCGCCGCAATGCTGCAGTGATTCACATCAACAGAATCATGTGGCCATGCCATCTAATACCAATGTGGAAACAACAATCTTGCTGGGTGGCAAGAAAAGGTTGGGTCAAGCTAATGCCTAGCTGCTATGTCTATACAGACACGTTCGACCCTAAAGGGAATTGCTACTAGAACGATGATGGATATGTGTGACCCGAGAGCGCATTAAGTGCAGGAAAATAGTGCACAAGGAATGTGTGAGGTGTGGGAATGTATCCGAGGCTATCCAAAGCGCGGGAATGTGCGGCCGAAGGTGCGGACAAGGTATAGGGAGGTTAAGGAACGAGGTTCGGAGAGAGTGAGGACAAAGGTATATTGCGAGGTAAGGAAAGTCTAAGTATAGAGAGGTATAGGGACCTAATAGGGGCTAAAAAGCACACACTACAAGGGACTACTTCGAAGGTAAACCTATAGGGAGAGGTATCCAGTACGAGGGAAGTGTCGTCAGTAGTCCTAAGTAATAGTCAACTGATACTGTCTAGTCTCTCACTCAGAGAAGGAAGGGATAGGAAATATAGTAAATATGTAAGGACATGTAATAAGGCTGCAACATATTTTACAAGCCTCGAGGTAAGGAAATTCACATACCAATGGGGTTTAGATGGACTATGGATGGACGAAGGACTTTCCTAATGCATTTCCGAGGTATCCGAAGCGTGGGAACGCGCGTCCAATGCGGCTGATGTGCGGGAAAGTGCGGATAAGCAGATGCACAAAGTGCGGGAAAAGCGGTTTCGGTTTCGGACAAGGTTATTTGCAGGATAATGAATGTGCGAGGACAGGAAACTCATAGTGTTCTATGCTCCTTGACACAAGTATCAAAATGGCCTATTTGCTGCCCAGTGCGGGTCCAAGCGTCACACCGAAGATGGGACAGTCTGTGGACACAAAGTTAATAACTGGGAATGTGTATGAGGCAGCTAATGAATTTTATTTTAATGATTTCATCAATGGTGAGATGTTTTGTATGGCTATGACAAGTATTTAGTAGACCTGCAAATACTGGATGGATGTGCCTGTGGTAACCTGTAACATCCTATAGGTGCCTGTAGCACAGTCATAAGTCCTGTAGTGTGGCTCGAGGTCATATAGTGTCATATAGCTCTATGTAGGCTGAAGGGAGCCTACATAGTGCTATCATGACTATATGTGCCTATATAGCTGTCACCATGGCTACAACGATTTTGGGTTTTTCCTAATGTGGTGCTTCATATGAACAAGTTTAGGCTTTATGAAAAAGTGTTACTGTTACGACAAACGGTCGTGTGCGACTAGGATAATCTAACAGCGACAACCACGACAGTGGTACCGAGTGCTGAGAGTCGTCGGCCTTTACAGACAAGCAAAGGTTGCGTACTCGAACGTAGCTCATGGTGGTTAACGAGGGGTTACGCTGAGATGATAGTGGGGTTTTACAGACAGTGAGAGGCGTCACTGAAGGTACGAGTCGATGTCGAGCAGGTAGCTTTAGCGGGACAAGGAGTTCAAGGGTAAACCTAGTAAGATTAAAGTAAGGAACATCTACTGTTAATCTTCGACCTTATATAAGGCTACTCTTCGTATCTAAGCTCAGCCTAAAGCTGGGTTCTAATCTGCTTATCTACATGAGTCAGAGATAGCGTCCATGAGGCGGGCTTCTATCGTAGATAGGATCCATGAGGTATCCTTCTATCAGTACATGAGGCAGCACGAGGCTTGCCTTCTATCTTGATAACATAAATAGGTCTTCTAGACCTATGTCGTCATGTGTCGTCACGTGCGGTCCAGACCGCTTATCTAAGCCGGCAGTTGCCGCTTATCATCTATCATCATCTGTCGTCATCTTATCGTCATAGAGCTGGTGAGACTCCGGTATCGTCTATAGCCGTGCAGTGGCAGAGGGCTGTCTGCTGGCAGGGGACTCATGCCATGTTACTGTAACAGTTACTAAGATTATCATAAGGCTAGTTTACTCACTCAGTAATGTGGGAAACATAGGTGCATTCGTTAGCATGCATAGGTGTATAATGGACCAGTTATCTTCTATTAGTGTACTATAGTATAAATAAGATGTAGATAGTTAGAAAGAGAAAGAGAACTGGTATTTTAATTGAAAACTGCACCCAATGCAAGACTGAGCACTACATCAGACAGACCCAGATAGCTGGACCTGCAAATTCAGATTCCCAAATGCTCTCTCCAGAGACCTCTGACACTCCTTCCTGAAGCCTCTGAAGCCAAACCTCTCTACTCCAGCTAGTGATGTACATGACCCAGCTTCAGGCCATGGGCTAGGCTAAGATTCACAACATGTTGACCAGGACACACTGATATTTAAGACATGAGGAATAGTCAAGAGATGAACAATACTACTTACTGGAGGGCAAAGCTCAAAGTAAAAATCAGATATCACTGCACAGGAAGACCTCCAGATCATTTGCAATAGCCCTGAAGCATGAGCGTCAGATACAAAGGTGGGGGAGCAAACATGATTGCCTACTGACCAATAGTTCCCAATAACAGTCGCACCTGCTGGAATGAGGTAGTTCTTCCAAATGATGGCCTTAGTCACATGATGCACAAAGCCTGTAGTGAAAGGTGGGTTGTTCATTATCACATCATCACAACTCAAATAAGACATACCTCCAAGACTGACAGGTCTCCACCTGAGACTCTCGAGTGTGAATGCAGTAACCTGCAGCAGCACTTCAGGATATGTATATGAAGTTGGAGTAATTTTTCCATAGGTGAAGGAGCGAAATCTCTCACTAGAGAGCAGGGCCAGGAATGATGGAGAAGTGATGTTAGCCCTGAAGCTACAAAGTATCAATATTTTGTTTTAATATTTCAGTGAGAAGAGGACTTACAGTATAAAGTCCTAAGTGAGAACAGGTGAAGGTTGAAGAACCAGACTAAACCAAACCTCAGCAGCACTAGGAGTTATTGACAATGTGGGCAGCTATCTCTGATGGTGTTGAAGACAGACAGGGAGGCATACCAGTATTTGCCTTAGCTGAAGTTGAGAAGGGAGAGCCTGAGAGGGTTCTGAAAACTTACTGGCAGTTCACAGTCTGCCGCCACCATCATTTTCAAGTTTGTTTGTTGCTGTGTGCTGTAGTATCAAATTTCATTAATTGTATTCTATTTTTAAGTTCGAGGCATGAGAACTTAGATAGAATTGGGTCTATGTGGCAATACAGCTTTTTGTGTTTCTCTTTGTTCTTCCTCCTACCACATTAGTACTTGCAACCCCTCCACTCATTTGACTACTCTCACATTTTGTCGCACCTGCCCACCACTCCCCTTTTTAGCAGCTCATGTCTCATACATAGAAAGGTGCATTGGTCACCTTAGTTCTTTTGTTGAAAACTCCACTCAATGCACTAATTTCAAGCTGCAGTTTCAATTGCCCAGGTTGCACTAAAACTTTGAGCATACTGGATATTCCCATCACCTAGGCAAGACCATGAATCCAGTGTGTGCAGCCCTTTTACAACATTCTGGTCTTTTTCCTCAGTCAGAGGATAAAGATTCTGATGGTCTTGATGCAATGGTGTCTTGTTGGTGATCTCACCCTGCAAGAAAAGTTACCACCAGACATACCAAATTTCAGTATAGTGCCACCTCATGAATGGACAAGTAGTACTGTTCTATGCTGTTCCACATTCTTTGTAAACTCATTCAGTGACAGACACACTTATTTAACTATCATCTGAGCGGTATAATGAAATTTATTGAAATACCTTTGAATACAAGTAGTTTACCAATTTTGTGAAATTCCCTGGTTTTTGATGCGAGTTCCTGAAATTACCTTGATTTCATAAAGGAGGTTTTCCCTGATGTTTCTGGATGTCAAAATTTTGCAGTGTCTGATTATCAGATGAAGTAGATGTTCAGAATTGCTCTTTGAGGTGGACATGTCAAATGTCCCTCATCAATTAAAAAGTTTGTTTATTTTGTGCAATTGAGTGTGATAGACAATGAGGGATAAGTAGTCCAAAAAAATATTTTGCTAGCATCTTCAGGCGCCAATCCAGTCTCTCCATGCTGAAAGCATCATCAATCCAAATGCTTGCGACTCTGTACTCAGCAGTCCTGTTTGATTCCAATACGGAAAGGGATCTGGTAAAGGATTCACTATGGGCTGCATGGTACCGAGGTTCGTGATATTGCCCACTACAGCATCTCGTATTTTTGCAGCCACATCTGTGTAATTTGTGCCGAATTTCTGGGGGAATAGATGTGCAACCCGATATGCCACAGAAGAAAGAGCAGCGGAGGAGGCTGCGTCAGGAAAGGACGGACCCCCGGTGATATAGTTCGGGACCAAATTGTCTGATCTCTGTGTCGAGAAAATCATGTTAGCCATGAATGGGGCCAGAAAGACTTGTCTCTACCAGGGCAGCAAACTCGCCATCCAAAATTTCCTTAATCCACAAGGTAAGATCAGCAATCTGGGGAGCCATTTCTGAAGAGTGCTCAGTCTTCTGAATCGTCACAGCAACGCGCAGCATGCCATGTGCTGCCCACGCATTACCTGCGCAAGTTTCGCGCGATTGTAAGCTGCATATTGTATATGCGGAATCCGAACCACGGAAGTACTCACCAGTTCCCCAGATACCTTCGTCTATCCACGTTTTATTATCGTCGGAGTAAATATGTCCCCAGAGCTTTCCAGTGGGACCGTCTAGAATCAGAGCGTCACGGTACAACCGACATTGATCATATGCGATTTGGAGGAGAGTTGCGTTGTTGGTAACCGCCCCAAAGTATGCAATAAAGGGGAACCCCATGTAGACGCCATCAGCCCTGTTCAGTCACGTTGAGCATTTTAACACATCTCAGATAGCAAACATCGAACCAATATTGACGTGAGTCAACACGATGGGAAATAGCTCCAGTAGAGGTACGAGGAGCTACGTCGAGTAACTAGCCGTCATCGGTCAGTCGGAGAAGCTGAAAGTAACTGCAGAACACACAAAATTCAGTTGGGCGTTAGCCGCGTCCAGCCAATAGTTGTACCGAGATGGGTCAGTCAAACTCCCTGTTTCAGTAGTTGAAATTTTGAAATTTCCGGCACAACAAAGTGGTGCTTACCCAGCAGAACTGCAGAGCCAGCGGAGGCGCCATCTAACGCAGCGCCATCCAACGCATCACCGACTTCTTGACTGAGGCGACCGTCAGGACTTTGCCGTACAGCAGCGCTATAAGCCAGCTGCAGTGTTGAAAGGGGGAAATTTCCATCGGAAACAAATGGGGAAGATCCAAAGACAGAGTACTCTGGATCATCGAATTCGAGCACGGCTCCCGCCGCGGTTCCTTGTTCCCAACTAAACCTGAGCACGATGCAATTGGTTTGAGTTATCATATGATGGCTTACCTGGTCCTGACAGAAGCCAACATAGCTGATCGAATGCTGCCTGCTACCCATAGCTTGCTGTGGTACAGTGATGCATCTGAAGAATGGGCTGCATATGCACCAAGGCATAGGAGGGACCATGCACTGACCGCCAGCCTCGTCTGACGCATTATGTGATGCGAGTAGGGACGGACGGAAGCTGCGAGAGGCTGCGAGAGACAAACGAGGGACTACGGTAAACGTTAGTGACGGTCGAGTATGATAATGAGTGCGAGTATCTCACCTCAGTCTGAGTAGAATAGACTGAGGTGTAACGACGAGGGATGGGGGATTATATACCTGTCTGCGTTAGCGATGGTATAAAGTACGAGACCGTTCTTGTACGTGTGCGCAGCAAGTGAATGTGAAAGTAAAACGAGATAAGAGTAATAGCGAGACTTGCCGCATGTTACGTCCAAATATCCAACATTATGAAGCAAGGGTAGAGACGGAGAATGTAAAATTGCTACTTAAGTCGGGATTATTCGATTGACGACCCCATGAATAGTCAAGACCCCATTGTTTAAATGGAATACGCCGATGCGATCATTTAGGATTTGTCCGGCAACGACAACCGCCGTCGCCGGGGCTACAAGCGCTTGAGAAATTTCGTGGCGTGTCTAGCTAGCTGAGCGCTGAGCAGTGATGGCCCTGTCAATTTCAATCGGTAATCATCCTGGATGGGCTATTGGAAACTTCGAGGGGGATTGAGGGATGGGTGACACATGAATAATAGATGAATATGACATACTAGCGCAATTGTAACACTGGGTAGTTTTGTTGAAGCGAAGTGACTTCCGAATTCGGTTCAGTTCCGATTGTGAAGCAGTTTGATCTACCGGCGACTGTCAGTTATAACAGCAACTTACTCAGTAAGCACTTACTAACTTACTTCAGTGGCATCTAGTGGGACCTAGCTAAGTATGCTACTCTGACATACGCATGTAAAGTTATATGTATCGTGAGGGCGTCTACAAACCAAGTCTCCGGCTCCGTTTTGCGCATCCAAATTTGCCCTACACTCTTGACAGTGACTTTGAATATTTTCTGCAGTATTCCTACAGACATCGACTTTTACTGAGATAGGTCTGCCAAAATCTTGTTTCAGTCGAGAGTTTGAAATGGAATGTAAAAAACACCAACTTTCACACATTGCAAGGCCGGCCGATATTTCATCTTTCAAGAAGTGCTTTTGAAATGAAAAACCAAGCAACAACTTATATGTTATATGCGTGTGAGCACATACACAGGGTAACGCACGCACTGGGATAAAACTGTTCCGACTGCTTGACTGTCGGACAAGGTGACAGCACAGCTGAAGCTTTGCGCACTTGCGTGAATCAGGGTTTCGAGGCGCGTTGATCTCGAAACAACAATCACACAAATGCCCGCTGGAATTTCTGCCTGACTATTCCGAAGGCTTGCTGCGAGTACGTATGAACTGGCAGCGTGGATATAGATTCTAACAGTGGTCTCGCTATTGGCCAGATTCAGTGCTAGCAGCTACCCCATCTCCACGGCGGAAGGTCCCGACGTCTCTGCAGCTCTGCACACAACACTCGACCAGAGTGCTTGGTACAATTCCGCACTTTGGAGGGAGCCGAGCAACCTGCAATAGTCTGTCATCTGTATACATGACATCGTACGTAAGCGTGTACTTTTTCGTGGCGAAAAGACCGGAGCTCGAGCGCTAAAGACGCTAGAGAGTCGGCCACTCTTCAAAAGCGCCTTGGCTGAATCGAAAGAAACTGATGTTACCCGAGTCCACAGCCGCGATGACTATATTCTTTTTGCCAGCCTTGAGTGCTGCAAATGGATGCGGCCGTGGTTGAGATGATATAGGCTGTGGCGTTGATAATGGCAACAACCACGAGAAAATATATTTGAATGTTGATGTGTGGACGGGCGACGCGACTGCTGCAGGGGATGATTGAACTACCGGAGGTGCTCCGCGCTTTCGTGGGAGAGGCGGGGGAGTTTCCGGAAGAACATTGAATAGCTCCGTCAATTCGTACAGAGAGGGCACAAAAGCGGTTCGCGCACTGTCACGCAAAGTTCAACTGGCATGCCTCAACAATCAGTTTGGTCTTACTTGATAATGACAATCTGGAAATCAGGTTGTGGCGGAGTAGTTTTCCGAAAGTTGGTCGAGGGCTTGTACATGTTGTAGAATATCTTGTATGGAGACGAGGGTGTGACAGGAGTCGCACAACTTGAATGAGGCGCGACGGAGTGACCTGCAGGTATGACTCGCAGAGACTTGAGGACCTTGCCTAGACAAGACTCGTTATTGAAGAGCTCGAGCGGAGTAAAGTGGTTCCAACCATATGATTTATTGTGATGTATCAACCGACTTATCCTGAGTGGTTTCCACCAATTGAACGACCCTCTCCAAAATCTCAAAACACTCGTCGTAAACAGCGAGAAGATCGATAATAATCTTCGGCAAAATGACGGAGGTGCTTCACTCCTTAGGCGAGGTGGGGGTACTGGATAACTAGGACTGGGTGGATCTGTGCGGGTGACAACATACCCCAAGCGCCTCAAGTATGCAAAGACCTATGAGCAATATTGAGTATTATTCATGAAAAATGTCTGGTTTCAATCACCTGATATTTTTCGAGCGTCAGATCTTCCTTCCCAATTATTTCTGCAAAAGCCTGTTGAACAGACATCGGAGCACCTTCGACGTCATCCAATCCAGTCAAATCTGCTTGAATATCCTTCCAGCAGAACAAAGCACCCCTTTCAATGAGATAAAGTGCCTCTTCTGGCAGTAACTCTAGTCTCTTCTGCAGCTTCGTTGAGCCGTTATCAATTGATGTGGGCCGTGCTGCTGAATGGCCCATGACAGAAAAGTGGATACCTCTGGCAACGGTGACGTGAACGCGAGATATTTGCGGGAACCAGATGCCATAGCTAGCAGATTTACTATGCGGTGATCAATATTCGATTCACACAACTAAAACATAAAAAGTACCTAGATATAGCGCGATCAGCTTTGAGGGCGTCGAACATCGCAGCGCGTGCTCGGTCCAATACATGGACTTGAAGACCCGAACCCCCTCCTGGAGCGGGCTCAAAATCTTTCTCTCCGCGTTTTGGGATCACCGGACGCATGGTGCCAATCTTTCTGCTGCGCTTAGTATAATATATGTACATATGATGCTCAGGGCTCACGGTAGCTTTGTCCAATCCAGACCTCCATCTTCATCCCCCGAAGATTCTTCTTCAGCTGGATCCAAAGTGGAAGTCGCAGGCTGAGGTTGTGGCCTTTCTAGTGCATGATCCATGGTAGACTAGTGGACTAGAAATCGTCTAGTCATGATTAGTACAAAACGCTATGATTACGTAATTTTATCAGGTAGTCACACAAAAATGTTGAAAGCTTTGGCGGAAGGGTTTCGGAGTGGACCGCGATCATGGTAACAGAACGGAAACCGACGTTCTTCCAGTCTCTCGCTGTGCGCAAAGTTCCTTGCAAGATGAAAATATCTGTGCCGACGTGACATCCCTCATAGGCCGGCGGATTGGCAGGAACAGCGGTCGACATACTGTTCTTCCCGATAGACACTGTCAAGACCCGTCTGCAGTCCGCGCAGGGATTCATCAAGGCTGGCGGCTTTCGCGGGATCTACAAAGGTATGGGTAGTGTGGTTGTTGGAAGCGCCCCAGGAGGTATGCATGGAGTAGGTTGTCTGGCCATGGTCGTTCTCACGCGGAGATTACAGCTGCTGCATTCTTCTCTACATATGAAGCCATGAAGCGCTCGATTCCTCTTCACGACCAACTTGCGCCTGTGAACCATATGCTGTCCGCGTCTGTGGGAGAAGTGGCAAGTCCTTGACTTGCAAAATTTATCTTGCGCAAATGAATCTTTTCCCGGTCAGGCTGCTTGTTTGATACGCGTTCCTACAGAAGTCATCAAAACCAGGACGCAAACATCAACGTATGGTGCTTCGGCATCTTCGTTTAAAGCTGCAACGCTTGTCCTGCACCATGAGGGTATTCCAGGATTCTATCGTGGTTTTTGGAGTACTATCATGCGCGAGGTAGACGAATGGATTCCCACATGAATGTTCAACTGATTTAGTACTTGTACTTCCAAGATACCCTTTACATCACTCCAATTCCCGCTATATGAGTTTCTCAAATCTCGACTATCAATATATCTGGACCGAAAACCCCTATATGCACACGAGGCTGCTGTCTGTGGGAGCATAGCCGGGGGGACTGCAGCAGCACTAACAACACCGCTCGACGTCCTCAAAACACGCGTCATGCTTGATCTTAGAGTAGGTCTCTGTTATGAATCTTGATGACATATTTACGGCGTATCCAGGACCCTTCGAAGCAGCAAGTGCCAACTCTTCCTATGCGGCTTCAGCAGATTTACGTGCAAGAGGGCGCAAAGGCTCTTTTTGCAGGTATAGTGCCGAGAACGATGTGGATATCCGCAGGAGGGGCTGTCTTCCTTGGCGTCTATGAATGGGCCGTTCATGGTTTTATGAGCGCCTAAGCGAGAGCAAACCTACAGTCGAAATGCCCATCTAAAACGGCCGGTAGGAACGGTGGACCGGTGGGGGTACGCCCTACACCTGGGGCATTTGCGATTTTAGTGATACGATGCAGGGCATAGGTATCCATTAGACTAGATGGTATTGTCCAATATATGGTAGATTACTCCAATGGACATAAAATGGATTCAAAAAAAAACCTGTGATTAATTATGCCTATCTGTCAGTTTTCCAACACGTCATTTTTTACAGTCAGCAAGATCAACAACGATAGACTAGTGATCAACTTTGCTGTTTTATGCTACCCAAAATACCTAATGCCCAACCTTTATCGCCATGAAGCTTCTCAGCGAAGAAATTGCCTAAAACATCCTGCAACTGCGCCATAGTCACAGAATCTCCATCGTCCGTTGCATCTAATGACTCAGGCATATCCGATGCGGGATGCAGAACATTCAAAGCGGTCTGTTGGATGCTCAACATGTGTGATCACGCAGAATAAAAGGGATACTGACCATAACGGAATCGACGAGAGGGCCAGTTTCCCCTGGTGTGCATTCACTTCCCACAACTTTTACTCCGCCACCCTCCACAAGTCCCTTCCTTACCGCCTCCTTTCCAATCCCCACCAGGCCGCGAATGGCACCTTCCCGCGTTCCCTTGGATTTGTCTGCTGAAATGAGAGCAACGAGGAGTGTTTTCATAATCCGTGGTGAAAGGGATGGATAAGTCGTCGAGTGTTGGGTAAGCAAACGGGATAGCGTCTGAGCAGCAGACGTGCGCAAGTGGGTGGTATGTGATGGTGGAAGTGTGGAATGGAGAAGAGTCGAAAGGATAGCCGGTAATAATTGGTGGAGCTGTACAATATCAATTTACTGAACAGTGTCAGGTTTGATTTATCACTCACATAAGGCTCGATGAATAGCGTATTGTTTTCGAGAATAGCGCTAACGACATCCAATAAAACCTCCAACGATCGACCATCTGCTTCAGTTTGAGCGCCCTCCTTTAGCGCAGTCACGACACCCTCTCCAACCCAGCGAATAAGGTAAGGCAAGAGCGCTTGTAATCCAGCATCATTGCGCAAACTTGCAAGGGCCGCTGTCCGCTTGGTAGAGTCAGCAGTAGGGGGCAATAATGACGCCGTAAGCCGCGTATAATACAGCTGCAATTCTCGTGATAGTACTTGTTTGACTAGCTGCTGCTGTTGTTGCTGTTGCTTCTTGACAGTAGATCGGCTCTCTGACGGTGGGGTCAATGGGAATGCGCCGTTTGCTTGGGGTGGTGACTTTGTAATTTCTTGATCGACGTCCTTCGGTATCGCCGGGGGATTTTCAGGAATGAGAGGCTGGACACCTTCAACTGCAAGCCAGTGAGCAGTCCAACTGACACCTTTTGGCAGTGTGATTTTCTCCTCTCGAAGCACGCGGTCAAAATCGATCTCTTCATCTTCCACGAAGTAGACAGGGCCTACATTAGCCGCGTTCGGAAATGGAAGAGCCCGTCTGAATACAGGGGGATTGTGTGGATTGTGACCATAAAGAGGTTCGATGTTCAGAACTCGAAGGGCCTGGTCAATGTCTGAAGTTGTTATTGTGGTTCGTCGAGCATGGCGCATGAATCGCGAAGCCTCCTGATATCTTCTTAGCTTCTGACAAGTGCATTTAAGCGTAAATCACACACCTCTATGACCTGATGGATGCGATACTCAACATCACTAGCGAGTGAGGATGCTACTGTTTCGGATAAGTTGGCAATGCCTAGCGACTCGGCAACGTCCTGCAAATGTCGGCTTCATTTCGTCGTATAAACTGACACTGTTGTAATGCATACTCTGACCGAGTCTGACTTGTATATCCCCGTTTGATGTGTCTGAGCAGCTTTCGCTTTCGGTTTGCTCATCGTGATGTTGAATCTTATTATGCCGCCTCCACTGGGAGGACCTCATTAAGTCACGTGCACATCAAGCCTTTGCCATCACTTAGTCAACCTCACCCAATGGGTTAACAGTTTTGGGGTACTCAGTCTCCTGCATGCAGCATCCTGAGCCACAGGCTAAATACAACCAAGCGTTATTTCTCCGACGATTTACCGAAACTGCTTGCCGGGCTCTCTTACACACCCACGGATAAGTAGGAGTCCGTATAATATAGATATGCATATGCTGTTCTATCATTACTTGTATTAACTTCCCCTCACTTGCACCAATTGCTCGGCTGTGTTACGTGCACCTCGAGTCTTTGCATAACCCATTTTCTCAACACTCGACCAGAATCAGCGATGTCACAAAACCAATACAACGTTGACAGTCCTTTGACCTTTATTTATAAAGAGGTCGACGGAATCCGTGTCCTGCTCGACGTCTATCTTCCACCAGACGGTGCCGACCAGCAATTCGCCCAGCAGGTGACTCAGTATCACCCAGCAGTCGTCTACTTCCACGGAGGGGGTCTAACCGTAGGAAATAGACGGAGCTGGTTTCCTACTTGGCTGAAAAGTCAGTTTCAGGCATCTTTCCCTCATGCTGAACACAATAACACCTATTTACTAATGCGATCCCCAAGGCCGGTTGCACGCACGCGGTATCATATTCATCAGTGCAGATTATCGTCTCATTCCTCCAGGGACTGGATACGATGTGCTCGCCGATGTGAAAGACGCCATCGCCTTTGTCGCGGGAGATTTGAATATTCAGCTCGACCAGGAGCTGGCTGATCTTGGCTCTGGTTCGCGTTTCCGCATCGATCCCATGTCAATCGGTGTGGCTGGAACTAGTGCGGGCGGGTTCTGTGCGTATCTATGCGCTATTTATGCAGTCCCGAAACCGAAAGTGGTTCTCAGTTTATATGGTATGGGGGGCGATTTTCTGGTATGTCCCGTCTTTTCGTCTCCGACAGTCTTTCATCGTATTAATACTACGTACTTCAGACAGACCAATATCTCGCTCCCAAGACGCAAGCTTTCCTCCGGGGGAGAGAAATGCTAGATCCCGCACAGTTCTCTGAATATATACATCCGTTCAACAATCTCCAAAGCACTTCAGACTCACCACTCCTATACCATCCACAGTCGTATCACATCCCGGGATATCCTGCGAACTCGCGAATGCTAGTCTCACGCTTATACCTGCAACTTGGGATTGCCTTAGATTATATTACAGGCCAACACGAACCGAGTCTTAGTGTTGCGTTACACGAGGCTATTCATACTGGGGATCCCTTCGACGAGGCACTCATTTCTGATCACAAGATTATTTTCCCTCAGTTCAATGTCACATCGGATTGGCCGGCAACATATCTCATCCATGGAACCAATGATACGGCTGTTCTCCTGCGGGAGTCTCGTAATTTGCATTCCTTGCTCTTGAAGGCTGGCGTAGAAGTCATATTGGAAGAACTACCAGGTCGAGAACATTCGTTCGATTATCAACCGGGCGCAGAGCTGGAAAACGAAAGATCACTCGATGATATCGTCCAGTTTCTTTATCGCCACCTAACTTAGAAGCAGTACCTAATTTGATGAATGATTCGGACTGACTAGTGCTGACTGTTAGTCTTGGCAGTTAGATAGATAACAGACACAACACAGTACCGAGTACAGTTTCTGCATACTAGGTTTCCTCAAATGTGCTCATCATCGTATATGTACTGCAGTTATTGAGACGTTTCTCCAACGTCTTACAGTCATGGTTTAGACTTTTCCCCGTCACCAAACTAGATGTAGAGAAATACAAAGCACTCTGTTCGATGTCCCACTGCTCGATCATTCGACAAATTGTCAGTTACCCACCAGTACTGTGCTTCGGCGTTTAAAAGAAAGGTGATTCGTATGCATACTTGAGCATGAACTTAAAATTACATCTAGAAGGTGATTGCATATGGAGCATGTTAGGTTAGAATAAAGAATTCATGTCGACACATAACCTTGCCGATCATCCTGAACAGCGACCGGGAGCGCTCTCTAAAGGTAAGAATGATTCACTTGACTGGAATAGAGGGTATTGATCTCATCGGAGGGTGGCAGTGAATACTGCAACAATGGGTCACTAACGCTGGACTCCTTTTCCTTCGTATAATGGATGGTGCCAACAGTCGAAACGAGTAGGTGTATACGTGATATTGGTTCCAGTGGTAGGGTGATCCAGCTGAGTGCTAACTCGAAAGCTTAAACCTCAATGAGTGAGACTACTATGCAGGTTTTCGACATGCAGTTTGGACGATGTGGACATGGGATAGAAGAGATCATCCTGACCGCGAGCAAATAAAGTACAGACACATCATCCACAACAAAAGGTAAATGAGGCCGCAAGCACAATTCTGCAAACAGAGCTCAACCGAACGAAGTAGTATGATGATGTGAAGGCCTACAGATTGGATAAAAAGACAGCGTGTTGAGGGGGGGGATGAAATGGTGCTCGTCGGTCCACAAGAAGCAGGCCGAGTTCAGGTTGGGTCGGGACTCGACGGAACAGGAGTCCCGCACGAGATATGGCCAAGACTGAACTTATGGAGGTAACACCCTATCCGATAGAAAGGGATGGAAGAGTACGTGCTGTGCAATGACACCTGTCATGCATGTCATGACTCGGAAGGGTGCTTATAGATACACATTCAATTCACGTCATGCCGCACCACACAGGCTGTTGCCCTCACTGCTGTAACATCAATTCAGCGCGTCCTTCAACATGACAGGCTCTTCCTGCTCACACCTGCTATACTAGGCAAAGGCCACAATGATGCCCGTTTGGTTAGGAGGGTCAGTCGGACCGGTCAGGGCTAGCTGCTAGACCCATGAGAACACCAGGGTCCAGCGAGTTTCACCCGATAACAGAGCTGCGGATGTTCAACTGTGACCAGGCGCCGAAGATTCTGCTCAGCGTGGGCCGATCCGAGCATGTTGCTTGAGTTCTTGTGCAAGGATGATACGAGCTGCTGGGATTGATCTGACTACAAAGTGTGTGAATGAGTTGGTCGACATTTGTATGCCAGTGTAACATGATGACCTATTGCAATACAAATGTTGATTGATGATTCTATAACAGTTCTGTATGATCATTGTTTGATTTTCCTTCCTACCTCTTCTTTGTCGATATCAACCCCTTCATCATATCAAAGCTATTGCCATCAGGCTGTAAATCAATGAACTCTCCACCGCCCATCGGCACAGTACGTAACAACCCATGGTCGGGAGTAATACCGACAATGCGGACACTTTGGTGTGGGGTCCGGTCCGTTAGTGTGACGAGCTGGTCCCTGTGGGAACCACGAGTAAGTACGATAGGTAAACTTGACGTAAAGAAAAGCACAACAGAGACGTACGAATGTAACCATGATCGGAGGTATTGATCCATGAACGGATGAAAACCCTGTTCCTGATTCTGCAAAAAAGAATTCCACATGCGCTCAAAAGAGGTGAGAACCGCCGCTGCTACACGTTCTACAGAGAGCCCTGAGGTAGGTGTAGATGCGAGTTGGGCGAGTGAGGCGATAGGTGGTGCGTTTGAGACGTTGAGGCCGCTTCCTGTTGACAGTGAGCTTTCATATCACTGAACCAAAAGAGGGAAGTACCATACCGATTACTACATCTGCCACGCCACCGCCAAAACTAGTGTTTATCAGTACCCCGCCAATTTTCCGTGGTTCCGGTGTTGACTTTGAATTTGATACAGGGCTGTGTTGTGAAGATGGGAAGAGGCCATAAATGTCATTAGGCCACTTCAGACGGACTTTATGGGCCCATTCGGAGCCGGGGTTGAGGACGTGACATGCGTCGATGATTGCTAGTGCGTAGAGGTATTGGATGAATACGAGGTTGGAAGGGGCGATTGTTGGGCCTGGTACTGCTATCAATTTTCGGATATCAGACAATTGAATAAAAAGTTGTTAGTCTTACCTGACGAAGACCCTTTCAGACCGATTCGAATCTTGAGCGACATCTGCAAGCACCCTGCAGGTGAGAGCCACGTGTTACCACCTCTGCCGCGTCCTGCCAATTGTACTGTGGCGAGGGAGACGATGGGAGAGGGGAGTACACGGAGGAAAGATGGGTTTCTGCTCAGAGAGGGTTTCAGTAGTCGGTACGATGGACGTGATTGGGCGAGACGCACTTGTCAAACATTGTTTGTGTGCTGGAGACTATTTCACCGTACATGAGTGCTTCGCCGATGCGCCAGGAATCTTGGTTTGTGCCTTGGTTTGTATCTTTCATTCCAGAGTGGAACTCGTCTATGGCGCGGAAGAAGGCAGAGGGTGAGAATTGTGGGGTGTATATTCGTTCATCCTCGATAGTTAGGGGTCCTGAAGGTACGAGTACGTGCTTGACTTTCGGGTTTGAGAGGAAATTGGGTGGAATGAGTTCGAGTATGGGGTGATCGGTGTTGCTGGCCTCGGGAGGGAAGGATGGGAAGTGAAAGTGAAAATTGTCGTTGGTATCTTCGAACACAAAAGGCTCCCACTTGGGTTGTGATTCATCGCCGACAGCTGACCCAGAGTTTAAATGATCGTGCAGTGCCTCTACAATGCGATACTGTACCTGCCATGAATCCGGACGAGCAAGAAGAAACTGAGGTAGAATGTGAGGCTCAAGACCGGAATCAGCTCTCTGCGAGGAGAAGTGCAGACCAAGTGCAGATAGCGATCGTGACAGCAGGATATCTGGAAGGGGTGGGGTGCAATTCCACATCGCGACAAGCCCGCTTTGAGATAAGATACCAGCAGGTGCATTCCCCTCAACATAACGACCGATGATGTGTGCTTCGAGGTCCAAAGGACACATGGGTAGTCTGGATACAGATAGCACGGTGTCGTCGATCAGTGCATCCGCTCTTGTTCCAGAAGCAGTTGAGAAGGAAATGTAGAGGGATGCGTTTCCATCAGCGACTCTGAGTATAGTCGTGTCCTTTACCATGCCCAGACCAAGACCCGCGGATAGCGATCCAAAGTCATGACTCGAACCAAGTAGAGTGCCTTTTCTGACGCCAACGCCAAATGCTAATATCCTACCTCCGGACTCGATGTATTTGCGGACAGCTGCATGATCTGTAGGAGGGGAGAGGAGTAAGAGGAGGGCACAAGAGGTGTGCCATGGATATTCTTGTACGGAGAGTTGAGATGGCGTTAGCAGCTGTGGTAAATAGTGCGGTGTCAATATTGAAGCAAGCGTTTCAACGAGAGAGGGAGCGGCTGGGTGTGTGCTGGGATACACTAGCACGTTCATTTAATTATTTGATAGGGGAGCTCAGAGACGGAGTAGCAGCAAAACTTAAACCCATTTCCGGCAACTGCAAGTGCGGGAATAAACCAAAGCAGGACTCCAGCCACTCAACCAGGACCTCCAACACTTGTGTCGACGCCCAATCGATACCAACGTTTAAGTTCCAGTACCTTCCTTCACTCGGTGCTCAATCATGAGTCTCTCATCATTTCTACTCGGAGGAAAAACTACAAGCAACCAAAAAGTTATTGATACGGAATTAGATGCCCTCTTTCACACTCAGGTGTGTCATGCTGACTTTCATGCTTTTTTGCGGTGGTCCACATTGAATTATATCGGCTCATAAGGTCCAAGATAATGACAATACTGCAGCGTCCAATGACAAGAAGCGTAAATCAGAAGGAGAGCAGAGACATGGTTTGAAAAAGCACAAGTCCACACGCAAAGAGTCGCAACAACACGAGTCCCCTCCTCCAAAACGTGTTAAGCCGCGGGAGAACAAGAAAAAAAAGATCGACAAGAGAAAATTAGAAGCTGAAGAAAAATTAAAGGCGACTCTAGCCGTGGAGAGCAGTAGCACCGAACACCGAGGGGCTGAACCTGCTGACAATTCCGACTCCGAGGAGGAAAGTGGGCCATCTACGCTTGTGCATGAGTCGCTGCTGAGTGATGGTGCGAAGTCCAGTCGACGCACGTCCACGCGCAAGGAGAAATTCGCTCCGCCAGATGAGTCCGAGGAACAGCGCAACTTGCGCACGATCTTCGTGGGTAACCTCTCATCTGAGGTCGCCCAGAAGCGAGTGAGTCGTTGAATACTGGCTAATAATCGCATGAACACATACTGAATATGTGACAGCCTTTACAAAAGCAATTCCACAGGCACATTCTGTCGCTCGTTCCTACCGCAAAAATTGAATCCACAAGATTCCGCTCCGTTGCATTTCAGAACCCTACCAGTAAACTTCCTGATGACGACGGGAAAGAACAGACTAGCACACGGCAGCATGACCGAGATCGAGCATCATCGTGGCGTAAAACTAATCCCACAGTGGACGAGCCAAAAAACGACAAGAAGCAGTTTCTCACTCCAAGTCAGAAAAAAAAAGTTGCATTTATCAACCGTGAACTTCACCCTAGTGCCGATTCGGTTAATGCATACGTCGTTTTCGCATACCCCTCTCCTGCGAAAGAGCGGCCTTCGAATTTGCCTCCCCTTCCACCAGTCATGGACCCACACGAGGCGGCTCGTCTAGCTGTCGAAAAGTGCAACGGGACTGTTTTCATGGACCGCACGATTCGTGTAGATTCTTTGGGCAGACCAGCGGATAGCATTGGGAAGCAAAGTTCCCTTTTAGGCACTTTGGCGGGAGACCCGAAATCGTCGATTTTCGTGGGTAACCTTGACTTTGCGAGCAAAGAGGAAGATTTGCGGGTGTTCTTTGAAAGCCTTATCACTGCCGAACGTGGGCCCCCTAGTCAGGCTTCAGATGCACCCAAGCATTGGGTTTCACGAGTGAGAATTGTGCGGGATAAGGAGACTCAGCTTGGGAAGGGCTTCGCATATGTGCAATTTACGGTCAGTGTTTGATTATCACATGTGGGTAACATTCTGAAGATTCATTTCCAGGATCGTGTTTGCGTGGACGAAACTCTTGCAATGGAAGAGTCGAAACTCAAATTTGCAAAGCGCAAACTACGTGTTCAACGCTGCAAAATACTCCCCAAGGGCTCCACGACTGATACTAAGACTCCAAGCACTAATCACAGTGCAGGTGCAGCTCCACCCATCGCCGTACCAAAAGGCGATCCTTCTCTGGGTGAAAAATTATCGACCCTCTCTAAAGAGGAGCGGAAGCAGATCAAAGCAGCGGACGCCGGCCGGCTGGCGCGGAGGGTGGCAAAGAAGAAAGCGAGAATGGCGCTTGCGAAGCAGGGTGTGCCTGTACGTGGCAAGGATAAGGATAGAGAACGAGCAAGAAAGACGGGCGCTGTGAAGAAGGCCGCTGTCACGCCTCGTAAACAGAGCAGGATCCGAAGCGAGAAGAGTATGTCAAACCGAAATATGAAGAAATGATACGTCTTCCTTTGATCTTCAAGGAAGACTGCAATGTGTCATTTCATTGGGCTTGGAGATGTGCTTGATCTTGGGTCGTTAAACTTTCTCAACTTTGGCGTCATGGTATAAGCTGTTCCCCAAACCCATGATCAAATCTAACACTTCGATGATCTTCTTCATGAACTTATTAACTAACGCCATCGCAACAACACGCACCTGGTGGTGTGGTATTTGTCACACTCTTTGCACTCACAGAACTGCAGATTCTTAACTCGCCGTAACTCACAGAGCCAGGCCTGCAGACGAACATGATGGATCAGAAGGCATGCTGGCTTCGTTACGTCTCTGCGGATGCCTCCTGTCTCTTGAACTCTGCTCTCGACCGTAGTGCGTGAACTATTCAGGTCCAGATTCCAGACCTCAAGGACTGATTTCAATATGACCTCCACCCAATGGCGTATTCGTATTCACATTCGAAATTCACTTAAGACATGAGGAACGGTGTAACAGAGAATCCTGGAAGAGAGCGGGCAGTTCTCGCTATGGTGTATACGAATATAAGACGCCAGTAGCAGAAATCCGTTGATCACACTTCACGTGAATGCGCGGAACGATGCCGCAGTAGGGTTTACCCCTTTCTCAATGATGTGCAAACAAATGAATGCGTATAAGCCGCAGGGACTCTAAATGAAACTTACTGGATTGATACTGTACGGTGATAGTAGGATTGGAGCGGGAGCCCTTGGTGGTAAGCGCCATGATATGATGAAAAGCTGATAAGTCAATGATAAGCTTGCCGCTGCTTGCCGTGCGGCGTCTTCAAAATGAACCCCATATTCATAAGCAGCTCCATACCAGATTATATGCAGTGAGTCACGTTGAGACGGTCGCCGGTAATTATCCGGGATAACACACCAAAGTAACACGCATAGAGCGCTTTATGTAAAAAACCAAGTGGTGCCAAGGCGAATCCCCCAACAGCCTCACGACGAAGCGGAAAATTTAGCCTAGTGCGGATAAGTGAATATCAGGGTGAGTGAGTAAGATAGTCCCTGAGTACTGAGTTAGGGAACAGAGATCACGCTTACTGAGTATGCTTGGCGATGGGGGTGTACTTGTGCAGGGACCTACGGCGACCTCCGAGAAACCGATATATATATGATCAAAGATAGCTGTTAACTTGAAATGGTCTGCAGATCTCGAATGTATAGAACATCTGCACTTGCCAATTATGGGGAGAGTTCGTGGCATCCTGTGGTGAGCACGATAGGACACTAGCCTGTCGGAGACATGGTCCCTTTGCAGTGGAGAATCCGAACTTGCTGCACACTACCACGAGTGATAGCCGTTGACAAGAGAATGTCAGTGAGGTCATGACTGACGAGAGATGTCGAGCGTGCAACGATGTTACCCAAAATATACGTAGGGTGGAGTGGAGATGAGTTTCCATTCCTGGGATCTTCCATGAGAGAAAAATTTGAGCCACCAGTCCCGTGGGTGCAGGAAGCCGGTGCTCCCGCGTAACCCCAATGATTGTTATAGTCAAATGTGCCATGGCTAATCTGTATCAAGCTGATTGGTGGGATAGTCGATATCATGATCAACTGACAACGGATGAAGGGTCGAGGGGTGGTGACCTGAGCCGTTGCCACTGAGCCGAAAATTAAATAGGGACGTCAACGTTGAACATGCGTTCTCGCGACATCCGACACCTGCCACCAGGTCCCGCGCCGAGCGTTTCTACTATAAAGGGTGGGATGGTTTTCATGACAGGACCAGACAGGTCGCATCTTGGTCAATTCTTGCTTGGCGAGGCTGACATAACCCGGATTAGAGACTCGGTGTATTAGTACTAATACCCCGACTTTCCGCATTTCACGGTCCTCCATCTTCTTGTATCTTAACGACCCGTGACCAACCTACCACGTCCTTTTATGAACCCCAGTGGCCACAATCACTTCTCAGCTGCACGCGTTATCCAGCTTCTCGGTTGAACATTCTTCGGTGCCGCACGTCATGCTATTCCGGCCGGTAAGCCACTGTTCCCGCACCCGACTGCAGCTGCAGCGCTCATTGATCTTCACAGCTTGCATTAACCATACCGCATATTGCCTATGCATGTCTCGGAGGTTTCGTCGTCGTGGTAGGTACAGCACGCTCTGTCTACTTTTGCAGCATCTCATTACGACATTCGTTGCAGTTTGGCATGTTCTCTTTGTTCATTCGAGAAAAGGTAATGTAGTTTTATGACAATATTAGCCTTCATACTCATTGTGTATAGCTTTACATCGGCGAGGCATGTTGGGCTTTTCTTTTCGGCGTCATTATCGGTGAGCTCGCCGGATCATACTTCTAATCACGTTGCCTTAACATTCTTATTTTTAGGTCCATATGGTGCCGGCATATTTGATCCTCGCAGTTGGGGCAGTGACACTACTACCGAGGATACCGTGAATGAAATTACACTCGAGTTCACTCGTGTTGTCCTCGCAATCGGAGTCTTCGCAATTGGAGTCGAGCTTCCAAAAGCCTATATGAAGCGTCACTGGAAAAGTCTATTATACCTTCTATTTCCTGTCATGACATGGGTGGGTGACGTCCTGAACATCCCTTTGACCCATTCTCTAACCATCATCAGGGTTGGTTTGTGTCGGCAGGCTTGATTTATGCATTAATACCTGACCTCACATTCTTATCAAGCCTTGCTGTCGCTGCATGCTTGACCCCAACTGACCCAATCCTTGCTGCTGCAGTTGTTGGTGGCAAATATGCCGATAAGCACGTCCCTGCTCATCTTCGCCATCTCCTTGCGGCGGAAAGCGGTTGCAACGACGGAGCAGCGTATCCCTTCCTGTATATCGCATTGTATCTCATATTGGACTCCAGTACTGGTCGTGCAGTTGAAGATTGGTTCCTTCTTCTCTGGCTTTGTAAGATACAAAATCTGGTGATGGTTCCTTAGCTGATTCCGTTATAACAGATCAAGTCATTCTAGGTGTGGTGGTGGGCGCCTTGATAGGATGGGGCTTCCGACACCTTATGAAATTCTGCCAGCGTAACGATTTCGTCGATCGACAATCCTACGTTGCACAGTACATATCCTTGGCTTTGCTCACCATCGGTATCATGACTATCCTGGGTTCTGATGATCTCCTGGCAGCATTCTCTTGCGGAACGGCATTCGCTTGGGACGGTTTCTTCAACCGCCAGACAGAGGAATCGGTGTTTAGTTCCGTCATCGACTTATTATTCAATGTCGCTGCCTTCGTTTATGTCGGCGCCTGGATGCCGTTTGATAGTTTCAGCAACGAGACCCTTTCACTCAGCGTGTGGAGGCTCGTTGTTATTGCCATTTTAGTGTTGATGTTAAAAAGGTTGCCAGTCATGATTGGGCTATACAGGTTCATACCCGACGTAAAGACTTTCCGGGAAGCCGTTTTCAGCGGTCATTTCGGGCCCATAGGCATTGGTACGTAGTGTATCTGATATCCCTCCAGAATACTGACGTGACGTGTGTTACCATCCTAGGCGCTATATACATTTCCACATTAGCGGCCCAGCAGCTGCCCAAACCTAGCAACCCTCCAGCCAACCAGGCTGAAGTTTTGGCACTCACCATTCAACCCATCGTTGCATTCATGGTACTCTGCAGTGTCGCCATTCACGGTCTGTCCATCCCATTCTCACTCCTAGGCCGCCGCGTGCATTCAGTTGGGTCTCGTACGTGGTCCCGCCATGCCACATCCAACGTACCCGACTGGGCAACACATACGCGGCATGTCACGCGTGCGGAAGATGTCATCATTAACCGTGACCCTACTGGACTTGAGCGTGGTGAGGGCGGACTGACGGAAGAGGAGAAGTCTGTAATGGAGAGCAAGCGTGCAAGCACGGTCACTACGTCGCCGCTGTCGCCTGATGAGATAGAAGAAATTGGCGAGGCCAGCAGTTCAGAGACGCATGCAGAAGCTGTGCCTGCAAATGACGAGGAAGAGATGAAGGAGGAAGTGCCACCTGACGGAAAGGAGACGACTGCGGAGTGGAGGGAGGGCCCGCATAAAATTATTGAACGACGTGGTGGTCCTGGTGAAGAGGTACGCGTGGGTTGATTGATAATGATGATGGTTATGTTGACATCGTTTCCAGGTTGACGTGGAAGTTATTTATAACGCATTCAAGCCCTCTGAACGAGTCGTGCACTCCCGGTTCTCTGTAGGAGAAAGTGGCGCCTTACAAGCAGGTCGCGCGTATCTTCGCAAGTTACATCATGCGCCTGAAGATATACATCGGGCGGTTGAACATGTCGAAGAAAATGTTAAGCATGATATACATGCATTAGAATCCAAAGCCCAAGAAGTTTTTAAAGCTGGTGGCTCAAGTGATGAAAACACTGGCGCTGGCGCACGTGCTGAAGGTGACGAAGACGAAGAAGGATGGGCATCAGACAAAAGCGGAGATGGCAATGGACCTGCGTGGTTGTCTGGGGATCACAGGAAGCGTCCAAAATCATGGAAAACGAAGAGCGGAACCCATCTTGCGGCTGCCAGAAGTACGAGGAGCCATCGACGAAGACAATCAACGGGAGATGGCGGAACGTTCTCGAGCCATGCCAGGCAGCTTCTGGAGCAGGACCCACCGTTCGCCTTTACGGCTGAGCCGGGTGAGATTGCACCATCTGAGGATGAGGACCAACGTGGGAGAAGCCAAGCACCTCACCGCCAGGGATCAGGGCACACTTACCGTCGCTCCATCCAGCACCGACGGTTGGAGTCTCTGAAGACTAGCGAACATAACTCACGTGATGTCTCGCCTACTCGGTCGGTCCGGTTCGTCGATGAAGAGCGCCGGAGTGGTACCACTACTCCTAGAATGACGCTTGACCAGACGCCCCAGGGCAGTGTTAGCGAACCGTTTACCACTGATGACTCGGAGTCGAGAGGGAAGGTCACGTTCGGACCCGCTCACATAAGGCGCGCGTCTGAAGATTAACATATTGTATATATCTCGTTTGGTGCGTTTTTAATTGTCTAGCCATGGCATTGAAATTACTCGAATATCACTTTCGCATTACACCATATGCACTCATAACTTGTCGTCAATGTAGCATTAATGGCTTGAACATCATGTATAGATATATCGAATCTAAATAGCTATTGTATATGAAGGAGCTTTTGACGCGACTGTACGACAAACTTGATAAGGAGAACTAATGTCAAAGCTGTGTTAAACTACGGCACATATACCAGTGAATTTCCAAAGAGCGGATCAAGAGAGACGACACGATGCTCTATGACGGCGCCTAAACCGGACGTAAACCTGTTCTCATGAAATCCGTACCCAAGCCACGCTTCTGCAAACAGGACACCGCTGTGGCCCTTAATGTTCGGCATTGCCTTTTGAGCGATGATCGTCTGCAAATAGGGGGATGCGCGTATGTTGATGTATGGGCAATGGGCATGAAGACGTAATAAAACGCACCTTGGTGTCGAGGATGGAGTGGTCGTAAGCGAACCGTGTAGCAGTGTTAGTGACGTCTGGATCTGCAGGTGGGTTTAGGGTAACCAATACTGGGTAGTGGAGATCCTCTGGCGGATGCTGCAACTCGTTCGTGCACGCGCGAAGTCCCAGAGATGCCGTTCATTAGTACAATATTGAAGATGACGATGTGATATTCCATCAGCTTACATGTGTTGTAATGTAAATTTTACAATGCGGTCTTTGCTTGTTGAGTGTACTTACGACCTAAAATTACAATATGATACAAGTTCTTCTTGCCCCGAACGCTACATTCGTTCCTTACTCTGGATGTATACCGGCACCTCTGTGCCATCCTCATCAAGAGGCGCCCACGGGACGGGAGTGACCATCCATCTTGCACGCTCCTCGATTAGTCAACATATCCATCATAGCAATAATGAGTGGACTCACAACATTTCACCTGTGCGTACTGGGGATGGTGTCGCTTGCCTATGACGAGGGCGCCTCGCATGCAAAAGTTCATATAAAGGGGAGTAGCAATACTCTGTCTTGCATCCGTTGCGTGTTAATCCAGTTTGTGCGTCACTCCACCATCTCATACTAGCCATGGAATCAACTGTGCCCACAAGCTCCGCAATAGGCTTAGAACCCAGAAGAGCTATGGAGAAACTTTCACCGCCTTCCCATAGATGAGTATATTTGTTTCTAATAAGATAACATACTCACTTGTATCTGAAAGGTACATGGAGAAGGCAGGGCAATAGACGGCTTTGGTAACGAGGCACGTGGATTGAAAGAGCCGGATTTTCGCGAGCTTCCCCAGGACGTCTGAAGTAATGCGTTTCGTGCGAGGCTTATTCATGAGCAAGCGCCAGTGGCGCCTTTCTTAACCCTTTGATTGCAGCTGTGGCAATACCTCTGGTAGAACCAATGGAATGAGATATTAGGAGATGATCGAAAGCTAAGAACCTGGCAACTCACGTTTGAGAATTGACATTCAATAGGATTTTTTTCACATTTTCAGACCGAGTTGTGAATTCAGACTCCTCTGGACATTCTTCGGGAAGGTGCTCGCCAGACTCAATGTTGATACCTGCATCGAGAAGATGATGCTTGAAATCATCTGAGTATATAGAACCTTGGATGATCAAATTGCCCGTGGCTTTGTCGATACTTCCGTATGACCCAACCTGCTAAACATCAGCATGAAAGGCGATGTGGGCCGCTGATAACACGTACTGGAATCTCCGAGAGCGGGTCCCAGTTTGGATACTTTCCAGTTCGATCCAATATAAGTTCGATGAACTTGCGTTGGGCATGCGAATTTGGCAGCGTGTCCCAGGACCACATGATGTGTATGATGGTGGTTAATAGTAAAGACCCGAGTTATAGGGGACAACTAGAAGGCAGACTGTTCCTTTTATTCTGTCACCGATCATGCCAGGTTGCCCGCCTTCCCACCTGGGTTTCCCAATGAGTAGGACGTAGGGGCCAGGTGAAATTGACGCGGTCCTGCCGCGCCTGCCGGGAGCAACAGGGCCAACAGGGCCCCAGGGAGCTCGTGTATACTCTGATCACGTCATAGGCTACAAAAGCCATATCAATCTCATCAACGACACGATCAAATGATGATCCCGAAAAGATGTAGAATGTCTTTTGACAAGCCAATCAGAGATGCCCGTGTTTCTGCGGACGCTGAATAACATCTCAGCTTGAGGACAAGAATGCGCTGAAGAAAACGCAGAAAAGAACATGTGACATTTTGTTACTCATGAGGTGTGTGATACGATGACTTTCCTCGAACTCATCCAGCACACTTGTGATACAAATACAGGTACAATGCCATCTGGAGTGACTCAAAAGCCGGTCTACAAAAATATGAAGCAACACATTCTGTGCAAGTATACATCAGGACATACCTTGCGCTGTTCGCCCTTGGCCTGGAGTGAGGGGTCATTCGAAAGTTTGCCAGCCATCTTTTCCGCTTCGCCTATGTACGAATATGAATATGATTGCGAAGCCAGGTAAATAAAGACCAACCCGTAAATTTGGAGCCCATGGAAGACAACTTGCTCGTTGGACCACGACCGGTACCAGCACCGGCAGCTTGACCACTGCCAATGCCAGAATCATCATATTCATCAGTGTCGCGTTCATACCCACGGCTACGGCCATCACCGCCGATGCTCTGGCCATAGGCACTGTCGTATCCGCCACCAGGTTGACCAGCTCTAGGGACATTCACATCCTGAATGCCCTGGCCGCTGCGATTACCAGCCATTCCAGGGTCTGTGTCGCAGTATTCGTCGCCTTGACCGGAGCCCTGCTGACCCTGTCGACCGGTGCGGCTTTCATATCCACCAGCTTGGCCAGTCCCACTGCCTCCGTATGACCCTGAAAGGGCAGAGTCAGAGTCTCCCCCAGGGACAGTGCGCTGATTATCGATAGGGGCGTCATAGTTTGAGTCGTCGTTGAAGTCTCCTATCAGGATAATAGAGATGTTAAGTTTGCCTGGGATTTGTAAACCGTTTCGAACGACGTACGACGTTGACCTTGGTTTCCTTGATCATAAGACATTATTGATTGTCTGTTGTGGTTAAGAAAATAAAAGAAAGTAGGTCAATGGGGCTTTATATATATACGATAAATCGATGATGCAGCGATGACGATGAGGGTTGGTGCTGTTGACGTGTGTGTATTCGCGCGTCCTCCAGCACGATCCTCGACTTAAACTTCATGAGGACTTAGAGCCTGGAAAAAATCCTATGTGCACCAGATTAGCGCAATCGTCATATTCCAAAAACTATCATAGCATGAATGCACCTTTGTTGCGGCTAAGACAAAAAGGCATTTTTCGCTGATAACTCGAGCTTGGTGACCGAGTGTTAGTTGTGCCAAGGCATTCCATGAGGCGGTTCTACTAATAACTCCATTTGAAATCGACCACGAGCTTTTTTCTAGTCCATCAGACTCCGGTGTTCAGCAATGAATTGCGGAGCTATTCACATACCTATCAAACGCACTGGAAATGATTATCGCGCCGTTACTTCGGAGTCTAAGCCTTCTTGCTATCAATCTTCACCAAAATAAACGACAGTCAGGCGGAACAATATCTGCATGGCCCAATGATACAAGATGTCAAGCACACGGGAGGTTTTGTGGTGTCGTTCGGTATCCGTACACGTCTGGTCGTGCATTGCTACGTTTATTGTCCAACAGTGTTCACGTCCTACGACGACCCATTGACTCGGATACCGGGAGCAGGAGGTGATGTTCAATGGTTCATTCGGGATTGATACATCGTTTGATGTGTCTGCCAGTGTGATTAAATTGTCAATAGTGGAATTAATATTATTCACTGAACACTAGTACTCACTGCCGCAACCTCTGCTGCAGTGTCAGTCTAGCGATTGCATTGGTGGCTAGCAATTGTCGCTGCGTGGTGGATGATACAACCGACGACTCAGTGACCGCGACGCAATGGAAGTCCAAATCGAAGTTAAACATGACTTTCAAGGCTACCGGCCCGTATCGAAGCTAAGATCTCCGATCGCCGAAGAAAGCTCGCCGGTCCCAACTCGGTCAGCCGGTTTTGCGTCTAGAGCGTTCCATATCCACGTTTAAACCGCATCCAAACTGCATTGGCACCCCGGATCATTATCTTACCACTGGGACCAATATCACGGACGATACATATCGGCGTCAATGGCTTCTCCATCTGAATACTCGTTTCGACCGTTGGCACCATCCAATGTACGAAGGAAAGGAAGTCTAGCGTTAGTGATTCATTGTTCAAGTATGCAGTGGCACCCTCCCATGAGATTGAGTGTTTCAACTTGCAAGATTGCCATAGATTGCGAATTTCACAGGACCGAATATTCTATCTGGGTTCTATTAGCAACCACCTGACCCTACGTATCCGGTATGCTTCTGATTGGAATCGATCGCGCAGTTGATGGAGTTTACTTGCCAATTCAGGACGATGGTGCACTGTGTACGACATGGTCGATGCCTCCCCTCGCTTATCATCGATAAAAAGTCGTGGCAACACCCTCAGCTAGTTACTTCCTGTGTCACTCCGAGTCTAATTGAGGTGGGTGAGCGAGTTTTGCTCCAGCGCGCGTCGATGGTTGACGTTCAGCCATCACCTCAGCAGGTTGATATCTCGCATGACCCTGGCCTGATTTTTAATTCTTGATTTTACGTCGGACACAAGTAAGTAGTCCCTTGGCTGCTTTATTTTTTATCCATCTCACGTTATCGATGAGATAACATGCGGTTATTGAACACCAAGACCAGAAAGCTCGAAGAGTTTTTTGGTCAGATCCCACAGTATGCAATACTCTCGCATCGATGGCGTGATGGCGAGGTACAGTTCTCTGATATCGACCAGCCTCACGCCCGTAATATGCCTGGCTATTCCAAGATTGAAGGCTCTTGTACCCAGGCTGACAAAGACGGGTATCGCTATGTCTGGATAGACACTTGTTGCATCAATAAGAGCAGCAGCTCTGAACTTTCCGAAGCAATCAACTCGATGTTCATGTGGTACAAGAAGGCCCAGATCTGCTACGCATATCTAGACGACGTGTCCGGATGTGACAATCTGAAAGAAGAGTTTTTTAAAAGCCAGTGGTTCACAAGAGGGTGGACTCTCCAGGAGCTCGTGGCCCCCAACAATGTCATATTTTTTTCGCGCGATTGGGAGGAGATGGGAAGCAAATCTAGCTTCACTCAGTGGATCGAAGAGATCACGGGGATTGACCGTGGTGTCCTACTTATGAACTACCCGGAAGAGATCAGTGTAGCAACAAGGATGTCTTGGGCTTCGGGAAGGCAGACGACGAGGGTAGAGGATCGGGCATATTCGCTGCTTGGTTTGTTTGGGGTACACATGCCTACGATATACGGAGAGGGGGAAAGCGCATTCGTCAGACTTCAGATCGAAATCATGAAGAGCTCCAACGATCAAAGCATTTTCGCTTGGAAATCATCTCGCCGAGGAGATAGGAGTGGTCTACTTGCTTCCTCCCCGGATGATTTTGCAGAGTCCCGCGACATCGTTAGGATTCCCTCAGATTCATTCAGAAATATTTTTTCAAGCGCCACTTCATCCATCAGACAGTATTCGGTGACGAATCGCGGGTTGAATATTCACCTGCCTGTTATGCGCGTCCACAACTATTATCAGGCGGCCTTGAGCTGCTGCCGTCGAGGAGCACCAGCCAACCGTCCAATCAGCTTATACCTTTATCCAATCCCAGGCGAGATGGAACAGTTTCTGAGGTTAGGGCCTAGCCTTCTATACGAAGCAGAGGTACCGGGATCATCCGAATTCACCCTTCAAGAACTTTACGTCCAAGAAGATGACCCATCGCTATTCATGACAATCGATCCCAGGCGCGACCCTATCCTTCAAAAATATCATTTCTTCATTAAAACCAACGGGGTGGTAGAAAACGGATTTTCTTTGGTTGGCTATACGTCGGCTGAGTGGTGGCAGCAGGAGGAGAATAGGCTCGTCCTGAGCTTGACCCGAAGTGGAATGTTTAGCACACTGCTCTATCGCCATCAAATAACCGGCGAGAGTTTCGCAGTACCAGTCGGTCTGCATAATTGGCACGTCTGGTCATACATTGTCACGACCACGGACAGTGAGACGCCTGACAGCGTTAACGCGTCTTTCGACGAAGGAGAAAGAGGTGGTGTTCGATGGAGAAGTTTGGACTGGTTTACTCAGGAGTTGAGTATGGGAAAGGTAGGTGTGAAAATCAGGAAGGGGGGTAAATACTGTTCTGACGATGTTGGCGGATATTCTGTGACCATCTCTGTCACGGGCACGTAGCAAAGTCAGATAATTGCATGTACTCGTTACATATATAAGTACTGCGTATCCACCCACTATGTATAATTTGGACTGCAAGGGGAACCAAGGCCGAATCTCTATAGCGGGAGGCTACAGCCGTATCTATCGAGGACCGATGCATGAGGCAGTTCTGATAGGTTTCAATCGTCATTTGAAATTGATCCCAGATTCATTCGGAAAGCTTTTTGTGGCACGCAGTCAGACTCCGGTGTTCGGCAATGAGTTATTCACAATTTCACATACCTATCAAACGCACTGGAAACAATTATTGGGTCGTCACTGAGCTTCCTGCCATCAATCTAGACGACAGTCAGTTGGAACAATATTTCAGGTAGTGACCCAATGATACAAGATCGCAGGCGCTACTTTTTTTATGCTTCGCATACTAACAGGATGGTATAACAGCCGCACGGGAGAGTTTTGCGGTGTCGCTTGGTATCCGTACGAAATTGACACGTCTGGTCGTACATTTCCACGGTTTCTAGCTTAAGAGCTGCATTCACGTCCTACGAAGGCCCATCGACTCCGACATTGGGAGCAGGATATGATGTTCAATGGAGAACTCTGGATCGGGATACATCGTTTGATTCATCTGCCACTGTGGTCGATGGTGAAATTGATATCACTCACAGTGAACACTCGTACTCACTAGTACTCACTGCCGCAGCCTCTGCTGCAGTGTCAGTCTAGTGATTGCATTGATGGCTAGCAATTGTCGCTGCGTGGTGGATACAACCGGCCGCGCTCTTTCCCTGCATGACTCAGTGACCGTGACGCAACGGAAGTCCAAATCGAAGTTAAAGTTAAACGTGGCTACCGGCCCGTATCGAAGCTAAGATCTCCGAATAAGGCTCGGTCCCACTCGGTCAGCCCGTTCTGCGTCTATGTAGAGCATTTCATATCCACGTTTAAACCGCATCCAAACTGCATGTCAAAAACGCGTATAGTTATAGAGGTCTAAGCATTGACACCCCGGATCATCTTACCACTGGGACCAATATCACGGGCGATACATATCGGCGTCAATGGCTTCTCCATCTGAATACTCGTTTCGACCGTTGGCACCATCCATTGTACGAAGGAAAAGAAGTCCAGCGTTAGTGATTCATTATTGAAATATTCAGTGGCACCCTCCCATGAGATTAATACCATCTATTCCAGTCTAGTGGATCACTCTCATCTTCAGAGAGCACTCCCGGACGCTGTTCAGGATGATCAGTAAGGTCGTGGGTCGACACAAACCCTTTATTCTAATCTAGTATGCTCTATATGCATTGTGTAGACTGTCTGCCGGTTGGACCAGGATGCGACATCCGGATTTTGGCTCTTACTACTTTCATGAGGAGATGGTGAGTACAATGGGTGTCATTTTGCATGCTAACCCAAAACACAGAGAGTCTGCAGCAACACGAACCATGAAATGAGCGCCCTTACATGGGGTTATCATCCAGCTACTTCGCGATTTGAGGGACAGGGCTCCCTCCGATGCCGACTCCGAGTTGACTGTTGTTCTGGACTTAATTCCTTCTTCCGTCGGCGCAGACCAAAATCCAACTTTCGGGTATTATTTTGCTTCTCATACTCACAAGCGAGTCTTTTGGTTGGAAGATTTCAATCTTGCTTGCTTCTCAGAAGAATGTGACGAATCTATGGGATCATCTCTCAGATGTAAGCCCAAGTCCATGCTCAAGCATGCGTGCGAATCATCTTGTCTTTCAGGCGCTGAAGCACAGTACTGGTGAGTAATCGACGACTTGGCAAATAATCAAACAGTGCGACTTCGAACAGGAAGCATTGCGAGCTGTTTCCGAATACCCTCAACGTCACAGAGGTTGTCATCCAGGAACTCAGGAGCATTTTAGTTCAAGCATCTACAGGTATTTACGTTGTTTGGTGTCAGATACTATCGATGACGACTCGAAACAGATCGCCTGACCTCGAAATTCTCGACATCGCCCTATGATGGAGAAAGTATTTCGACCATGTTAAAACTTGTGAATAATATCGAGCGTACGTGACTGTCAGAACTCGTTTGTTATGCTCAACTGCTTGGAACTTAGCTCTGGGCAAGAGCAAGGATGGACGCTCAGCTTGGACAATAGGTATGAATCTACACAATTTCGACTCGCTTCATTGACTGATAACATGCTGTAGCAAAATTTATGGTGCTATCTCGTTCGTGTCTTTCTGGTATCGATCATTCTGTTGAGTTCTCACTGATGCATCAGATATCGGCATGTTACGAAGTTCATATGGCCAAAACGACGACTATTTCGACATCGAGTACTCTGAGTCCAATTCTGAACCTTACCAACGCTCGATGCTGATGGCGCTTATGTCTCCAATAATGCTGAAGTCTGCGGAAGTCTACGCAGAAGAATTATACAGCTTTCGAGACAATTTCTCGCTTGTGCGGTGGAAGAAGTTTGTGAATAAGGTGGATATCAGCATCCGCGATTCCAATCCTACTGGTACGATTTACAGAGTCACCATCGTTTACACTGCTCATCTATATATCAGGCAACCGTCCTGCTTAGCACGAGCATCGGCTTTTTGGCAATTGGAAGTGTAGATTCAAGTGGTGCGGATGGTTCAAGGACAGGGGGACAGATTGTCATATATTGCTCCGTCATCTGCAGCATTGGAAGTATCATTATCGGTCTCATTATCTTCAAACAATACCGCGCAAAGGGTGCTGATACTCCCCTAAAAGCGGTAAGAGGTTTACATCGTTTCTTCTTTAAAGTGCTCATAATGGTGTAGATCATAATCTTGAAGCGGATATTCCGTGAACGATATGGTCTTGAGAGGCTTGCTGTTATCTGCAGCCTGCCGTATATCTTGCTGATGTGGAGGTGATAGTGTTTTTCTCTCATTTATCGATACCTGGTATTCATCCCACCCGCTAGCCTGATTCTGTTTTCGATTGCAGTTTTCGAGATTGCTTTCGATAAGACAGATGCTGAGACTCGTACGCCTGTCGCAGTCGCGATCTCCTTACTTTTGTTATCTGTGTTTGGGTCTCTGTATACTGCTGGACCACGAGATAGGAGGAGAATGTCGTGGACCCACACAAGGTCACGAGCTGGAGAACGATAGGTCGGCGGATCACAGGGTTCATTCCGGCTGCGTGCAAGCAATTGCGGAAGCCAATCCGGGACGACTCAGTACAGTGCGCAGAGATTCAGGGTGATGGGGACATAGAGAGAGCTCTCAAGACGTGTTGATTCTGCTTTTCCTCGGCTTCAAGTTGGATGATCCAAAGAGTTACGACTATTATGAATTCCCTCTAGCATTGTTGTATACCACTCTCTGTAAATTACACGGTTTATGGAAGTTCAGGATATTCTGCCATCATTCGATTCTTATTCGGTTCCTTCGAACAGCTGCGTCTGGGTCCTGCTGGGCACAAAACTCGTGGTTTCTCATCGGACAACATAGGAGCTGTCATCTTCGCCTGTTTCAACCAAAGTGGTGATATTAACGACATCAACAGAACCCAGAAGCACCAGCCTCCATCGCGGGGCGTTGATGTTGAGTAAGTCAAGATCTCTCGCAATCGTGCCAGGGACAGCGCGTCAATGAGTCGGAGTGGAGGACCTGGGTGTTCGAATAGCTGTTTTTTTCTGGTGCGAATATAAATCGAAAGGCGGAAAACGCTAAACCGATCCAGAAGTCAGAGGCGTCGTCCGATGCATACAAGCATTTTACTACATTCGCTTTTTTGATTTGGAATACAAGGGTTTTTGTTTTTGTCAGTTACAAATAAAACTATGAGGAAGGATTAAAATACTCAAAAATAGTAAGTCGAAGCAGACTGACATACATGTGACCAGACCCATAACTCCATTCACCGATACATCTGAGTACACTTCAATGCCTCGGTATTGCGTCTTGCATCATCTAATCGGCAACTTGCATGGTGAGAAGTACTTGCACCGCACTCGTTCAGACTGGCTCAAGGCTACGGAACGCAGGATCGATTTGATGATAACGTACACACCAGCTTCAGACTGTTCACGATATCTGATGTAGCGATGGTATATAAATGATTTTCACTGCAGAACTCACATGAACATCAGTCCTCGGCTGGCAAAGCCTTAGGTTCTTCCAGCCCTGAGGCATCTTTTTTCTGTTCCTCATCTTCGACAGCCATCATATCAACCGGTGCGTCATCTTCCACTTCTTCCTCCACTTCTTCCTCATCCTCTTCAATTTCTTCGTCTTCTCCTTCCCCTTCCACTTCCCCTTCGCCTGGCTCGCCCATCTCATCATCAACTTCCTGTTCGACCCTAGTGCTGTGCATGTCTGATTGGGACGCAGAGGATGCCACTGCTCCTCGCGGGGCAAACGTGAATGGCGGTGGCAGATTCGTCGCCTTGTCCTTTCCTTTTGATTTTGAGACGACTGATGCAGTTTCACTTTCTCTGGCCTTGCCCTTGTGCGAGGAACTTGCCGTTCCAGATTTACGGCTCTTGTCTCCTTTCGTGTTGTCTCTATAAACTGCGCTTCCTCAGCACAAGTCGGAAATGAGAGGGTGATGTCTTACTTTGAAGCTCATTTTGTAGATTCTCGACGAGATCTCCAAACTCGATCATCTCCAGAGCTTTGAGGACATCGGACGCGGAGATACTTTTGTGCTGTTTGGACATAGCCACGTCATGAGCTCTGAGGAGATATATCAGAAGACGTTGTATAAAACCAGCAGTAACACAAACGTCGCCACTGATACAGAAATCAGCGATTCTGTAAAGCGTGAATATAAGACGTATTCACGTACCAAGGTAGTTGATGAATACTGTCGAACCCTTCACCAAAGACAATACAGTCTCTTTTTGCAGTTTCGCATTGTCTGGCATCTGAAGAAATGATCAGCGCGAAATATTGTGCTACACATGATACAAGCCTTACTGCTGACTTTGCTATCTTCGTAACCAGACTCTTAGGAAGCTCGAAGTTTTCGATACCCTCTGAGACTAGATCTTGCTGAGCCTGAGCAGAAATTGGTCCACCACCAGCATCTTTACGTGGCATTTCTTCGTACTAGCGACGGTCGTGGTTGGTGTTGTGAAAGCGTTTACGGTAGTAGGGGTCCTTGTATGGCAAGTTGTATGACGTACGTGCTGCCAATACAACTTGGTCTGCAACCGCGATGAGTCCAAACTGGCGTCGACTGAGAGTGTTCTACGTAAGTGGAAAGTTTCAGGCTAGCGTGTCTCGCCGTGTTACTGACCCGTATGATAGATTTCTGGACCTACAGAACGCTACAGTATGCTCCCTCACATCACTGATACGTACGACATACACTCATAACATTTGAAACTTCGAATTCTACGCAATTCAACGGGCTCATATTCGGATAGAAGAACAAGAACTCTAGTAGAAGTTAGGCTTCCCACGTGATCGCATGTTTTTTCGCATGCTGGATTCTCCCGGCAAAACTGGACACCGCTAAGTCTATAAGTTCGATAGTATGTCCAAATACTTCTCATCTCTCTGAATCGATGTTTAAGAAAGTGGCAGAGAGCATATTTGAAGGTGTCTGTGATACCTGAAATTGCCTGTTCATAAACGGTGCGTCCTTATCCTTGTTGGATAAATACTCAGGAAACGAAAAGACCTCTTTGAACGTTATCTCGCCATGGCATCAGGTATGTAACGTTAACAGAAGGCAAGCTACTTATAATTAAATTATGAACGGAGTTAATTATGATGCCTTCTATGAGCGGTATCAGGTGGTATCAGATTGATAAGGAGTTATCATATCAGATGCAACTAATAAATATCGACAGTCAACACGTTGAACTCGTTGGCGCTCGAGCTCAAGTCCCCAGTCGTCCTCGAGTCTATTGATATGAGTGTTTTTAACTAGTCATTTTCTTCAAGGCTACATCCATTAACTAGTCGCACTCGATATCATAAGGCAGTCATTTGTCGTCAATGTCGCCTACCACAGTCGTTCAAGCCCCCCGAGGTGAGGAGCAAATGTATGAATATCAGTTTTGAGCATCTGTTGGAGACATGCTTATTCTGTTGCTATCAGACTATTCAATGACCTCACCCAGTATCTCCGTAAACGATCCAACTATCCAATTGCTCACGGAGGCTTCGGAGATATTTGGAAATGTAGCTTACCTGACGAGGTCCGCCGATGCTGACTTGCAACATATAGCCTTCAGTCGCTAACCCTGCAGAAACCTTCCTCACCGGCAGGATGTGGCAGTGAAAGCCATCAGATCTTACTTCATTGACGAGAATGATAGGATCAAGAAAGATAAGGCAAGCACTTTGTTTTACGTAAAATCAATACATGATGTTGGTTTCATCAGAGATTGCGTCGGGAATTAATCATATGGCAAAAACTTATCCATGACAACATCCTTCCATTGTATGGCATTGCTCTCGGATTCGGTCCGTTTACTGCCATGGTATGTCCATGGGCGAAAAATGGATCCTTGATTATGTATCTTGAGTCCCATCGAGACCTTCTGATAGCCGAACGATTCAAACTTGTGAGTTTATTTTCGATTTGTTTAAAGCTAATTGAGACGCTCCTGCTGCTAGCTGTCTGATGTTGCAAGTGGTCTACATTATCGTCAGTATTTGTCCTTAATATTCAGTGTGTTAACCATATTGATTGTTCCCTTAGTTCATACAAATCAAGTTGTACATGGAGACCTCAGTGGGGTTCGTTGAGCCCAGCTCTTCCAATATAACATGCTGAAAAATTTTCAGTCCAATGTTCTGGTGATGGAGAATGGCACTGCTTGTCTTTCGGATTTTGGGCTTTCCGGTGTTGTATCCGATTTTTTTGGTTCATCAACTTTCTCTTCTACTATCTCCGGCAATATTCGGTGGGGAGCCCCAGAGCTATTCGCTTTACCGGAAAACCAAGACGGCTCAACCAATCGCCCTAGTAAAGAAGCTGACGTCTACTCATTCGGCAGCATCATGTTACAGGTGCGTATTGTCCTTTGCTCCTTTGCATAGCTGCTTACTGAAGTATTTCTTTATTTCAGGTTCTCTCTGGGAAGGTCCCTTACTATTACATCAAACAGCAGATGCAGATTATCATGATGGTAGTGAATGGCAAAAAACCCAGACGCCCGGAGGAGCCGATGATCGCGGAAGAACATTGGAGCATGATAGAACGCTGCTGGAGTCCCTGCGATGCCCGACCAACCATTGAAGATATTCTGATTTTCATCGCGGCACAATGAAGTAAGCACAAACTTTAATTGGTCGAACGCATGTCAGTGACTGAAGTGGGGCTTTAGAATAGATACTTGTGAGCAACTTGGTACATGTCAGATAACACTCGACACGCCTATAATGCCTGTATTAAGCCTATCGAATATTCTCTAAGTACAAAGTCTATGTGCTAGTAGGGTTATTTTTCAGATTTGTAGAGTCGGTTTGGAAATTGTGGATAGGGGTTGTGAAAGAACTTGTGAAGCACTGGCCAGCGGGTAGCATTTATCCGTGGCTGACTAAGCTGAGCACTCATCGTGATTTCGTTTGCACCCCCAGCTTTTCTCTCAGGCCAATTGGTCAAGCAAGGTTTCTACCGATGCGCAGGCAGCAATTCTCATTTACTGGGACGAGGTGTCTTAGTGCCACTTTTCCGGTGTAAGCCTACGCCTACCACACCTGACGAAGCTGCATCTTGATTGGACACCGCCGGTTGTTGTTCGGTGTTTGCACTGCATAGTATATAGACCTCATCGCCCCTTTACTTGTATCTTGTCTCTTACTGCCGTCACCGAATCCCATACGCTCATTCACGTTATCTGTTGTCGTTCATAGTGTTGGTCGTCTACTGTGACAGCCTTCCACTTTTTTTTAACGTTCAGCTGAGCGTTATCATCTGCTGTTGCTGTTCTCGCCGTTACATAAAAGAACCGCGTCGTCGGGTATTGACCTTGTTTGGTCAACCCGCCCTTGCCACCAATGGAGAGTATCAACAAAATGGGCCAGTAGCGCCGGTGCATAGACCGGTCACTGTTGTCCATTTTGTTGTGACTGTCCCGATACCCCCAAGGGAGCTGAGGATGTCACTGAAATCATCCACCACCGCCTCCGAGTCCAAGTACCCCTCCGAGTTAAATGACAGTCTAGACGAGAACGGCAGAACATGCGATGGCGAGCGAATAATGGTCGAACGAACAGCTCTGGGGCTCCTCCCGAATATTGTCGGAGATGGTAGAGGAGAAAGTTGATCTGGAAGTAAGCAAAGTTCAAGCTTCATACTTATGCAAGACCGCGAGGAGCCCATTTTCGTTAGTTCAAACATTCATCCTTTCGCTGACGCCACGTCTCTTGCCTCCCAACACTGCACCCGCTGCATCACTGGCGCTCCCTCTGCGTGTGTTTTACTTTCACCGGTGCCATCACGATCCACAATATCTGCATCATTGGGATAGCCGATTCTCGAACATAGTTGTCGCGCAGTCGACTGGGGTACCGAGCTCGTATTCTTCCGTCCATGCAATATTGGTACAATAATACAGAAATCTATCGTGAACTGGATTGCGCTTTCTTCGACTGCACATGCACATTTAATCGCTAGCTTCTTCAATCTCCTGTCTCCATCGCTTCTGGATATCAATCGTCTCTCGGAATATCTTGTATTTGGCATCTAACAGTTTCTTCACTTTCGATGAAGCACCAGGAGCCACGAGGGTACCAGCAGGTGTCATTTCGACCTGAATGACAAATCAGCATCTACTACGCTCAGTAGATCTCATGGGACGTCTTACCATGATCTTCCACATATCTTCTCCGACCTTGACACCCTCCGCGGCAATCCTTCCCAACATTGCGGCACCGAGAACCACCGCCTCAGAATGTGACTTGGGCAGGATGACGGGAATGTTACACGTGTCCGCAAAGAGCTGCATCATCACCACATTCTTTGCTTGTCCACCGGACATATACAGAGACGTGATGTCATGACCTGCCGTGTTGAGAGCCTCGACAATGTGGCGTGTTTGAAGTGCGATAGCCTCAAGGGTAAGGTAGTACTTGCGAGCGAGGTCAGCGATAGATGATTCCTGGCGATCACTTTAACCAAAGTTCAGTTCTTAATCGAAGCGGTGACTTACCAGCTCAAGACCGATAATGGAACCTCTCATTCGAGGGTCAGCAATCGGAGACCTGTTTCCTGCGATAGAGGTCAATAAGATAGTTAAATCAATCTGTAGCTCATCTCACCATGGAAATCGGGATAGAAATGTATATGCTTCGTAAGCTCCGTGTAGGTATCAACATGATTCTCATGGCGCAATTTTTCCAGGACGTCCAGCAAGACTATAGACAGACATGAGAACGGAATTCGCCGATCCAGCATGAAGAGCTACACGAACCAGTATGAATAGCCTTTCCCTCTTGCTTTGCACGTTCTTTGAGTTCAGGATAGGCATGATGAGTGGTGATGATAAAGTCAATAAGCTGTCCCGTGGACGACTGGCCCCCTTCATTCATCCACCAGCCAGGGAAAGTTGCATCCTGTGGGAATGTACCATTAGGACATCGATCGATATGCGGGATGGTAGCGAAATACTTTATATGGGCCCCATACACCTTTGACAAAGACACCTTCTCGACTCTGAAACGATGTTTTCATCAGGATAGAGATTATATGTGCATGTAACTTACCTGAACAAGATGGCAAGTGCTAGTTCCAGCGACAGCGGCCAAACGGTGCCGAGACTCGTCGAGAGAGGGAAGTACGGTTGAGAGCTGACCGTTCTCAGTGTATCGAGCGGCAACTGTACCCATCCAGCCAGCATACCTAGCACGATGCCGAAGCATCCACATCAAAGTAGACATATTGATGTAATATGACGTACGCGTCGATCAGACCACTTCCGACAGCAGTGCCCTCCACAAGTCCGAGTTCTTCAGCCGCCTGTCGAGTCAAGCCTTGACCGACTGGACTTCCGGCAGCCTGCACTCGGCCGTGGGCGGTGCCCATTTGCCTCCAGTTACCATCATCAATGAGTTCACCGAGACCAATGCGTTCAAAGAAGTCCGGCTGCCAGCCTTTGTCGGGAACAAAAGAGCATTTGCACGTAGTCGAACAATATGAGCGTGTGCTATCTCCGGTTGCTTTATATGTGAAGAAATCGGGAAGGTCAAAGAATTGGCATCGGGCGAACAGGGCAGGATCCATGTGCTTCTTGAGCCAAAGAATCTTGGGCACCTCCATCTCAAGCTGCTCGCAAAGTAAAATTAGCGAGGTATACCAGATTGGTAGTTGATGCATACACTCATGGTTCCGCCGACATAATTCAAGACAATCGACCCAGTGGAGTTGATAAGTTCAGCCTCCTTCTCAGCGCGATGGTCTGCCCACAGAATGATGTTCCGATGGCCATTCTTTCCGATATCGTGGCCTTTAGTCACTGTTATCGGATTCGCGTTGAAATCTGACACAGCGAGAGAGCAGGTAGCATCGAAGCCAAGTCCTTTGACTGCGGTCGCGGGAATGTTAGACTCCTTTAGCACTTCTTTCACTGCGATACAGATCTGCTCCCAAATATTGTTCGTTGATTGCTCGAAGATGCGATGATCATGATGATCGCGCCAGGTGATGGTGTCCTTTGTGGAGGACGCTTTGATCTCGCCATTTTGCGCGACGAGAGAGGCACGAGCAGAACCAGTGCCGACATCGATGCCGATGAAGTAGAATGCGTCGCTTCCCATTGCAACGGGTGGGGCTATGGCAATATTGATGGTGGTGGTCAGAGAGGAAATCGAATGATTGAATCAAAGCGCTAAAATTCCTAATAATACATATGTAGTACGACAAATTGGAAACTCCAGTTACTCCACGGAGTGCTGGGTAGCCGGCACGGGACATCATGCCATTATAGGTCACATGTTTGACGCGTTCCAACTTGATCGTCGTTGCTGTCAAAGGAGAAGCTGAAGCGCTGAAGTCTGTATCTCACCATAATCATCTAGATGCACGGCTTGGCTTTCACAATCATCGTTATACAGCATATTCGATTTACCTGTGAACTGGTTGACAAAAAAACATAGTCTGGCGTGATCCCAATGCATTGATTCAGATTGATCAGGAAGTTCTTTCAGCGATCACGATCAAGTCTTATATCGTGCCCATTCATGGAAGCTCAGACTCCGTATCTCCATCTCCTAGCTGCTCTCCAACGCTCGCAGTCAGCTTGCCGATGGTTCTGATGCAACATACTCATACTTTCAAAGAGCGCCGCTTATCGAGATCTTGCAGCTTACGACTTGAGCAAACCACGAGGACATGCAGGAAAATGTATGAAGTCTGAGCAACGTCTGTGATCGGAAAGTTCCAGGCGGTCAAAAGGTCTGTCTGCATCATCGCAACCACCGTGCCGTCGACGTCAAGCCACTGTCACGGATCCCGCCATCTATGTCAACCGTCATGCCAATCTCGCCATTTTTGTCAGCTTGCCGTCACGGTTCTAGGGAGGCCACGGTAACCGTATAGCGTGGACTGGGAGCTGCAAACCACGACATAGTGTTGGCAGGCGGGTAGGAAATAAGCCAACACAGAGGAAGTAGTAGACAGACAGGCAAGCGTGAGAGACTCGTAGGGATTAGAAGAGATGGAGGTGAAGATCCTAATGGCAGGCAGGCGAGATGATAGTGACATCGTGCGGCGGGCCTTGACAGACTTCCCGACACTTTCGGAATCCGAGCAACCCACTGAAAGGACACAAGTCTGCATTCAGTTTACCTAAACCCATACCGGCCAAATACCGCGCTTTCTGCAAACCACAATCCCGTTATTGAAGTTTGGTGACGGCCGAAGGGAGCTTTGTGGGTGTAGAGACACACGCAAAGGGCAGCTGGGTCCTGAGTATTGAATACATGGACATCACGCCGATTATGATCACAGTGCCGAAGCCCATCAAGGTCTGGCCAGTAGGAGGATATGCGCTGGATGGGAGAATTGCTCGAGTATGGGCTGGAAATGGGACCAGTTGGATATTGTTACAAACATAATATACAGCTGAACACGATGTATGCAGAACAGGAAAAAAAAAGCCGACTATTGAAGATGCAGGGCAGGGTAGAGGCGGAGCAGATGTCACTGGTCATCCATGAGGTCCATGTCGTGATGGATTTGCCGGACGGTGGTTTCCTTCGAAGCGGCGAGCTGTAACAACACATGAGCATGGCCTAAAAGCAGTGGAGGACCTCGTAGAGTTTGATACCCTTCCTATCAATAACTTTGATGTAGAGAATTAGCTTTGGAGGTTGTGATAAAGGACAGAACATGGGGGCCAAACCTGAGTAGCGTCCTTGGCTTCATTATAACGGTGCAACAGGTTTATGTGTTTTGATACGATAGCCTCGGCGCTCTCATCCTCACTATAGATTAATTCAAGATATCAGCGCGTTCCGTCAGAGTCAATGATCATCTGTTCCAACCCTATCCTCCTCTGCAGGACATCAATTTCTGCCTGAAGTTTGTCGATGTATTCCTTTTGTTTCTATACACAAATTTGAACACACTCATTATACGAGTCTGACCTAAAATTTGACATACCTTGGCGGACGTCACGGCATGCATGATTGTCTGTGTGTTCTCCTGTAAAATGACGATTATGTAGAAATTCAAGAGTGACGGGTGCCGGCGGGAATGCAAGTTGTGCAACAGCGACGGTGTTGTTGACTGTTTGTGCCATTCCTTTATGTAAGGTTGATCACTTTCTTCTCTGGCTTGAGTCGCGCTACTAGTCAGTATCATTCAGATTACTCTAGTCGATTAGCTTCCTCCTCAACCTCTCTGTCAAGGTTGATTTTCTGTTCCTGGAGGGCATACTAGGCGCCATTCTCGCGATATGCAAGCCCAAACAGTAATACATCCCTTAGGGGAAGGTTTCTGATGCTATCTTCGAGGCAAACCAGCTGAAGGACACTGGATGCCCTGTCGCCATGCATGTGAAATATATGCTTTACTCAAGCAGCTCCCAGATTCCTCTTTATCTTTGTCGAAAACACCAGCGACCGAAGAACAAACCATTGGTACCAGGTTCTGCATTAGGTGAGGCTCAGCAAGATATTACCAACCGGAGCCCAGTTGGACTGTCTACAGCATTTATAGTGAATTATCCTGAATGTGGTGCAGGTAGCGTGAAGAGCGTTCATTCATTCATTCGAGTTGGATAGTGATGCTGTTAGGTGGAATAAGGCGCAGGCAGTGCCCTTCTTTATGGCATGTCAATGTATCTAATCATGAACTCCACTCGGAGAGTGCGTCATGAGCTCAAAGTGTGGGGCCGTCTTAGACATGATGGTATCCGAGAGTGGCAAATAACTTGGGCACTACCCCGCAGTGGTTTGCCCATGGGCTCACAATCTATCTCGAGCGCTAGCACGACCTCTTGTCATTTCAAGATAAATTATTGTAAACTCTTTTTCGTGTCTGCAGAAACGTGCTGAGTTTACTGACCTTGTCGGCGAAGAGAAATTGCCCTTGCAGGGGTGCATATGACCACATACAGAAAGCATACTTGTCGCTCACGTCCTGATTCTCCAGGAAAATGTCTTGATTTATGGCAACATGCTATTCCAGCACTGGTGAGACTTTCGCTTTGCATAGCAGTACAGGCAAGTAAATTGCACATTCTCAGCTTTCACTATACTAACGTATACATGTATCACAGGTCCTGTGTGTGGAGGATATGTGGGAGGTATAACTTAAACGTGTATCGGAGGGTTATCATTCTTCACCCTGTTGAGAGTTACATGCAAAGGAAATCTGGTTATAGGAGAACTTGATTTATATAAATATCACCTCGGAACCAGTCAGCGTTCCAAAGCGCTTTGCATTCGCCGCCAGCCTGTAAGTCATCCGACATATTAGCATTTAGCAGGCAATCTTCTTCCTGACCACTACCCCGAGCTGAATCATATTCTTTGAAGTTACAGAGGGGTACCAACTGTTTGCCTTCAGGGCTTAACCCAAAATCTCCAGACCGGATTCCACTGCAGCCCTTATCATCATTACCCCTGACTCCCAAGACTACCACTTTAATCCGGGTCAGTGATATTGTTCCACAGCCTCACTCTCGGGTATGTCACTCGCGTGGTTTCTAATTGAATCACTCCATCAGCAGTTTCTCAAAAACCGACTCTACAGATGAGAAATTGTCCTTGAAGTACCCTGGTACTAAGTACATAAAATTCATATTTTGGGACCTGGAAAAGTATGTAAGGCATTAATACTCAGGTGACGATAATATATTACCTATGAGGTGCATTTTGTAACGTCTTGGACGAGTACCAACTTAAGAGCACCAACGAAATATCGCGTGCCAGAGTGAGGTGCTTGCTTGGTACACGAGAGTTTTGTCGTGAGCCACGGCTTGTTGCGCACCAGCTGTCAAAATCAAAATAGTATGCGGCGGAACAAAATGCCCCTTGCACGGGACAGTAGACTAGACAATATGGTACTCATATTTCCATGCTTCTGCACATGGTTGCGACGCATCTCTGTGGGCGAGAACACCGAGAATTGTACGTCCAACGCTGGTCCCAGGACGAACAGACTTATGATAGAAGAAGTTTAACTTCTAAGTCACATACAGGTGCCTCACACTGAAACCCTCCCCACTTCATGGAGTCGGGGATATATGGAAGGATTCCCATATGTTGAGTACGCTATCGAAAGTAACCAGTCGACACTAAGGCAAAGCCAGTAAGTCATCAAAAAGACTGAAGTTTGTCCATCAAAATCGCCCACTCAAGCACAGTCACACCTTTCTTCAACACCTCCTCCTTCATCTCCCTGTCTCTTGTTTCCTCTCGCAACCGGGCAAATGCACGGAGGTGTTCCTCGCGTCGAATTCCGAGACTAGCAAGTATAGGTGCTATATGAAGCAACGTCGGTTCGCAAGACGAAAGCACCGTTTCAACCGATGATGTAGAGGTTGAACGAGCGCCCATTGCGGGCGCAGAAGGCCAGCTTCTACTAGGATGGCTACGTGGAGGTGAGTTGCTGTTGCTATTGGTACTCCTGGTTGGTGTTCGTTCTTGCGAAAAAGTGACTGGCTGCGGTTGTAGTGGTGAGGTTTTGACATGCTTGGATAGAGCTTTAAGTTCAGCCATTGTGTATATCCGTTCAGAACGTGTCGGGCTTGGAGGAGAACACTGTTTGTCGCGTTTTGCTTTCTTCCCCTGAGGTGACCAGTTCGCGTTGAGATCAGACGGTGTGTATAATCTCTCCGAGCGATATGTCTGAGAAGCACTGGAGCGGCTTCTTCTGAGTCCTGATTTCAGATTCTGTAGGTTTTGATGGTCAACGTATATTCGATTTGATGATGTATTGAGGCACAGACCTCTATATCTCTGGGCACTGGCGGCGACTTGCTTCGCCACTCCTGGGTCCGTTGGAGAATATCAGCGGCGTTGTTCCCAACCACGTTCCCAAATTCATCCTTCTCGTTTCTCGCAACATCTTCCCTCCACATGGAGACCTTCGTTCCACGTTCAACGACTTTCGATCTTGCCTCAGGCCCATGACGCTTTATAGTGCCTACATGTTGTTGCCGCTTGTCCGATGAATGTACAGTCTCTTGATCGTTAAGCCCCGCATCGAGCACCCGCCTCGCAAGCTCCTCAGCATAAAGGTATTCTTCTTGTTGCAGATCAGGAGCCCGCCCATAGTCGACTTCATGCTTCTCTGCCCACTCCCCATAAACCCCATACACGCCACTATATCGTGCGGCATCTTCCATCTCCTCTTTGTGGACATGCACTTGCGTGACACCATCAAATCCCCGCATCTCCGACGCAGTCTCAAAGTCGACGTCTTGGGTCACGGCGTCAAAGTCATCGTTTACGATTTGGACCGTCGTTGGTGCTCGGGGGTGTCTGTGTCTGCGAGCCACGGGGGCTTGAACGGATACAATCTCATGAGATGAATCTTGATGCCCATCGATGAGTTCAAATCAGTTGATCAATTACTCAAAGGTGATACTCACCGCTATCTGTCCGTCGATACCGCATTTTCCGCGATGGATAGCGGCCTTGGGTGCTCTTGTACACCCCGATGCGATGATCCTTCGTCGATGTCAAGGGTAAAGTCAGGAGCCAGGCATGTGCCACTCTCTCGGTCTGTTTCCGAACCTGAGGTAAACACGAGGCCTTATGCGTTCGAACCTTTGAATGCGGTGCCTGGTTTACTCCACCTTTCGCAATCTGATCACGCAGAATGAAGTGGTCGAGCTGAAACGCGTCCTACACGTGTTTTTTGGAGTGTGGGACACCGTTCATGTCTGATTGATAGAAGGATGGTGTTTTGGATTGAACGGCTAATCATATAAGTATTGGGCAGTAATATACAATGCGGAGAAATACATGCCGTGATACAACATTAATAAGATAGTGCAGACATCGAAAAACACCTAGCAAATAAAGAAAGAGGAAGGGGAATGTGCTACGTGGTTGACCAGTTATTTCTTCGTCTTGCTCTTTTTGTTGCTTGATGCTCCTGCTTTCTCTTCTGCCTGATATGATGTTAGCAAAGATCGTCGTGCTTCGAACAGATACTCACCTTCCGTTTTGTTCCCTTTCCGTCTTTAACAGTTTTGCTTTTTGATTTTGCATCGTCGACCTTCGACTTCTTCGGCGAGGTTTTGGTTTTTACTGAGAAGAAGCCATCAAGACGACCTTGCTGCTTTGCATTTAAGAATTTTTGTAGCTTTTCGGCACCTTTGCGGACTCTTTCCTCACTTGTATCCGTTGTCAGTCGGTGGCTGTGTGGGTGGAAGACCGTACTTACTTGAATCCTTTCTCAGTGACCAGGAACTGCACAAGACCATCGATATCTGGGTCTTTCCACTCAAGCTGACAAGAATGTAAGTGGTCATGCTGATGGAACAGCAGCGAATAGATTTCATACCTCCACCTCAGAAGCCGGGACTACATCTGGTTTTTCAAATAATTTCTTTGCCTCTTCCCAAGGCCAATCTTCGGGGACTTGTACGCCTCCCTTTTTCTTCTTGGCGCCATCTTCTGCGTCAGCGGCTTTCTCCTCCTTCTCCGCCTGCCTAAGGTGACCACGTGAGAGACATGAAGTTGCGTAGGGCTAGAATCGCGTACTTCTCACGTAAATGCTCGACGACACCTGCAAGCCCACCATGCTCTCTTATGAGCTTTAAAGCACTCTTCGGGCCAACTCCTCTTATTGGCTCAAGATAGTCACAACCAAGTAGTATACAGAGGTCGATGAACTTGTAGAACTTCAGTTTCAGGATAAATCAGGGGTCATATATAGAACGGACCTGTGACATCTCCATCTCAAGACCTTCGAGTGCCTTCTGGAGGTTGATCTCACTTATAGGTGCTTTCTTTGCCTCGGAGAAGGTCAAGTGCCGGTAGAGTATGGGTGCATTGAAGGTGAGGGTGTCCATATCTTCTGAACCTGCTGCGTATACCTAAATTTCGGTGAGTACCAACGTCGATGATATAACGCATTGCAGACCTTGCCTCCCCTGGCGAGCTCTGCACATTGTGCCTCTGCTTCAGATGGCGCCTGAGAGTGTATTAATAATCGAGCTACGGAGCACATTAAAAGACATACTACAATGACAGGGATACCCATAAGTTTCAATAGTTTTCTACATTCTTCATTGTGCTCTTTTGTGACTTTGACGGTTCGTCTAGAGAGCTTGTCGACATCCTCTGCAGTACCGGTTTCTTTAGCCTCTTCACCTTCTTCCTTAGCTTCCTCCCGCCTTTCAAAACGTTTTGAGAGCTGTGAGAAGGTGAGGATGATCCATACACAATATAATTGAACCACATACCACGCCTGACTTGAGTTCGGGAGGTTTGCCATCGAATACATACGCGGGTTTGATACCATTCTCGACTATACGTATAGTACGATAGAAAAAACCCATCAAATGACTCGTCGTCTCCCCCGCGTCGTTTGTGAGCATCTCACCATCCTTCTGGCGGACAGCAATAAGGAACTGGTATATGGACATGGACGCGTCTATGGCGACTTTGCGTCCGAAGAGGGTCTTAATCTCATGTTCTGTAATAGCCTTTGGTGCATGCTCGGAGATGAGTGCTGTAAGTCCTTTGATTCCCATGTTTTTTGGTTGTGTTGGATCTCGACGTAGTAGTGAAGGTGTGACAATAGGCGCGTGACAATTGTGACGCGACTGTGACACAACGCGATGTGACCCCTCGTATGTTTCCTCCGAGGGACAAGTAGAATGTGTACATGAGCCATTCACTTTCCTTACACGATGTGGTCAGTTCTCGTCCACAAAAACGCAGGCGCTTCTCACTTCACGAGGATCACAATGTCGAACTTGAAACTAAATTCGTGACAGAAGGTGCGCGGTAACCCAGAACTTTCTGTGTAACCTACACCTGATATCTTTCAGATGAAGCCGACCTTGGAATACGCCAACTTATTGCTGAGGAGATTGACCTGGATATTGCTATTCGCCAACGCCTTCTAAGCACCATCGAATCTCGCATAACATGGGCACTTATGCTCCAGGAGGCTCTCACTCGGGACTCGTCCACTCCAGTTCCTGATGCTACAGTGGATGACTTTCAAGAAGCTGCTTTAGACGCCCTTAACGCTGTCGAAGTACCTTGTGCCTTCTTATTTGATCGAGAAGAGTCCGTATACGATGACGCTGAACCTTCTTCTCTTCGTTCATTCTCCCCTGTCGCCCCAACACAGCGCGAGCGAATACCTCCAAAGGTCAGGCCGACACGTACGGCTGCAGCAAAATTGCATCCGCAGAAAAAGCTGCTTTATATCCGTCTGCCCCCTTCACAGACAGCCATCGATGAGCAGATTGCTATCCTTACTTGTCCTACTTGTACTCGCACGCAGTTCAGCACCCTTCAAGGGCTCTTGAATCACGCACGGCTTGCTCATGGTATTGAGTGGGCCAGTCACGACGCGTGCATTACGGCTTGCGCTGTTCCAATACCCTCCAGTGATGATGTGGAGAAAGGTCGGGTCGAGGAGGAAGGTGTTGAAGTACCTTGGGGAGGTAGTGTCGTCGGTCTACAACGACTATTTGAACGAGCTGTCGGTGTCAATATTCCCGCATCTCTTGTTTACGAAGAAGGGCAGGGAGCTGCAGCCATACCCAGCACCTTACTTTCACGCACCCTCGGTTTACATGCGGACTCCCCTGCCCTTGCTCCGTTTCTTGGCAGAATTCCAAAACGGAGATGCATACATACTTATGAGGAAGATACAGAAGTTGACATTCTGAGTATTGATACTGCTCCATGCAGGCCTTCCCCCGGTTTCGAAAGTAGGGAAGGAGTTACGAGGAGAGCAGACGAGGGCGATGGTCATCCTTGGCGAATGGCTTTTCCGCATCGAAATAACGCCCGCCCTGAACTCGATCTCGTTGTCGACGTGCCTGCTCTTATTGATAACGCTGCAGAAAATACAGCAACTCCCGCGATACCAGGAAGCACAACTTCACGCTTCCATATCACCGCTCGTGTGCATATCACAGATAGAAGTTTATTTATCTCGCCAAGTATGCCCACATTCTGCAACATATTCATTGAATTTAATCGTATCCATGTAGGCCGACGGTTAGACCTCGGTATTCCGTCATCACATACTCACCGGTGGATGCTCAGTGTCACTGCTCCTTCTTATGTGCGTGTATTCTTTTTCTCTCCTCCTCTAAGCCTTATGATATATATTTGCGTTTCCGTAGTCGATACCTCTGGCCTCATTCATGATACGCTTGACAGTTTTGGCGGTGGCTCCATCTGATAACACTCAACGACAGCCTTGTACTGTGGACAAAGCACCCTTTGCCATCATAGGCTCATCTTCTGAGCCCTTTCTTGCGAAGGTCGTGATGGAGTGGGCCAGTGGCGGGAGAATGGAAGTAGAACATTGGATTGATGTATGTCTTGCTTTTGGCCTCGCGTTACTCGTATTCAATCTTCACGTAGCTTGACCCTGGGAGCGCAGCGAGCTCTGTCCTTGGCTCAGAACAAGTTCTCGATGTCGAACTTGATAGAGGGACACGCCTCCTCCCTGTCCCTTCCGGTCCTCCACTGCCTATTCCTTCCTTGGAACGTGAACCTGCAGAAATTACAAGGCAATCTGTGACGAAGCCTCAAGAATCTGCAGATGAATTAGGATACGAGAAGGTTCTGCGGAGTTTGTTGCCAAGAGTACCTATGACGCTTAAAGGTATTTCTGATTAGCGCTGCAGCGCGTGTTCATCTGCAATTTTCTGATGTAACGTTACCATAGATATGAAGTTCCGTTCACCTTTTCAGGTACCATACAAGCTCGTTCCCTCACCGGCGCATCTTCTAGCGCTTGTACCTGGGAGACGGAAAGCCATTGAAGTGCGTATATTGTATCGTTATCGACCTTTTCGCTTCATGTTTCTAAATTTGTTGGTAGTGGGGAAGAGCCCGAGCACTGCAAGCACTTTATGTCCAGCACGTTGCCTCGGCCTCCGCAGAATTGATCTCCCTCACTGTTGGTGATGTCTATGCCTTCCTAGAAGACTCGGGGCTTTTTCCGCGTTCGTCTTCGAAGATCGAAGATCCTGTACCGAGTGCGAAAGAAAAGAAGGACAAATCGAAGGACAAGGAGAAAGAATCCACGCTTTCGCCGGTGGATGAACCCTGCTTTGTCTGTGGCATAAAGAAACGCTTCCACCCTATACTTGCTGCCACTGTCAAAGTGAAAAAGGAGCCTGTTTTTGACGAAACAGGACCCTGGGTTTGCGACATCGTTCCGCCGCACGAACTTGAGCGGGGTTTACGAATACCCATTGTTGATTTGATGAAGATTTTTGGAGGTGGACTCGAAATTGTCCTATACGCCGGGGAAACTGCAGGGGATGTGGGACCGCTACCGCATCAACCCATAGCTTCTTCTCTGCTCAGACCTTGGCGTTATTCTGCGCGGCAGATTACCTCGTTAAGCCCACCAGACCTCATTCTTGCTATTCATAGAAGTGTCGGGTCTTTGCGTCTTCTGCATTTCCCTGATCTTCTCTCTCCTTCTCTGGATAAGCGTCGTACAAATTCGGAGATCGAAGAGGCGTTCGCACCATCAGCACTGCTAGCCGCTGTGCTCAAACCGTTTATTGCCGCCCTTGTGCGTTCTGCAGTGGACGTTGCAAAACGGGATATTGCGATTGCATCTGGTGCTGGAAATAGTGGTGCTGTTCCAGTCGCTGGACAAGTCAAGGTGGCACGAACTAAGCGAGGGAGAAAAGTAGGGTCTGTTCTAACTCCAGGACACATCTTACGAGGGCTGTCGTTGCCTAATCCTGTCCGTGGTGGCGGGCTCGCTACGGCTACCGTCAAAGATATGTTGAGGCTTTATCTGGCGAGAGTGGGAGTACCCGTGGAGTTCGGACGATCGTTAACGCGGGCTTCCCTCCGTCAGATTTTGGATCGGGATGGCAGTGTCGAAATGGGGGTGACGAGTGAAGGCGACGTGGTTAAAGTGGAGCCGCCATGAATCTTGATTTAGTGGGACTTGATATCTGAAGCGATATGGATCCTCTGAGTCCGACGCTGCGAGAAAGTACTGCATGCCCTTTTTGTACATCCATTGTGATCCCGTGGACTCTGCAGAATGCACGCCTTGCAAACCTGGTGAGTCTCTTACGCTTGTAACATTCCGGAGTGGGTGGCTGATGTTGAACCTAGCTAGGATCTCTCTGCCTTGAGAGTGGTGGGTCATCCGACTCTATTTTTAAATATACTGCACATGTTTTGGAGGCGGAAAATCACAAAGGCCCTGTCCTGGTACTCTGTTGCAGTTGGGTGTTACAATCAGCGCGCGCGCGTCCTTGCAGATTATATTTGGTAATGTACAATATTTCAAGACCTTTACATAATTATGATGCAAAACGCGACAGTAAATTCATTTCGCAGATTAGTGTCTTCGGTCACCAGCACCGACTGTGATACGCATCGCATGGCTTGAGTCGCGGGCCTTGCCTCCGATAGCCCTTATTTATCCACCACATGACACTGCGGCAATTACGTACATTTTACAGTTTGAACTTGCTTGTTTTCGGATGACTGAATCTACCAGGCCAACGACCACGATGTACGGTGAGAACTGGGAGAAGCATTTGGAATCATGCCACACGGCGGGAGCACACAAGGCCTGACCATACCGCATGCATGAGTCTTTCTTGTTCAAGACAGCGATACGATATTCTCAAACAAGGAAGTCGATTATCCGAGAAGTTCACCCGAAATGGATAGGGGGTACGCGTCGCGCCGGGCGAAGAATGAATGCATTTACGCGTTGCTTCTTGGATCATGGCGCCCATGTATGTATGGGGAACTAGCAACGCACCCTGATTACACACCATCATTTTAGCATCGAAAGTTTTCTATTCGCCTCATCCCGCCAGGCATGCTAGACAATCGATCTGATGAAACGCCTACACATCCCAACAGGAAAGGCGGCCGATAATATCTCACATCACGTCCTTATCACAAGGCCATAAGGACACTATTATCGTTTTGCAGATCGCACGAGAATAGCGGATGGATCTTTTGATGAGAGGAAATCTGGGGACATCAGTACGACACCGAAATCATGATGTGGATGGTAAAAAAGATTTTTGGTGCACTTTCGATCTTACGGAATGAAACGCGAGCGGTCGCCTCTGAGGTAAACAGATCGTATGGTTTGCTTGTGGCAACTCGTTGAAGTCACGACATCTAATTCGGATTAAGTGTCTCGTGTCGTGTTCTTGGGACAGAGTGGTGGCGGAGAGAATAAACATTGGAAGATCCCTCCGACATAACTTAATCGGATTATGGCTGGAGACTTCTATATCGGAGATGAGAAGATAGTCATGCATGTTTCAGTATAAATATGTTTGAATTGAATTGAAGTCAAGGAGTTCGTCCCCTGGCCACTCCTGCCAGTGTGAGCGAGTGCCTCGGTCTAGGTTTTCTATCTTGTCTGACCCATTCTCTAGAGATATCTTACTTCTGTATCGAAGTCTCGTGCGGAATCTTTCTACTACACTCTACCTTCGAGGTGCATTCGGATAATGGGAGTTCATCATAATCATGCTGAACACACGAACAGGCAGGCGATATGAGCAAAGTTACCGTTGTCAACAACACAAAGGACAAAATCACCGTTAGCATCACTAATACTAGCGAGAGTGGAGGACCTGGATTCTATGAAATTGCGTCAAAGTACTCTGACACTTGGCAACGAAACCTCGTGCAAGTGTGCTATGTGTTGAGGGCTGACAATGGAAATACTGAGGTGTTTGTTGTGGAGCCTGGAAAAACCTACCAAATCGGAGGTGCGTTCAGAGGCCTATTATTATAAAGGGAGTTCATGATAATCATTTTGGACACAGACGCAGGCAATATCATGATCATGAACGAAGTCACCATAGTCAACAACACCAAGGAGAAAATCACCGTTAGCATCACCAACACCGATGAGAATGGGCAACTCGAATTCTTTGAAATCGCATCAAAGAGTTCCAACGCCTGGAAACGGAGCAGTTTGCAGGTGTGCTATGTGTTGAGGACCGATAATGGAAAAACCGAGGTTATTGTTGTGAAGCCTGGAAAAAAATATCAAATCGACTGAAAACCTTACGGTGAAGATTTACGGTGTATTTTTGATCTTATGAAATGGAACGTGAATGGTCACCCCTTCATGAGGGAAAGGTCCGTTTGTAGATCACCGTTCGCATCACTAACGCTGGCGAGAATGGAGGACCTGAATTCTATGAAATAGCGTCAAAGTACTCCGACACCTGGGAGCGGAAGCTCTTGCAAGTGTGTCATGTGTTGAGGGCCGACAATCATGATGGAGCATGGAAAAACTTACCAAGTCCGTTCTCCGAGTTGCGTTCGAAGGTATGAAGGGAGTTCATACTAATAATCATTTTTGAATTCGACATAGCGACAAGTGGCGACGGAGCAAGTTGCACTATGAGTTGATAACCGACGATTAAAATACCGAAGTTCTTGTCACTGGAACCTCGAAAAAATATGAAATTGGCAGAAAGCCTTACGGGTAGAAGCATTTGGTCATGGTGTCATCAGAGGGGATGTATTGCAAGGGCTGCTACTTGGAGGAGATGCGAAGGTCACTGATTTTAGAACAAAAGAAAAGACAATCAATTTCTGGATAAGGTAAAATAAGGTACGAACTTCTAAGGCCTAACTTGAAGGGGACATCTCCCTTATGTAATGGGATCCAGCGCGTGAAGCGGAGTGGATTCACTGCCACTCCGACGCTGTTGCACACTACTATCACTTACTACAGCATTCATTCAAACGGAACCTTTTCAACTTTTTTTTTTCATATGCGCCAGGAACCACAGTGCTGGTAGTATGATGGACCAGCCCCGGGTTTGGATATTTGGACGCGGGAAATCACCGAGGCTCTAGGTCAGTGTTTCAATGGATGCGCCCTTGCAAATGGTTTTTGTTAATGGACCTCGTGCCAGCTTGTGATGCAAAACTCTTATCTACCATTCATTCTGCAAATTGGTAGCAATCACCGCCTTGACGCCATTCAACGTGTATGTTGTCCGCAGACTATGTCTCTGATCGGCTTCGGCACTTTGCGCTAAACGTAAGTCACCCCCACCGTCGATACAGTTGTTATCGATCCTATCTTTGCTTTCGAGTTGGTGTAACCATCTGTAACCATTCGCTCAGAGTTCTAGAATAGGATACATGCACATTTATTTGTCCCTGTACCTATCCCTTTCTTGATGTCGAGGCTACCGCAGTGCCACAGCCTTCGGCCACATGACAATTGATTAAACAGGCCAGCGTGATAAACCTTCAGCAGTACGAGGTGATCGAAGTCTTATGCCGAGGCTTCTTTCGGTCCGTACTGAATATTGACAATATAGGTTGGGTCAGGATCATTCCTGCTTCGCCGATAGGAAGTTTGTGATAATATCCGAAGGCGCATAAACTCGGAGGACACAGAAACCTGCGCGTCCTGCGATGTTGGCGAATTCGGAACATTCAAATTAGAAAACGTTGCTAACGTTCAGGCACAACTTTACTGATAGACGCTCGGCGTTATACTGCGGCACGCCGGCACCCCAATTCTTAGATTGTCATCTCTAATTATTTGTAGTACGACCACGATGCCGAACTGGAGCTCACAGTGACTGCGCGGATACATACATGTGCTATATACACCAATAATAAGTTTTCGGTCCCGCATTCTCTCAACCTGCCGCCGGCCCGCGATTCCTCCGCTTCCGCATTTGGCAACCTTCAAGTAAATCGCTGATCAATTTGAAATGCGCCTGATGTGTTGAAGACCATTCGGTCCATTCCTCTCTTGATGAAATTTTTTTCCAGGATGTAATTTTGGGCGATTCTGTTCTGATCCCACTCAACGCCAACTTCCACGCGGTACACGGACGAGGCTGGAGCATCGTCCACTGCCACAGCGGCAGCGCTGTTGCCAGCTCCGAAACTTTATCGGATAGTAATCCAATCCGTTTACGGACGATAGCCAAGGCCATGCGTTTGCATTTCAGCCGACTATTTCATACTGTGTTCTAATCGCAACTTCCATCCTCACCCATTCGTTTGTTCGTCCTCATTGGCTGGGTTTGGAAGATGCCCGCAGAATACGTCCTCCCGCGTTTCGATAATACCCTCGGTGCTTTGCTTGTAGGTTTTGCTGTCTCTGCCACGTAAGTGCTCACGGATTTGACCTTTTGGTGCTGAATTCGACCTTGCGTTACAGTGCATTTGGAATGTTGACCATTCAAGTGTTCATCTACTATAGGCGTTTTCCCCAAGACAAGGTTGCATACAAGGCTCTCGTAAGTACACGGATAATATCGGGTTCACCGCACGTTCATCGTACAACAAAAATTGATCAGGCTGCATTGATATGGTGAGATGGATGTCTATCCTGATGCAAACAAGGCTCAAATCATCAAGGTTAATTTCTGTCGTGGATCAATCCTTCGTTGGTTACGCTGTATACTTCTACACTGTCACGTGAGTCGCCCGCCATCCTTGCCTCACATCCCTGAACGAATGAACTAGAAATTACTTGAATCCGGTCCCATTGGCTACAGGAAAACCTCAGTGGTGAGCCCTTCTTCCAACTAACGACCTCTTTCCCTCTAACTTTTTGATCAGGAGTCTTATAGTGAGACCGTACTTTCACTCACCGTTCACATAAATTGAAGTTCCCTCGTGTAATAGCTGCAAATGACTTTAGGCGTGAGTGTCGCCTGTGAATTGTATGTGGATATATCTAATTGGAGCATTCTTTTGAACACAGGCTGTTGTTGGTGCCATTGTCAAGGCGTACGTGGAATAATTCTACCGATGTGAACGTGTGAACCATGACTGACCTTCGGCTTCTGATAGTTGTTTTACACTACGAGTCTGGAGGTGTAGGAAACTGTCTTCGTGCCATTTCAGAATTTCCTGCTGATTTTTGCACAGTCAGCTACAGAAATTGGTGGCTCACAGGGTTCTTGGTATGTTGAACTTAATTTCCCATTTCGCTGTGCTGATAAGGGTCCTTGCGAAGTTTTTGATGGTTACCGCACAACTTGGCACGGCGATCGGTGAGTCCATACTAGCTTCTTCTCCAAAACTATTCTGAATCTTGTTATCAGCTTTCACTGTAAAATGGTTCTCATTTTTTGTTGATTCTACCGTAAAGTATACTGACAAAGTACATGAAAAAGTTTCGAATTGCCTTCTTACACGCACGTTCTTGCCGTGAAGGTACGTGAGTCTACGGTTATCTATTTTCTATCCTCACCTTTTGTAGTCTTTGGGGAGCATTTCCTTGGGCATGGGAGTCGTCACGGACATGAGCATAGCTGCCGCATTGTGCTTTTACCTTCAGAAAATGCGCTCAAGCCATCTAACGTGCGTCTCACAAGTTTACGTTTGTCACATTCTCATAAATCCGCTATTCTAGTGCGGACTCCATGATTGCCACATTAACAATATACGCAGTGAATACCGGTCTTCTTACCAGGTTGGTCTCACCGGTGCTTTCCCAAGTTCAAAGTCTGACACATGCTTTATATACAGCACTATCAGCCTGTCGACTCTTATTCTGGTGTGTGATAACGCTATGCACAAGTTTCACAGACTGAATTGTATGGAAAGTTTAACATCATGCCTAAGAACTTCGTGTTTATATGCATGTATTTTGTTCTGAGCAAACGTAAGTCATAAACAAGTCATTCTGATATCAAGCTAAGATAGGCTTATCCAGTGTATGCGATATCATTCCTGGCTACGTGAGCGGATTACGAAGCTGTTCTTAGTCCCTCATTATATCATTGCTTAGACTGAACACTCGAAAAATTATACGAGGTCGTGGTACAGACCGTGAAGCAAGAAGGTCTACGAACTTCAGTATAGTTACCGAGTCCATGCAGCCTTCAGTACAGATGCCCATACAGCTGTCGAAAGTAACTGTCCAGGAGGAAATACAGGCAAGTTCGGTGAATTTCTTTATTCTGCTAGAATGCATCTAAAGGATCGACTACGACAGGATATTGCCAGAAGTCATGACTCAAAATTTATGGTAACCAGATCAGTATGTTCTTTTATCCTGTGTCACCGACCTTGTGATAAACTGGTCATCTAGACACAACCCTGTGGAGTAGGCTGGTAACTTTCAACCACATTTATTTCATCCCTTGTGACACCTCGACCATCCCATACTCTACACGCGAGGTGCACTTTCTCATTGAATTTGGCTCTGCTGTTATTCGTCTTTCTTCTATTTGCAAAAGGCAGCGCCTGTTGCAGTACTCATTCCGGAAATCCAAAATAGAAGCAACTGCAAGTTGGAGTTTTGAAGGAAGTTTGTACAACACTAATAAAAACGCGATGACGCGTTGTACTTGTTTCATATGCGCAAAATATACACTATCATTTGTAGACTTGCTTTTCAGACTGTGAAGGTACTCTATCTTGGAGTTCTCGTAATCCGTATAACTTTCTCTTTGGTAGCCATGTCAGATTCGTAGGTCGGCTCGAGTCGCACACCAACAACACCTCAACGTTCACTGCATCTATTACTGAGCCTCGTAAGATTCCCGAACATCTCGCCGATCCCAGTGGCACTGGTGGGACTCCGTGGAATCAAGTTTGATAACGTACAGTGCACATAATCCAATTCTCTGCACTCGGCCGGCCACTCATCGTGGTGAAGTCTACGTACTGTACAACTCTTACAGCCAGTTCAGCGGCGTTAACCTTAATCCAGCGACACAGACCACAAATGGCAATGCTGCGGTAATACTCTCGTTTCTGTGCATTCTGGTACCTCTCAGGCCATCGGTCCCCAGCATTTTGGCTTGATTTCTCTGAACAGGTACTACGTTAGGAGTACATAGGGATCCACGAGCAGGACTGCGCATTCGGGGTCTCTGCGGCTCTTTCTGCAGCTTAGTCAGCACGTAGCACCCCATAGCAACATCGGTCACAGCTGCTTTGGGCTTAGGCCGCTAGTCCCTGCTCCAACGCGTAACTCGTTTTTGATGAATGCTTATGCGCATTTAACATGAAGCACACTCCATCAAGATGCCCTCTGCAGCGCCTCCCTCGGCTTAGCGGGAGGGTGTCATGGATTTGCACTGCGGTCGACTATGATAGTCTCGACTCTCGTATAGGCAGATGGGCCAATACTGCTGTTCCTGAAGCTTCTGTCTGACATTCTGACTCCTGAGAAAGTAAAGAGTCGCCTATCATTTGGCGTTGTCGACTTACTAGAGGTATCGTGCACTGAATCTTATCACACTAATGTATAAACGAATTTCGGACAGACCAATTGGAAAGACTCCATCCAAGATTCAAAAACCTTTTCCCTACTCTTGCAAATCAGCAGACTGAGCCTGATGATTGTACTTATACAGGAGAACCAAGGACCACGGGACTGGAATTGTCGGAACGATCAAACCGAAGTACAAACTCCGGAATCTGTATGGGCTTTATGCGGAGGGTGTTCTAGAGCCTTTGCGGGTGAGTCCGAGTCATCCCCCTGATTTTGACGATTAGGCTCGCGTTGACACGTTGATTGCGAGGATTCGTGTCCACAGGGCTTCGATTATTTCGGACCAAAGGAGTCTGGACCTGGTTGTTACGAATCATGTGTTGTAGTAACCGTTATCGTGATCATGGGAGTGCCTATTTTCTGTTAGTGCCTCTTTCTTCTGACAAGCTACCCGAGGTACAATCAGTTTCTGCGTGGTCACGGGAGCCAATTTGAACATGCCGTCAATTTTGGTCTTTGGGTGCCCAATGTATAACCTTGCGGCCCTGAAATCAGTCTTTCATTTACCGGAAGCTTGGCAGTCACATACAGATCAACTGTCTGAAGCTCGAGGGCTTCCATTCCCCGGAATGTTTTACCCCATAATAGCTAGTTTATCACGCAGCTAATATATTTACAGGGGCCAGTTTCGTATGGTTGTGGAGAATCGGGAGCAGAGAGCTGACAGCGAAGTATCTTTTTAAGTCCTGGGGTATCTGGCATGTGCAACCCTACGAAGCTCGCCAGATTTCTACAAGGTGATAATTGATAACAGAATCATGCCGATGGTTGTGATTATGGACTATATATTGCTATATATATCATTCTGATTTGTTCACTAGTTCTGTGATGAATGATGGTACATATGGTCACAGGTATTCAACAAAAAATGCAATTGCTTCCTAGCGTTAGTAACAGTACAGGGAACAAATACCTTCGTCCATAAACGGCTCTCTATGGAGACTATACACAAAACAACTTTGTGTCAAATAATGGCAGCTCAAGCGAGTTCCAACTCCTCCCCATTCTCCGTGTAGAGGAGCTCCTTCACCCGCTCATCGTTCTCAAACAAGGTAGGCCCAACGGTGAAGTCGTTCAAAAGTGCACCAAATGTCAACCCCGACTGAGGAGCAGGTGAAAGAATCGCATGACCAGTGCTGGCGTTGACGTCAACGGACAGATTTACGGTGGTCAACCTGACGGTGATCCTGTCAGGACCAATCATGACGGTCCCTGCAGTACCTCTGTCGGTGCGACTAACAGTGAAGCGAGTGCGTTCGGTGCGCGAAACATAGACCGCAGTTCTCGCATTACACGATTGGGGACAGTACCAATAGTCGTAAGGAGTGACTTTAGACCGAATAAAAAAACTTCGGTAGGATACTATCAGCCAAATATAGAACATCCCGAAAGAAACTGGCTCACGAGTTCCCGCTAATGTGGTCAACGAAATGACTCGGACCAAGCGGCGGGATGAATGTTCAACCCACGATATATATTAAGTCGTTCAGCAAGGTGAAAAACACTTTTCCAAGGAATTGGGTCGCAACCCCATTCGTGACGAGGGATTCGCTAGCGTTGGCCATGCCTGTGTTATGTGTGTAGAACTGGGCGTTGACACGCTGAATGCCGTTCGCGAAATTAGTGCGGGAAGTGGACACGGCACGCCACCATTCATCGGCAACTTCGCGGCTAGCGAAGGTAATCAGGTATCGAGCGCTCCAGTTATCCAAGGCCTTGATGGCGATTTAGCGCAGCATCGCAGACATCGAAGCATGAATTTTAGGCGTACATGTTTTACATATGCGTAGAAAACCATGATAATAGGATAGATGACTCCTTGTTGGTTGTGATTGGATTGAAATTGGTCACTTGATCACTGTATATTATATAGGGGAGAGTCTCAAGCACAGAGAGGCTCGGACTAGAAAACGGAAGGACAAACCAAGTAGGTGGTTAGAATGAAAATATCATATATCACTATTATAAGTGTTGATACTTACCTCAGTCTTCGGATTGAGAGACTGAGGAGAGTTCGTTCTGGGACACGAGAATAAAACAAAGTCGTTGGAACGGAGAACGAAAAAGATGTACATGCGTAGAACACGTGTAGCCAAAGAGTGATTGTGTATGTAAAGAAAGATACGTACGACTAGTGTATTCTGATAGAGAGTAAGTTATTTAGTTAGGTTAATTACAATATCTCGATCGACTTAGCTACTGGGGGAGCTCAAAATTAAGCCCAACCTTGTGACTGGTCACCGAAATGAGTATAAGTAGATCGTAGAGATGCGAGCGTCTAGCGATAAGCAAAGTCCGAGCCAGAACGTCCAGCAGTACGTCGCGAGGCAGACCACGTTCCCCTGTTGCCAGTGCAGTCACCCATGTGATGGTCGATGACAGAATTATGCCAATATCCCTTTCCTTTGTCCATAAACCGTAAACGGCTCTCTATGGGAGACTATAACAGTACCTGTGCAAGACAACTTTGTGTCAAATAATAATAGCTCAAGCGAGTTCCCACTCCCCCCCATTCTCCGCGTAGAGAAGCTCCTTCACCATCTCATCGCTCTGAAACAAGGTAGACCCAACGGCAAAGTTGCTCAAAAGTGCACTAAATGTCAACTCCGACTGAGGATCAGGTGAAAGACTTGCTTGACCAGTGCTGGCAGTTGACATCAACGGACAGATTGACAGTGGTCAACTTGACGGTGATCTTGTCAGAACCAATCATGACCGTTCCTGCAGTACCTCTGTCGGTGCGACTAATAGTGAAGCGAGTGCGTTCGGTGCGCGAAACATAGACCGCGTTACATGATTGAGGACGGTACCAATAGTCGTAAGGAGTGACTTTAGAGCGAATGAAAAACCTTTGGTAGGGCTACTATGAGCCAAATGTAGAACATCCCGAAAGGAACTAACTCACGAGTTCCCGCTAATGTGGTCAACGAAATGATCAAGCGGCGGGATGATGTTCAACCCGCGATGATTCATATTCAAGTCGTTCAACAAGGTGAAAAACACCTTTCCAAGGAATTGAGTTGCAACCCCAGCCGTGGTGAGGGAGTCGGGGGTGTGGGCTAGGTGTGTCTCATGGGTGTAAAATTGGGCATCAACACGCTGAATGCCGTTCGCGAAACCAGTGGTAGAAGTGGATACGGCACGCCACCACTCATCGGCAACTGCGCGATTAGCGAAGGTAATCACATATCGAGAGGTCCGGTTGTTCGTGAGCTCAATGGCGGTTTAGCGCAACATCGCAGACATCGAAAAATGAATTTTAAGCGTACATGTTTTACATATGCATAGAAAACCATGATTGGACATTCAATAGGAGAGATGACTTGTGGGTTGTGGTTGAATTGAAATTGGTCGCCTGAACACTGTACATTATATAGGGAGAGTAAGTATTTGATTGGGTTAATCACAATATCTCGATTAACTTAGTAGGGGAGTTCAAAGTTCAACACCCAACGCCCAAGCCCAACCTCGTGATCAGTCACTGAAATGAGCATACCTAGACCATAGCGATGCAAGCGCCTAGTGACTGGTTTGGATAAGCAAAGCCCAAGCCAGAGTTTCCAGCAGAGCGTAGCGAGGTAAACCACGTTCTTAGCACCTGCTGCAGTCACCTGTCTCCTAGGATAAGGGTTTGTTAGCTAGGGCAACTTGAAGAGGAACACAGGGCGGGGATGGCAGCAGTTTCGAACCTGTAAAAGTTCTCGTCAGGGTGCTGACGCTACCCTAACTGCGCTGACCTTCCCGTTCTGTCATTATACTGAGCCCACATACCTAGTGGGAGCACAGGTTCCGTCGCACAATTGCAATCGTGTCCAATGACTGGCCGGCTGCATCCAGTAACCACGACATACCAGCAGGGTGGTTTACGGTTGGGGGAGTAGGAGGCTTCAGGCTTCAAGCTCCAAGTCTCGTGGGCTTTAGCACGTCAAGACCCTAAACCCACTCGCCGAGATGCCCCATTCGGTCGTTTCCGAACTGAAAAGGGAATTGGCGTCTCCGTGCAGTCTCAAATATAATACTGGAGTCTGGACAAACAATTAGGTTGGCAACGGGTGCGGCGTTGTTATGCATGTCCTATCTTGAACTAGGGAGTTTGAGATTCGAGATTCTGATTGGCAGCGATTGCGGAACTTTCCGGCTGAGGACTGTATTCTGCAACACTACACGGGTGCATCAGCATTGATAAATCTTTGGACTTGTTGTCGGAGAACCATGGAAAGGTAAGAGGGAGAGATATACATGCACTGGCGCTTTCACGGGATGGGAAGATAATGATAATTGCGTGTGGGAGGAAGGACGGAAGCGTTCAGCGGTAGACTACTGAGAGGCGTTTGGATGGGTCATAGCGAATGGGTACGGTCACTCTCATGGTCACCCAGCGGGAGTCATATTTCCAGCGGGTCCGAATATGGAAAAATCCTTATTCGAAGAGCAAACAGCGGGAAAGTCGAGGTGGGCCCATTTAACACGGAGCAGAGTTATGTGTGGAGTTTGAGAAAATTGCGTCAGGCAGGGACAACCAAACAGTTCGCATCTGGGACACAAAAACCGGCGAGCTTTCCGTCGGGCCCATCCAAGACCTGGGGGTTTATGCGATGTCGTTGGTGTGGTCGTCTGACAGCACTTGCCACTAGACTTCAAGCTTCATTCCGCATCCGAAAGATTCTCACGTGTGTCCGACAGCGAACTACTTCATTGACATTCCTTGGAACGCAACAATTTCCTGTATTCGGTTGCACTTTCCCCCAAAGACAATACCCTGGGTCATCTCTCCCACCGCTAGAGGAGTCTGTATCACAAGAACACTCCAAAGTCTAAACATGGTTTCTTCGGTCGTCGGCTCGCTGAAACTTGTCCGCGTGGAGCTTGCAACCATTAAACACAACCAACCAGTGCCAGATGTGACCAAGTAGGAGAAGGGAATGGCGAATGCGAAGGCGAACAAGACGAAACTGTTGATGATGTAAGTGCTGTTTCAGCTCTCGCGCAGTGTCATTTCAACACGTATGCTTCTGCAAATCACGGCCCGATCAATGATACAGGAGGAAACTAGACAACGTGAAAATCAACCCGGCGAGTCCCCAATATTATCTTGCCTCGACGTAAATACTAACACTTGGCTATGCACTTGTTTCACCATACTTACGAGTTTATGACGGGCTCGTGCTACGGGGGGTGGTGGCATCATCGAGGAAACATGCGATGACCCATACAACATTTACGAAGGGTCCAGTACTAATGATAAACTGTAGTCGTCCCAAACATCTCTTCCTGCTGCGGCATATGGTCTTTCTCAGCCTTCAAACCCATCCTCAGCTCGACGTTTCTTTTCAAGCTGATCTGCAAAACCTACTGCCTGATGAGCACGCTGCCAAACTCAAGAGCTTGAAAATGGAAATTTTTGAGACAGTTATGGCACGCTCGAGGCAGGGATTCCACACCTGTCAACTTGGGTCCAAAAAAGAGAAGTTCCCCGGTCGTTGAGGCATCTACAGTTAAGTGGTTTCAGCTGAGCTTCAGTCGACTATCTCTACTGGAGACGGAATTACATAACAGAGACTCGGACACTTCCAACAACTAGATCCGGACTGCAGGACTTGTCACACACAGGAACTCGTGCTGTGTAGTCTGTTATCCTAATCTATCCAATCGTAATCATCAAGACCCCTCTAGAGCGCGCGCTTCTTGTCCGGCTGGTCGTAGTCATCAAGACCATCCATCAGCTCCTCGCGCTTGTCTGGCTGATCGTAGTCATCAAGACCATCCATCAGCTCCTCGCGCTTGTATGGCTGATCGGAATCATCAAGATCAGTCTTCAGGAGATCACGTTCAAAATTGATGTCAAGGTTCTCTCGTTTAACTGAAAGATTCATTGTAGTATTTGAGTGGATATGATATTGCTTATGATCGTGAATACTCACAGGAACGTTTCGAGATGGCTCCTGGCGCAGCGGGTGACGCTGCCGCAAGGATGACGAAAGATACGAGTGCAGTAAAGAGCACAGAAAGCTGCATGTTTGGAGATAAGAGGATCGTCGATACACTGCACTGAGGGCTTTTTATACATTTTAGTAGGCCTGTTCCATTTTGGCCTCTTTCACGAACGTGTAAAAATGCAAATAAGTCTGCTATTGAAGCTTCGAATCATCGTCACGATTCAATCATAGTGCATTCGCAATTGACCGTGAGAGCAGCTGCCACGTCAGTTATACATGAATTCAAATGTGTAGTGTATCATTGCCAGCATCTCTTGCAGTCGTCAAGTACAGTTTAGTTGTGCCAAGCTACAATGGAAGGATGGATCGTGGTGGCCCGAAGTTAAGTTTCTCCACCTTGCTGGAGTGTTACTGGTGGACATCTCATATCTTCCATGAGTCTGCGGATAAGACACTTGAAATGGCACGAGTGCTTTTTGAAATTCCTTGGGGCGCCACATCGACCATGTGTTTGAAAGCAGTAGGATCTGCACAAGTTATTGCCTCGGTAAGCTCAGATGGGTCGAGCGCACCGAGCCTGAGGTGCAAGGGAAAAAGGCATATAGAGCCCTCGAATTTTTCGTGACGAAGTAGTTACTCAGCTCTTAACCCCAAAAAATGCAGCTGTCTCTTCGACGCACTCACATCCGTCGTGCGGTGAAACGTATACGAAGAGCCATCGTGACCCGATGCTGTAAGGATTTGTGACCGCTAGCAACGCCAGGACCCCCGAATATACTAGAAGGTGGAGAGGCTTGAGACCAGTTCGGACAATTTTTCCAAGTCTAAGGGCCATATATGCCGGATCCTTTGTCCGCACAAATACAGGCCGGACGGCAGAGGCCTGATCTGTGTCCAGACAAATTGTCCAAGTTAGTAGGATGATACGGCGGGTTGTCATAACGAGGAGGCTATCATAGGACGAGCTGCTCATCTGAGTGACGCTAAGAACGTCTCGAACACGATCTGCTCACGATAGTTGCTATGGCATACTGCACGTATCTGCGATGATGCAAATTGAGAATGGGGTGTTGAGGTAGTATGGACTAATGGTAAATCGATGTTGGGATGTGCTGAGCGTGAAGAATGAGGAAACATGAAGTCTTCATGTACAGGACAAAGTGAGACAGAGGACAGAGAGGGAAAGAATCGATGAGAAGTCATGAAGAATACGATGGCGGTGAGGTCATGGACTTCTTTTGCAGCGTGTGGGGTGACTGGGAAAACCTGGAGGACATGCACATCCTTCGACAAATACCAAAAAGGCAAACACTCGTCCGCTCTAATCCTGCCCGGGACGTAGATCCTGTAGTATGGCTAGGCCGCACAAACGGTAGAGGCTCCCACAAACTACTCCTCAAGGCTAGACGCTGGCTGAGGCTGGCACGTTGCATCAGATCTTGAAGCGCAAGCACGAACCTGTTGCGATCTCCTTTATTGATGTTGTCCCTTGCAGATTCGTTGAGTGGTGCTCACTCACAGTGTACACGATATCGTTCCCTAGAGCTGTCATACTCACATCCCCGTACCTGCTAGGCCGCCTTGTAAGCTCTCTCCCTCCCCGGGGCTGCTATTATCGCGTTGACAGCATCCTTAATGCTAGCATCGATATTTCTGTGGCTAATGTTCTCTAGTATTGATTCGTCAGATCCATACAGCATTCACAATATTGACGATGGTAAGTACTCGGCAGTTGCGCCCATGAATGTACTTTATGAGCTGAGGATCGACTCGAGCTAGCAGGTCAGTCTAAACATCGGTGTAGGTTAGATAAAGCAAGTCATTTTCAGCGTGAAATGACTACGAACGTTATGCTCGCCCAAATCTGACTACTAGTGATTAAAATAGACTGTTCAGATGCTCGAAGTTCCAGAACTTGGTGCAGTGTCGCAGTGGGGGTCATAAACATGGAGCTGGCACATGAAAAAAGACCACTGGCGCTTAAATAAGTGTCATCATTTGCCAGGCGACATAGTCGACGTACTTGTTAAGATATAACTGTGTAAAAGAAACAAGTCAACATGATACACATACAGACAAACAAGATATCTAGTCGAATTAGGTGAGCAGAGGAAGAAAATGCACCCCTGCCAGACTTATTACAATGGACATCGACATTTGTATTCATTTATGCTTCTGTCCCGATCGAAGAAATGACACGAGAGTGTCATTGCGAAAAAGATCAATAAGGCTCACCAAGCTATCATGGAACTGAGAGACACATGGCCAATGTTCTGCGGTGACACGACTTGAGGGATTGGTCCAAGGCGAACGTGAAGCTGGGGACAATACAATAAAGAAGGTCGTCTTCTCTCGCAACACTGATCCAGGGTGAAGATACTGTCATGCACCAGATGAATATACGTCACAAACACCAGAAGCACAATGTACTCACCTGGCGTCCCTTGCCATGCACCTATGTTATGTTATGTTATGATTACTCATTTGACGTCAACGAGTATTGAAATATCTTCTAGGCGAGACTATAGCTTCAAATAAGCTAGAGATAGTTAGAGTGCAGAGTACAATAAACGACACCATGACACCATGAGTCGTGAAGTAAACTATAGAGGCGAGAAGTTGTCTGACTGAATGGCCACTATGTTGTCTTGAGTATATGCATCGAAGCACGATTTACCATGCCATGATGATTGGAAATAGATGAATGGGATAATAGGAACCATGACGTGCAAAGATTAAACCGGCCGAAATGCTGTATTGCGACACGAACCTGAGTGGACGATTAGCGCTGCCTCGTGGGATCAATGCCTTCCACCTACAGTACATAAAAACTCTTGCTACCAAGGACTAACAGACCAGTATACCTTTCGCTCCATAATTGATCACCACCCGCGGCAGAGTCGGATCGATCCACCAGATTGCGGCAAAGAGCTATGGCTGCTAGATTCTTTGCGAGGCGGACCCGCAAGGAAGCTTTGACCGCAGTGCAATGGGAAGAACCAAGTCTGAAGCACGAGTTTGAAGGACACAGGGAGGCGATTTGGGGTTTTGTTTTCTTGCACGACAACATTCACATCGTGAGTGGTTCAGTGGACGGCAATATACGCAAGTGGAACTGCGACACGGTACTTGTTGGGGAACCATGAGAAGGTGAGGGGGGAAGGATATATGCACTGGCACTTTCACCGGACGGGAAGATAATTGCGTGTGGGAAGGAGGACGGAAGCGTTCAGCGGTGGACTACCAATGGTGAGATGATCGAAGGCATTTGGACAGGTCATACCGAAGTGGTGTGGTCGCTCTCGTAGTCACCCAGCAGAAGTCATATTGCCAGCGTCCAACGATGGAACAATTCTGATTCGAAATGCAGAAAGTGGAAAAGTCGAAGTGGGCCCGATCAAAACGGAGCAAGGCGGCGTCTGTCAGAAATTCCTTTCAATGCATTACAAAGCATTGAAATATTTAAATACAAACTGCCGCCAATAATAGGAGTCTGTGTTGTAATGGTCATTATAATGACGGTTGCAATGCCTATTGTAATGGTAATTGAAATCTGCTGAAATCAATAGTCATTGTAATTAGTGCTGCCGCGGTCCGGTCCAGAACCACGGTTCGAACCGGACTTTTGGTCCGGTTCTCTGTGGTTCGGTCCATGGTTCCCTCACCAGCCAGAACCGGACCGGAAAACGGTTCTGGGTTCTGGACCTTCACTAATGGTCCGGTTCTGGTTCGACTTTCCCGAACCTTCCCGAACCGTTCCTTGACTTCGAATTCCCTCAACTTCGACTTCAATAACGACGACGTCGGTGTCCATGTCGACATCAAAGCATCGTCTTCGAGATTTGCATTATTTGTTAATCGGGCTACTGTTAGCCTTTTTGAAGGTAAGTACTAATCAATCTACTCTCAAGAACTCTTACTGACTGACATATGTTCACCTATATCACAGATATCTACATGTTCTAGTCTATATGCTTCCTGGATAAGCATGATCCTCCACCGGTTGTCATCTCTAACAGATCTCCTTGGATATTGTTGCTCTGTGGTGTTAGGGTCTCCTCCACACATAAAACGAGGTGCTAACAAAAAACTTGTGAGTTATTTGCCTCATGATGTCTGAAGACTGCTGCGCTCTGAACGCTGACGGCACCCTTAAGGATGCTTCTGAAATTACCTTCTTTAACGATCCTGACGATGAAGTACCATTGCCCCAACCATCCTCTTCCACTACATCCGCAAAGGACGCCTTCTCCATTCTGCTCAAGGCTGGACGCACCCCAGCAACAGTTGCAGCTGGATCTAGGCGCTCTGGCCGGCCCTCAAAACCGTCAGCTCGTATTCGCGATGTGGACAATGCCTGCGGTCTGTCTTCGTCAACTAACCCAAGGAAACGTGCTTTATCCAGCGCTACGGATCATCCACCACGCAAGAAAACTGCCATGCGAATCTTATCTCCTCTTGACTCCGAAGATGAAGAAATACCCTCTACACCTGATCTGGGAGAGTCGTCTGCTGACGAGCTGATCCCCCAACCAGAGGTCGACGATGAAGTTGATGAATCTAAATCCGAGAACGGGTGCACCACTACTGTATGTACTTGTTTATTGTTTTCCTTGAGTCTCAACTAAGACCTGTATTTAGCTTTCAAAAAGCGAACGCACAGCGGACGTTAGGACTATATTTACCCGTTTACCTGATGGGTGGGTGTGTACACTATGCAAGTAAGTGGTCCATATTGTTTTTGATATGTCGTTTAATAACTTTCAAACAAGGGCCGCTGGTGAACCAGTGCAGAAGCACACATTTCGTGGAGGTACTTCGACACTTCGCACCCATATTGTCCGTTACAAGAAGTCGCATTTTCAAGTCTACAAGGAGCGTTGTGACGCCGCAGGCATCACAATGCACTCTCGTGCAATCCCACCTGGAGAAGACGACATCATGACACAATCACAATCAACTCTCGATGGCAAGCTTGTTTGCAAACCACCTGCGTTCACCAAGGAAGGCTTGCTTGAATATATCATGGAACTTATCGTGACAGAAGACGAGGTACGTTGTTTTTATATATATATTGTATCAATTTATTCACATCACACCAGGCAATACAATTAATTGACAAGCCAGCATTTCGGCGTTTATTACAGTATGCGCGTCCCACCCTAACTGAAAAGGACATTCCGCATCGCACCAAGTTAACGGAAACAATCAAGTCTCGAGCAATGACTGTGGTCGAAAATATCAAGGAGCGTCTAGCGGTGAGTCTTGACCTACTTATATTATGGCATCAGTCTTACAATATTTCATTAGCATATTGACAGTGCGGTGTCCATGACTTTCGATTCATGGACATCGATAATCGGCGAACCATTTTTTTCGGTTACTGGACATTATATTTGGAGCCCTGCTGGCAAACCGCTGCAGTGGGGATTACCTGCCCATTCAAGGCAGTGCAGTCCCATCGGAACGCGCTTTCTCCAGTGCGGGGATCACATCGACTCTGCGCCGCAACGCCCTCACACCATCCACATTCTCCGCGCTACAATTAATGAAGGCAGCCTATAAGAATGGTCATGTGTCAGCGGCAGTAGAGGCAGAAGAGTACGCAGCTGGTGTGTCATTAGCCTAGCTACCCAATGTCATGTAGATGTATTGTGAATGTTTTTCCTTGCTGCTTGAAAAATTTGCGGTTCGGTTCACGTTCGGACCGCAAAAAAACCGAACCGGACTGTTAAGAACCGTTCTTGATGGTCCGGTTCTGGGTTCGACAATTTTGTAGAACCGGACCATGGTCCAGTTCTCGGTTCTCGTCCAGGGCCCTCTGAACCGGACCGAACCGGACCACGGCAGCACTAATTGTAATGGACCGTTTATATTGCGATAAAATTGATTTCTTGGAATACTGACCTTATCTTACAAGCTCTATGTTTCGATGCTCGTGAGGGACTCAAACCAAACAAGTCCATTATAGATATTTTATTCAACCGCAAGACAACAGTCAGGAAAGACTCAGCTTGACGATGCAAATAGTGCAAGCGCTTGCCCCAAGTGATAGGAGGGAAGCGAAGACTTACAATAAATTTTTAACGCACGAGTGGCAATGCATAACGTGTGAAAGGTTCGAGTATCAGCCTGTGTGTCTTGAAGGTATGGCGCCATGATGACAGCGTGTTGTCTTATGAAAAGCATCACCACTCCATCATCAAGACCAGTCTTCAGCTGCTCGCGTTTGTCTTGCTTGTTAAGATACAACTATCGACGTCACTCTCGTATGTACTCATTTCTTTCTTTTACATACGCAATCACTCTTCGTTGCATGCCTTATACACGTTCTCCTTTGATTCTCCCCGTTCTGTAGTCTTTGACCCAATCCCAAGTCTTCGTTCTCGTTCTCAGTCCGAGCCTAACGATTCGTCACATGGCAGACCCCGATCATCAAGACCAGTCTTCGGGAGATCACGTTCAAAATTGATGTCAAGGTTCTCTCGTTTAACTGAAAGATTCATTGTAGTATTTGAGTGGATATGATATTGCTTATGATCGTGAATACTCACAGAAACGTTTCGAGATGGCTCCTGGCGCAGCGGGTGACGCTGCCGCAAGGATGACAAAAGATACAAGCGCAGTAAAGAGCACAGAAAGCTGCATGTTTGGAGATAAGAGGATCGTCGGTACACTGCACTGAGGGCTTTTTATACATTTTAGTAGGCCTGCTCCATTTTGGCCTCTTTCACGAACGGCGAATCTCGGACAGGGGTTTTCGAAGTTGAAAGGGTGGCATCGCCGCGATATAGCATTCAATATTCAATATTCAATGGCCGTGATGAGTTGCATGGTAATTTACCAGTGACTGATACATTATGCAAATGAATCTGCTATTGAAGCTTCGAATCATCGTCATGATTCAATCAATCATGGTGCATACCATTCTATAGCGTGAGAGGAGCTGCCACGTGACACGTCAGTTATATAATGTGTCATGCCACCAGTATATCATTGCCAGCATCTCTTGCAATCGTCAAGTACAGTTTAGTTTTGCCAAGCTACAATGGAAGAATGAATCGTGGTGGCCCGAAGTTAAGTTTCTCCACCTTGCCGGAGTGTTACTGGTGGTCATTTCATATTTTTCATGAGTCTGCGAATAAGACACTTGAAATAGCATGAGTGCTTTTTGAAATTCCTTGGGGCGCCACATTGGCCATGCATTTGAGAGCAGTAGGATCTGCACAAGTTGCCGTCTCGTTCTATGGTAAGCTCAGATGTGTCGAGCGCACCGAGCCTGAGGTGCAAGGGGAAAAGGTATACAGAGCCCTCGAATTTTTTGTAACGAAGTAGTCACTCAGCTCTTAACCCCAAAACATGCGGCTGTCTCTTCGGCGCACTCACATCCGTCGTCAGTCTTTCTGCGGTGGAACGCATATGAAGAGCCATCGTGACACGATACTGTAAAGATTCATGACCGCTAGCAACGCCAGGACCCCCGAATATACTAGAAGGCGGAGAAGCCTGAGACCAGTTCGGACAATTTTTCGAAGTCTAAGGGCCATATGTGCCAGATCCAATCCTGACAAATTTCAGTGTGAGGCCCGATCCTTTGTCCGCACAAATACAGGCCGGACGGCAGAGGCCTGATCTGTGTCCAGACAAATTGTTTAAGTTAGGGTGATACGGCGGGTTGTCACAACGAGGAGGTTATCATATGATGAGCTGCTCACCTGAGTGACGCTAAGAACGTCTCGCGCACAATCTGCTCACGATAGTTGCTATGGCATACTGCACGTATCTGCGATGATGCAAATTGAGAATGGGGTGTTGAGGTAGTGTGGACTACATATGGTTGTTGCCAACTCGGATGTGCTGAGCGTGAAGAATGAGGAGACATGAAGTCTTCATGTGCGGGACAAAGTAAGACAGGACAGAAAGAATCGATGAGAAGTCATGAAGAATATGATGGCGGTAAGGTCATGGACTTCTTTTGCAGCGTGTGGAGTGACTTGGAGAACCTGGAGGACATGCACATCCTCGACAAACACCGAAAAAGCAAACACTCGTCCGCTCTAATCCCGCTCCCCACAAACTACTCCTCAGGACTTGACGCTGGCTGAGGCTGGCACGTTGCATCAGATCTTAAAACGCAAGCACTCAAATGAACGAACATGTTGCGATCTCCTATATTGATTTTGTCCCTTCTAGATTCGTTGAGTCGTGCTTACTCACAATGTACATGATATCGTTCCCTAGAGCTGTCATACTTACATCCCCGTACCTGCTAGGCTTTGTCAGCTCTCTTCGGGGCTGTTATTATTGCGTGGCCAGCATCGATAATTATGTAGCTGATGTTCCCTGATATTGATTCGTCAGATCCATACAGGCATTCACAATATTGGCGATGGTAAGTACTCGGCAGTCGCGCCCATGGGTTGGCCCATGAACGTACTTTATGAGCTGAGGATCAACCCGAGCTAGCAAGTCGGTCTAAACATCGGTGCAAGTCAGATGAAGCAAATCATGTTCAGCGTGAAATGACTACGAACGTTATGCTCGCCCAAATCTGACTATCGGTGATTAAAATATACTGTTCAGATACTCGAAGTTCCAGAACTCGGTGCAGTATCGCAGCGGGGGTCATAAGCGTTGAGCTGGCACATGAAAAAGGACCATTGGTAGTTATGCTTCTGTTCCGATCGAAGAAATGACACGAGAGAGTCATCGCGAAAAAGATCAACAAGACTCTCCAAGCTATCGTGGAACTGAGAGACACATGGCCAATGTTCTGCGGTGACACGACTTGAGGGATTGGTCCAAGGCGAACGTGAAGCTGGGGACAATACAATAAGGAAGGCCGTCTTCTCTCGGAACGCTGATTTAGGGTGAAGATACTGTCATCCACTAGATGAGAATACGTTACAAACACCAGAAGCACAATGTACTCACCTGGCATCCCTTGCCATGCACCTATGTTATGTTATGATTACTCATTTGACGTCAACGAGTATTGAAATATCTTCTAGGCGAGACTAGAGCTTTAAACAAGCTAGAGGTAGTTAGAGTGCAGAGTACAATAAACGACACCATGACACCATGAGTCGTGAAGTAAACTATAGAGGCGAGAAGTTGTCTGACTGAATGGCCACTATGTTGTCTTGAGTATATGCATCGAAGCACGATTTACCATGCCATGATGATTGGAAATAGATGAATGGGATAATAGGAACCATGACGTGCAAAGATTAAACCGGCCGAAATGCTGTATTGCGATAGGAACCTGAGTGGACGGTTAGCGCTGCCTCGTGGGATCAATGCCTTCCACCTACAGTACATAAAAACTCTTGCTACCAAGCACTAACAGACCAGTATACCACCCAGTGAGTGCTGATCGACTTTTTTCGCTCCATAATTGATCACCACCCGCGGCAGAGTGTGATCGATCCACCAGATTGCTACAAAGAGCTATGGCTGCTGTTTTCTTTGCGAGGCGGACGCGCAAGGAAGCTTTGACTGCAGTGCAATGGGAAGAACCAAGTCTGAAGCACGAGTTTGAAGGACACAGGGAGGCGATTTGGGGTTTTGTTTTCTTGCACGACAACATTCACATCGTGAGTGGTTCAGTGGACGGCACTATACGCAAGTGGAACTGCGACACGGGACTTGTTGTTGGGGAATCATGGAAAGGTGAGGGGGGAAGGATATATGCACTGGCACTTTCACCGGACGGGAAGATAATTGCGTGTGGGAGGGAGGACGGGAGTGTTCAGCGGTGGACTACCAATGGTGAGATGATCGAAGGCGTTTGGACAGGTCATACCGAAGTGGTCTGGTCGCTCTCGTGGTCACCCAGCGGAAGTCATATTGCCAGCGCGTCCGACGATGGGACAATTCTGATTCGAAACGCAGAAAGTGGAAAAGTCGAAGTAGGCCCGATCAATACGGAGCAAGGCGGCGTCTGCGCTCTTGCATATTCGCCTTTGGGTGAGATAATTGCATCAGGCGGGGACAATACAATTTGCATCTGGGATACCAGGACCGGCGAGCTTGTCGTTGGTCCCATTAAAGGCCTGGGGAAGTTTTATGTGCCGTCGTTGGTGTGGTCGTCAGATAGCACTAAAGTTTATTTCGCATCCGACGAATTCGCACGTGTCTTGGACAGCAAATCAGGCAAACTCCTTCATTCCTTCGAGCACAACAGTTACTTAAATTCGGTTGCACTTTCTCCTGAAGCCAATGTCCTAACGTGTGTGGGCATCAACGGCGTTGCACAGCTATGGGACACAGAGTCCAACCAGCCACTCGGCAAGCCATTTCACCAGAATCGCGACACCCTTTGCTATGTGTCGTTCTCCCGAGACGGGAGCCATCTAGCATATAGCGGAGATGACGGGAAACTCACTCTCTGGATGCTCAAAGACATAGCTCCTCAGCTCCCAGCGCCCACGCCTCCCCAACAAAGTGACGGACAAAGCACTGTGACCAAGGAGGAAATACGGTCTAACTCCACGTTATCATTTTGTCTGGATGTCAGTACTTTCACGTCAGACTTCTTGTCTTGCTTTTCTCACAGTGCTGTCACAGATTGATGCTACAGGTGGTGGTGGCTTCACCGAGGAGGCGGATGATGATCTATACAACAACTTCTTCCAGGTACTAAAAACACCTTTTTCATGCAAGAGCACTAGTACTGACAACAAGTACTTGTAGTTTTCGCAGCAATCTCTTCCATCTCCATCGCCTGGCTTCTATGTCCCACCCTTGTTTTTGGCTCGCCGCTTGTTGAATATCTTCTCTCGACGTCGTCCATCACCAGACGAGTCCGTTCCACAAGAACGCTCCAAACGTGGTTTCTTCAGTCGTCACGTTCGCTCAAACTCGTCCTTGGAACTCGCAACCACGAAACCCAACCCAGTGCCAGAAGGTAAAGTGGAAGAATGCGAAGGCGAACAAGGTCAAAATATTGATGATGTAAGTGCTATTTCAACTGTCGCACTGTTATCTCAACACGACAACCATTAGCGCGGTTCCACGCATAATTCGCTCAGCGCCATAAAGGATAAAGGCAAACAGCGAGATGATCCACCTGCCGACGTACAAAGCCCGTTGTCTTATGATTGCACTCCCACCGCCCGCTTCGATAGCAAAGATCATAGGACACTCTGGGAACGACTACTGGAGTCTCGAGGAAAAATTTACATGTTTGGTTCCCTGTTTCCCGTTATTCGACTAGCAAATACACCTCAACGCAGCACACCAAGCAATACTTGGCACTGGAATTCTAGTTTATTTACAGTAGGATCTCCCAGACATCCTGTCGATGTTGCTGCTTGCCGCGATGAAGATGTGAGTAACTTGTCATCACTCCCCTTTCATGTTATTGGAATCACTCTGCAGCGATACGGCATTGTCCCTGAATCTGACGCAGAAGCGGCTGCAGCCATGCTACGCACGAATGACGATGTGGCCGACAGTTCAACGCAACTAAGTCAACTTGCAATGGGGGCACATCTGTCTCAAGGACGGCTCACACAAACACAAGCCTCGACAAGCGGGCCACAAGAAATTGAAGTAAGCTGCTGCTGTGGGTTTTCCTTCATCTGTCGTCGGTCCAACCAGTCATGAGTTCATTTGCTGAGACACTATCGCTCGATAATTTATTTGATTTATGTGCGTTGTATATGGACCACATGTCTAATACACAGCCCTGTGCCGTCCTATATACACGAGTAGTATTATATTTGCCTAGCTGACCGCATGCTATCCTTTCAGTTCGAAACACGTTGCAAGTTGTTACGAAATTCAATCTTGTCAGGGCTGTCCACAGTTCACCGTACCCGCCGAAAGGAAACCACGCCAAGGATGTTATCATATTGGTATCGCAACGCCATCCCAACCCGGGGCACAGTCTTCACACACAGTCGGTCTTGCCCCTCAAACTTTACATCGCACATGAATCTCACATCAACCATTGGATCAAGCTTAGTCCTGTCCATTTTGCGATGACTTTGGTGTCATCGCCAAATGAACAGGACATTGGCCCCATCTTGATGCCTCACAACCAACCTCACCGTTCAGTTCTCGCTTTTGCTTGCAACAATCTTACCGTTTAAATGCCTACAACATCCAGTAAATTGTCCTCCAAACCTGACGTTACGATCGCCTCTGATGATCATGACCTGAACACCTTAGTACCGCTACTGTTTTTATGTTTCTCTCTCGGACTATACATAGGTACAGGTGGTGTATCGTTTTCTGTCTCTCACACCTTTGTTTTTGATTTAATTCTTACTTCTTCTCCTCATTTGTACTGTACACGCTTGGAACCCACCACTGACCAGCCCCAATTACTGATCTGTGCACCTGTTCATTGTATCGGTATCTCCAATCGCGATAAACATTGACGGTCATGTCCTTGCTATCTTGCAACATTCTGAATATGAGGTTGAACTCAAATAACAATAACAAAAAGCTCAAATGATAAAATTGGTCATTTCACTAGACGATGGTCGAGATTAAGAATAAGCGTTACAAATGTAGTTGGATACAAAAGTGACCGTGTAGTTTATTGCAAATACAAACCACAAATTCAACTATTTTTGCTTCATCAGAAATGCGGGGGTATTCAACTCGTTAGCGGGCGGTGAGGCTTTTTTCGTCCTGCGGTGCAACTATCAATCTCAGGTAGGGCGTAGTATCAAGAACTCACCTGGCTTGTCCAAGCGCTCAGCGGATATGAGATGCCGCGTGATGCAAATACTGTGCAGCGCTTCGAGTAGAACGGGTCTTGCTTGACATCCATCAGTCACAGAACTCGAACAATGGCACCGGTGATAGATGGGTGGCTGATGAGTTCCAAATGTGCCACATAAGTCACAGCTGAACGTTAACCTTGACTATAGGTTACACGGAACAGGGTGTTGGCAACGTGATATGACCAGAGAAATCTTCACGTTACCACACGGGCATGTTTCCTGCGAACATCAGGCCATCTGAGTAATTGACATAACATTCAGAAGCACTTAAAGTCCTGAAATTCGGTTCGGCCGACAATGTGAAAGGAAGTCGTGCAGTGATGGCGCTTGAACGAACGCAGGGCCTGCCACCTTCTCTGATTTGAAGCGTATCTTCTGGTCGATGCGATCTAACTTAAAGAGGGTTACAATATATATTTAGTCGAGGTAACAAAGCCCATCCGTCGGATGAGTTATTGCAACACATAGTACCGACAATATTTACATTCGTTCATGCTCACTCTCAATTCATTCGTAGCTCCTGCGAAAATGCTACTGAGGATGTGAGATAACGCATACAGGGAATGTACTCGCCTCGTGTACCTTAGTATATGTCTCCGTTGGTTGCCACAGATATACTGAACTGGGTGGGTTAAAGGGTTTGGTACGATCGTTCACCCTCAGGATATCTGATGAATTAGCTGGCCCTGAGGCCTGAGTAGCGAGTACATAAATAAACGGACATGAAACAAGACTCGGACGTGGGCTCTAAAGTAAATTTAAATGGGACATGCCGTGCCTGCTATTGGATCCGAATTGGTACGATACGAAAATAACTATGGATCACACTCGTGTTTCAGAAGCACAGCCAGCATCCGATCATCTCGAGTCAGATGACCAACCTACAATATATATAACAACACGCGCAGCTTGCCAGAGGCTACCAGGCGAGAGACAATAGACAACCTGGTGAGTGGTAACTACTAGTTAGCTCTTCACCCCAATAATTGACCACAAATGTCAAGACGAGGCACCCGTATGATACTAGTAGCTGAGCTATGGCTGCCAGCTCCATTCCAAGGCAGATCCGTCAGCTTTCTCCGGCCCCTACACCTCCGAAGCAGAACTTTGAGGGCCATGCGAGAGCTATTCGGAACTTCGTCTTCTTGCACGACAACATTCACATCGTGACTGGTTCAGAGGACGGCACGATGCGCAAGTGGAACTACGACACAGGTCTTCTTGTTGGGAAACCGTGGAGTGGAGAAGGTGGAAGCATATATACACTGGTGCTATCACCGGACGGCAAGACAATTGCGTGCGGGAGGGCAGATGGGAGCGTTCAGCGGTGGAACACGGATGGAAAGATGATGCTTGAAGGTGCTTGGACGGGTCATAGCGACTGGGTGCGGTCGCTTTCATGGTCTCCTTGCGGAGGTCACATTGCCAGCGGGTCCGATGATGGAACAATCCTCATTCGAAGAGTGAAAAGCGGAATAGTAGAAGTTGGCCCAATCAAGACGAAGCAGTACCGGGTGTGTGCTCTTGCATATTCACCTTCTGGAAACAGAATAGCTTCAGGCGGGTGGAACACAACGATTTGCATATGGGACAGCAAGACCGGCGAGCTTGCTCTCGGGCTCATCCAAGACCTGGGTTACGAAGTGACATCGGTGGTGTGGTCGTCGGACGGTACAAAGCTCTACTCCGCGTCTGACAAATTAGCACGTGTCTTCGACAGCACCTCAGGCGCGCTACTTCATTGTTTCCAGCACGACGATATCTTGTATTCCATCGCACTTTCACCCACATACAATGTCCTGGTTTGCGTAGGCGATCAAGGTGTTGTACAACTATGGGACACGGAGTCCCATCAGCTACTTGGACAGCCATCTGTCCAGAATCGCCAAATCCTTTGCTGTGCATCGTTTTCTCGAGACGGGAGATACCTAGCATGTGGCGGACATGACAGGACACTCGCTATGTGGCTTGTCAACGACATAGCTTCCCAGCTTATATCAATTACAAAGTCACCATGGGGTGATCATGTCACTGATGAAGGACACAACGATTTATGTGACTCGTTTCCCTGGGTAATTTTCGTGTTTATCATGCAAGGCACTAGTACTCACGATAAATATTCCTTGTAGTATTATTCCCAGAAATCTCTTCCACCGGAATCATTTGTCACCCGTCTCTCTCACCCATCTTTCATTCGCCGTTTGTGGAACGTCATTTCACGACACTGTCCGCCTGCAAACGAATCTGTTTCACGAGAACGCCCCAACCGTAGTTTCTTCGCTCGTCGTGCTCGCTCAAATCCGCCTGTAACTATCCTACCCAGCCAATCGACAATAGCATGGAAGGTTCGACTAGAAGAAGACGACTTGGAGGAAGATGACAAAGAGGATGATGTAAGTTTTGTCCCTGCTCTCGCATATCGTCATCTCAACGCCAGCTTTCCGTGAACACTCAGACGGGCGCAAGCAAACTACAAGAATGTGGAAGCAAGCAAGGGAATGAATCTCTTATCGATATTCAAGGCCCACCTCCCTATGATCTCACTCCCCATACTGAGCTCCAGAGCAAAGAACACAGAGGCTTCTGGAGACGGGCAATGCAGAGCCCACCTCCCTATAATCTTGCTCCCCCTGCTGAGCTCCGCAGCGAAGAGAATAGAAGCTTCTGGAGACGGCTAATGCACATTTGAGCGAAGGAGCCTAGTTCCATCAAATCGGCTCCAGGGTTCGAGATAAGCGTCCGTTTTGATCGTCATGTTTGTAAGCTACTGGAGGTTCATCATCACACATTCCCCATCACACTCATTTTTGCGCCACCTAACATGGCTATGGCTCAGATTCTGACTTGATATGTATTCCCTATGGATGCTACCACTTTGGTGTTTTCTATCATTCTATTCGGCTTGGGGTTCTTTTTTTTGTTCCGCTAGATGTCGAACTCGTCATGTTCTATTACTATATCCTTATTTACACTCTTGACGGTGTATCTATACTCTATTCTGGCATTACATGTACACGCATTCCACTACGTAAATGTACTACTAATTATTAGCCCTCGAGGACTGACAATAGCTCGAACCAGTTTCCAGTGCCTAAGCGAATTATGCATGCGTCGCAGGAGTGCCCATTTTAGTAAGTCATTATCGTAGTAATATCGTTAACAGCTCACGACATTTTCCCCCATCGGCACACGTGGGCCAGTAAGCTTGGCTCACGGTGCTTGTATCAAATACATTGGGACCGAGCTTATATCCGCAGTCGTGAACAGGAAAGATGAAAATAGAACAAAGCGGAGCCTGATGTCATTTATTTCTTCTGTACATGACGCTAATCAAGGTTTTACAAAACAGTACCATCCATCCTTGTCGTCATGCAATGCTAAACGTTGCGGACGCTGCCAGAAGGCTCCATCGAGTCTTAGCTGGAGCAGCCAGATTCCACGCCCGCTCCTCAATCAACCAGCTAGATGTCAACAGCGCCAATTTTCGTCATCGCTACATCATCGATTTATCGTATATATATATAAAGCCCCATCGACGTACTTTCTCTCATCTTCTTAGCTACAACACATAATCAACAATGTCTTACGATCAAGGAGACCAAGGTTCACGTCGTACGTCGTTTGAATCCGTTTACAAATCCCAGACATACTTAATATCTTTATTATCTTGACAGGGGACTTCAACGACAACTCAAATGATGATGCCTCTATTGGCGATCAACGCACTGTCCCTGGGGGAACCGACTCCCCATTTTCAGACTCATACGGGGGTAGCGGGACTGGCCAAGCTGGTGGATACACAGGAAATGAAAGTCGCATCGGTCGACAAGGTCAGGAAGGCTTAGATCAAGGCGACGAATACTGCAATACAGATTCTGGAACGGACGGTAATCGTCGCGTTGAGGAGATTCAGGAAGTGAACGCCCCTGGAGTTGAGCAAACTGGTGGCGGATATGACAGTGCCCATGGCCAAAACACCGGCGGTGACGGTGGTAGCCGTGGGTATGAGCGTAATACCGATGATTTTGATTACTCTGGGCTTGGTAGTGGCCAAGGCGCTGGTACTGGTACCGGTCGTGGTCCAACTGGCAAGTTGTCTTCCATAGGCTCCAAACTTAGAGGTTGGTCTTTATTTATTTGACTTTGCAATTATATTCACATTCGTGCATAGGCGGAGCAGAGAAATTAGCTGGCAAACTTTCGCATGATCCCTCACTTGAGGCTAGGGGCGAGCAGCGCAAGGTATGTCCTAACTTATACTTGCACTGAATGGGATGATTTATAGTTTTATAGTCTGGCTACTGAGTTACTCCAGATGAAATTGTACCTATATATGTATCATAAACGTGCTTAATGAG